AGGCTATGATGGAGGAATTCGTTCTCCTGCGACGTGCTACTGACAACCAAGGAGATTGCGTTCGTGTCCTGAGAGTTGCTGATCGGATTGAGGCAGAGCTAGGTGAACTGAAACGCCTAGCTCTTACGGAGAACAAGCGTCACAGGGGAGTGGAACTGAACATCGTAATCGCGCTTGTCGTCCTCCTCGCAGGCTTCATCATAGCCTGCGGATGCATGATTATGTTTTAGAAAAGTTTGCATGGTTGTTTGAGGAGAGCTGTATAATATTTGTTGTATTTTCCGTGTTTTAGTAGACATCTAATGTAGACGTGAACGGTAGACTTTAAAAGTAGACTTCCTTATCGTTTTAAAGTATATGTTAAAAAATAATTACCAGAAAATTGGCTACATATTTATTGGTAACCCTAAAACCTTCATCATATGTTAGTCATGATGTTGACTACTGTAAAATTACCAATGTCAATTGCAATGTAAATGTAATTAGTCGAGTAGGAACGATATTAAGAAGACTTAATATTTTTAACTTCATGTGTAGACGACGAGGAGAAGTATACAATTAAACATTATTAGCGCGGGAAAATTCGCGGGCTTTTTTACTAGGGCATTCGAAATAATGACTTCATCTGTAGACATCATTAGAAAAGTACGTTTTTTCATAACTTCAATTGAACCAACTTGAATTTACAATAATTAGACCGAAAACCGCTCCGATTACCACGGGTATATCGATAACCGCTCCAATAACCGCTCCGACCGTGCGAGAGTTTACCTAATCTCCCCATTTGGTAAAGTTTCATTTTTCCCAAACGAAAGTTAAAATTTGTCACGAAAGGGCGATTTCCGACGTTTCGAACGCCGCCGGCGATTTCCTCTCACTTATATCTCCGCCGCCTGTGGATAATTCGTATAATCGTCGCTGCTGTAAAAATCTCCAAGTTCATCTCTCATCTCCCGTCCCGCTAGTAACGACCGTAAGCTATTTCCCTCTTGTATCAACTTTTGCAGATTCCAGTGTTCCACTTCACCGTACTAACGAATTAGCCTTTGTCTTGATATCCTCCGCCACCTATACTCCATTGTCGTTGATGTACTTCAGCATATCGTCGTTGCCATACTTCCTCCATCATCTTCACCATACCCCGGCGTGGTACCGAGTATAGCGGTAAACTAGGGTCAGTAAACTACCCAATCTTTCGATTAATGTTGTTTGTCGTTCGCCGTATATTAGGGTTTGGTGATAGACTTCGTATTAAGGCTTGGTATGTAGACTTCGTATTATGTCTTCGTATGTAGACTTCATATTTGGACTTCGTATTTAGACTTCGTATGTAGACTTCATAGTTCGACATCCGATGTTGACTTATACTGTAAACTTTAAAGTTATACTTCAATTTGTTATATACTAGTAATAGTGATCTTTTCGTTTCTTGCTATTGCATCAGGATGGAAAAGCCTACATTTCCTAGGAGGTTTTTCACCAAAGGTTCAGATCCTGAAAGCGACAAAAGCATCGGGTATTACAGCAACAACACGAAGTTGTTCGCAGCTCTCACCACACTCTTGACCGATGATGAATGGGCTGAGCTCGAGGAATCTCGCTCGGGGTATTCTTCAGGTTCGTGAACAGCAAATTCTCATGGGCTTCAATGATTGTGAAGTGTATGCTCAATATGCAAATAGTGTGCAAGAAGCCCTTCGAGATTTGGAGTGTGGTTGGCTCAAATCCTGTAAGGTTTTCGTTGCACGAGTTTGAACACATTACCGGTCTTAACTGCGAATACAAAGAGAATCTCAAGGCACCTCTGACTGCGGACATAGATGAGAATGAATTTTCTGAGTTTTGGGAGAAACTTGGTGTTCATACCAAGTTTGGGCCTTCAGTTGATAACCTCACCCGAGCATGTGGGTGGGCCCAAGACTGGTCGAAAGAGGACAGAAAGAGGCTGGCTTATTTAGCCGTCTATGCTGGTTTCATTGTTGGCGAGAGGCAAACTATTGCCACACCGGTCGAGATGGCAAAGCTAGTAATGGATCTTGAAGAGTTTGAAGGTTATCCTTGGGGGAGAGTAGCTTTCTTGAATCTCATTGAATCTGTAAAATCTGCCAACCTCACCAAACACTACTACATTAACAGGTTTGTCGAAGTGCTACAAGTGTGGTCGTACTACGCAATGCCTAGCTTCGGTCAGGACTTCGGTGAGCCTGTAGTGGGTAGGGTATCTCCGACTATGATGGCCTTCAAAGGAATGAAAGGGCGCAAAAATATAATGCAGACTCTTCTTGCGCAGGTAAGTGACGTTTATCAATCCAATATGTGTGTCAATACTTGTACAATGACTGAATGAAACATATTACATGCAGGTTAATTTCAACCATATGATCATGGTGGACAGGGATAATGCTTACCCTAGGTGGGACAACGACGTCGACGATGAACACATCGAGAATGTGATGAAGGCTTTTTACGGAGAGCTCGGAGGGACCTGGAGATGGAAGCCTTCCGACTGGATATCCGAAGGAGTAATCGTCTTGGATAAGGTGAAGGAAGAGAAGGGAATTGACAAGAAGAGGCATCTGGATTCGGGTCTAGGGCCGTCAAAGAGACCATGCCCTGCCTACGGGATCGATGGACATACCTCGGGAGCTAGTTGGGATACATTCCAGTCCACTGTGGCTGCAATGTTTGAACAGTTCAGTAAGCAGCAGACAGGTGAGATCGGTCTCCGTTTCGATAGACTTGATGAGAAGGTTGAGGTCCTTACAAGCAAAATTAGTTGTATGGAGTCGACCATCGAGAAGCTTCAAATTGTCATGTCGGAGGAGGAGAGAGAAGCGAAGGACCGTGTTAAGCCCGACAATGGTCCTGCGTTTTCTCCAGACGGGAAGCTTCCCGACGAGTCCGAAGCTGCAAAGGAGCATGACACGTCGAACGCTGCGAAGGAGCCTGACAATAACAATCCTGCTGGCCCGGTTAGTACAGATAACTCTCGCAAATTCTCTGCTCGTATTGCTGCAAAACAAACAATGGATGAATCTGATAAGCTTGAGAATCCTAAACTCCCTCCCAGTAAGAAGAGTAAAAGTACTAAGACCAAGCGGAAGTAGTCTTGAAGACATCACTTCCACCAATCTGCCTTTACTGTTTGTTTGTTATTTTTCAAATAACTTTGGTTGTAGATTTCATGTCATCCGCCTACACTTTACTCAAAACATTTTTTTCAATCCATTTGGGACACACACACATTTAATAAGCAGTCTAACTTTGCTATTCTCTATCACTCGGTGTAGAACAAAACAGTTGCGTCCTCTGAGAGTGAGAGTGAGACTCCTGAGGAAGAGAGTTGCGAGCTTCTGAGAGAATACTTCCCCACCAAGGAAGAGAAGATTGCTGACCTCAAAAGAAGGCAACCGAAGGACACCGCAAAGGTTATTGACGCGAAGGCAAGAAAGACAGAAAGACTGAGGACACTTGCACAGACGCAAAATGGTATATATGTGGGCAGCAGCACGGTCAAGCGAATGTTCAGTAACAAAGAACCTAGAGGTCGTGGTTATGATCCCTTTCGGAAGGCGGATAAGCAGATGAAGGAGGTCGTCTTGGATCATTACAAGAGTTGTCCGTAAGTTCATTTCACCTTTATTCTTCAAATGTATACTTCGCATGATTTATTTTACCGAAACATAGTAACTAACTACCAATTCTTTGGTTCTCAGTGGACTAGGAAAAAAGAAGACCATTAAGACCGTTCATGACTATCCACTACGCTTTTGGTGGTATGACCTCCTAAATCAGAACGAGTGGCTCATTGACACGGTGAGAATAATATAATTTTATGAAATATTCATGTTCATTTCCATAGAATGGGTTAAGTGAGTGTTTTAGATGTTCGTTGTGCACATATGTTTATTTCGTACGTAGACTTCCTATGTAGATTTCGTTACTAATAATTTTTGGTTAAAAACGCAGCACATGAACGCTGCTGTCTACTTGCTGAGGACACGATTGTTGGATCACCCCGAATGGTTTAGAAGTGACAGGTTTTGTTTGGTTGACACCACATTTGGGCAATATTGGACGGCGAAGTACGACGAATTCAAGATGATAGAGCCCAACGAACTTGGTGAAGGAAGACCACTGCCAACGCTATCGTACGATTACTACAAAGGTGTCTTACCAGAGCCTCGACCGACAAACAAGATCTGGGGCGTCGACATCGATGAATTGTACATACCTTTCAACCTGAATGGTGACCATTGGGTTGCTCTATTCGTTTCCTTGCCAAAGAGGCACATCACCATATACGATAGTAAACCTAGTCACGTGAAGCCGGGTCTTTTGGCTTCTCTAATAGAACCTGTGACAGTGATGTTTCCATATCTGATGAGGCAGTTGGCGGATGAAGACAAAAAGTACGAGTGGACTCTCGAACCGTTCACCTACGACCGTCCTATCGACCAAGCTTCCTGTGCCACAGCAGGCTAATGGCAGTGACTGTGGAGTGTTCACACTAAAGTTTATCGAGTGTCACGCCCTTGGTATTGAGTTTCCTCAGACCTTGTGCCATAAGAACATACCAAGCCTTAGGCTGAGGCTTGCATATGACCTATTCGAGGAGACAGGGGTCCGGGGACCAAAGGAGCGAGACTGGTCCGAGTTGGATTAATGCCAGCCAGTGGTTTAGGGAGGGTTTAGGAGGCGAGGACGTTTGTATTAGACTTTTTTGGGATCCGTTGAAAGGGTTACGCGGTATATTTTTTGGCATAACCTATCATTGGCATCGGTGTAAACTTCTACTGTATATAGCGGTAGACTTATTTTGTAAACTTCTATTGTAGATATCGGTATGACGTCTACTAGTTATAATATGTAAGACGTGGTCAGAACCAGTTAATGTATTAGATTGTATTTTAAATTCGAATCTATAGACTTCGATTGTGGACGTCATTAGCAGTTAATGTATTATAGTGTATTTTAAATAAAATCCACAAACATAAACGGTGTTCCAAGCATAGATAGTAATAGCCACTTAACAGTTAAACGAAAAAAATCAATGGATATAGTACGATAACATCATCCGTTGACGTCGGTTGTAGACTTCAGTCGTCAGCAGTCTTCAACCGGAAAAATATACGATTTGGACCGTTACTATAAGTTTTTTGAAAATTTATGTACCAGGATGAATAGAGAAGTGGTTTCACTTACGCATTTTGGACGAGTATGACCTGGTAATCTACACTTAGAGCATGTGTACGCTTTTGGCATCTTCCTCGGTTTATGCTTCCTCTTTCTTGCCATTTCTAACCAGCTTTGCCACCTAGATTTCTTTTTCCTACCAGGAGTGGGTTTTTCTTTAGGAGGACGGCAACGTTCCTTCTTCACGGAGGAGAATCTGGAAGGAGGAGGAAAAAGTGGATGCGCGTACGTTGAGTGACAGGTGTTCCTCTTGTAAGCCGGACTCACATAATCGGAGACTGACAATCCAGCCATTGTAATTGCAGCAATGACGTGCGAACATGGTATCTTTTCAATATCAAACACACCACAAGAGCACGTTCGGAGCTCAAGATCGACGTTATAGTATCCTGATGTAGACTTAACTTGGAAATGCCAATCATCTATGCGCTCCACGTCCATAAAACCTGCATAGTACTCACGAATAGACAACAAGTATTCAACTCCTTTGCTATGATCGGTGGTGAGACCTAGAGCATTTTCACGCCTCTTGAGGAACCAGTGGCTCAACCTCTCTCTGATAAACTCTAAGAGAAAAGGTATTGGAAAATCTTTGGCTTTCTTCACCATGGCGTTAATCGACTCCGCGATATTGCTAGTCTTTAGGTTGTATCTTTCTCCTGGGCAGTGAACTCGTGACCACAAGCTCGGATCGGCTCCCTCCAAGTACGTTGCAAGCGCCGGTTTTGCAGCTCGTATTTGATCCATATACCAGTTGTAAGTGTCCACCGTGTGCGCATATGCAGCACCTTTGACCATATACATGATTTCTTTCGCGTGGTAAGTTCCAATTATGTTATTTTGCATATGATAGTAGCATATACCTCTTGTTGCCCATGGCAGGACACTTTCAATTGCATTGGCGATAGCTGGGTGTCTATCAGAGACTATGACCAGTGGGAAATCCTCAGTGAAGCAACTTTTCAACTTGTTGAAAAACCACCCCCAAGACTCATTATTCTCTGCATCTACAACAGCAACAGCCAAGGGGAAGACTTGGAAGTTGCCATCCTGACCAGCTGCGACAAGAAGAACTCCACCATACTTCCCAGTCAGATGTGTACCATCAACAACAATCACTCGCCTTACGTACTGAAAACCTACTATTGAAGCTCTAAACGATACGAAACAGTACATGAATCGATCCATCCCATCTCGCACAAGGTCAGTAATAGTTCCTGGGTTTGCTTCTTTGATTCTTTGCAAATATGAAGCCAAGTTCGCATATCCCTCTTCCGCTGTCCCTCGAACGTATTCTTGAGCAGCTTTCAAAGCCCTATATGACGAGGTATAACTGAGTTTCAAACCAAACATCACTTTCATAGATATAGCAATGTGTTGAGGCACTATTCCCTCAATAATGCCAACCCTCTCCATGAATAAAGCTCCGATATATTTTGCTGTACAGCTCCTACGGTGAGCTATACGGTCTACAACGGAACAAGTATGAGTGTCTACGTACTTTGTGACCCAAAACGCGGTTGGTTCGTTCTTCACAGCCGCCCTGACTCGCCAGGCACAACCTTGGACGTTGCAAATGGCAACAAATAGTTCTGGAGTAGACTTGAAGACATGGAAAGAGAATCTGTGAACCAGAGCCATCAATCGCAACATGCAAAGAAGTTCTTCTTTGTCTCCAAAACGCTGTCCAACGATAATGACGGCGTCCTTATGCTTATCAAAACGACCTCCTTCATTATAGCAACGCCCTTTAAGCCGGATATCGTCGAGAGGAACCTTTTTCTCACGCACATCTTCGTCTACGACTCTCCCATACACACTGTAATCAGCTTCTGTTTCATCAATATCCCCCTTACTCCAATCTGTTGGTGGATTTGGTGGAATTGGATCATCTTCCCATTCCTCTTCCGCCTCATTATCTTCGTGTGAATGTACATCCCAGTCCTCATCATCGGAAGACAAACCCCACTCACTATCATGTTCTACATTATCAGCAACAGGTACATCGTCTTTCATATGATTCCTTTGCTGGCTCGAAACACAGAGGCGTAGTACGTACGTTCTACTAAGCTCAATCAGACTTTGAACTTGCCTATCAGTCGTTACAAACGTAGGAGGAGAATCAATGGGCAGCTGCTGGAGCATAATGTCTGGAAGTGGGTATCCTATCTGTAAAAGCTCAGCATTCTTATCAACCCCATAATCATCTTTCGCCATGTCAACGAGCTCGACATATGTACAACCATCTCTCAGTGAGAAAAGTCTTCCTCCCTTGTCGTCATCCACCTCAAAGAACCAGGTCCCTTTGTCTCTCCTATCCCATTTTCCATAAACAGCAGCTATGTACACCATCTTCTGCAAATATAAGAGAAAGAAGAAGTAAATATTAGTGGGGTAATAGAGTAAGTAGACTTCATGATGAAGTCTACAACATTATCAGCTACTGCCCAAAAAAGCTAAGAACTTTGATTTTCTGAAACATATAATGATTAAGCACGCCAAAATGATACACAGGAAATTAAACAGATTAAAACAACTCATTGTCAAAGAAAATCTTGAAAATTAGTAGGTCATAATGCTCAAATATCGAATTAAAAAAACATACACAAAGTAGACTTCATAGTGAAGTGTAACGGTAAACATCAGAGTGAAGTATACTTTATTATACCTACTGTCCAACAAAATTGAAAACAACGATTTACTTCAAAATATAATGATTAAGCACGTCAAAATGATACACAGGCAAGTAAACATACTACTACAGCTTATTGCCAAAGAAAATCTTAAAAATTTTAATGTCATAACGCACAAAAATAGAATTTCATTTTCAGTCACAATGTAGACTTCATCGTGCCCTCTACATGTAGCTATCAATGAGAAGTCTACCAAGGGGTACACCAAATGCAATTGACCAAATCACGACTTTTTTACGAAGTCTACATTGGAAGTCTACACATACAGGGGTATACTTTTGCAATTGACCAAATCACGACTTTTTGAATTAGACTTCATATTGAAGTCTACTACCATAAGTAGACTTCACAATGAAGTCTCCACGTAAAGTAGACTTCATATTGAAGTCTACTAGCAAAAGTTGACTTCAATATAAAGTCTACTCCCTTATTAGGACTTCATATTGCATGACACCATCCGTGGTACTATTCATTCGTTGACCGGTAGACTTCATTTCGTAGCAGTAGACTTCATACAGAAGTATACACGTCAAAGTTGACTTCAATATGAAGTCTACACGTCAAAGTAGACTTCATATTGAAGTCAACAGTGATAAAAGAAGTCTACTTCAAAAAGTCGTGATTTGGTCAATTGCAAAAGTATACCCCGAGTGAGTAGACTTCAACTGTAGAGTTCAACAACGAAAGTCTTCGTCTGGTCAATTGCAATTGGTGTACCCTTTCCTAAAGTAGACATCTTAGAGAAGTCTACACAAGGGGCCCACATTTTTTGTTATGAAAGGAATTATACAGACTTCTTGATGAAGTCAACAATCCCGAATTTTTGAAAACGTAGACTTCAAATTGAAGTCTACCTCGCGCCGAAGGTTTGAAATTCACGAAAATCGAACGAAAAATCACCTTGAATAGCTGTTTGGTGTAGTGGACGGCGGATTGCGTCGATTTAAACCTTTAATAGAGAAACCCAGCCGTTTCCGTGAGCTTGGTGACCGGAAAAGGCATCATAGAAGAAGTTGGATGTGGAAGAGATGCATTTTCGAGTTTTTGTGATGAAAATGAAGAAAATAAGTGAGAGAAGAAGGTTAGAAGAGAATAGAGTGAGATTTCGGTGGTGTAAATGGGGAGAAGAAGCATTGAAAGCTTCAATATGGTTGAAAATGGTAGTTGGATGAATTGAATTGGATGGCATTTTGGTGAATAAGTGTAGGAGATGAGGTTGGTTTGGACATTATTGTTTTCGAAATAAATCGAAAAATTATAAAAGCTGATGGCATTTCTGTAGATATGTTGAGAGGGTAAGGATAATATAGAGTAAGATGGGTGTAAGTATTACAGGGTATACTTTTGCATTTGACCAAAACATGGGGTATACTTTTGCAATAATCCCTTTTAAATACAATTAATGATTTTTTTTTTCTGATGTGGATAGCCTAGGAGGAGAGAGCAACTCTCCTATTATATATAAGATTCGATCTGGAAATGTTGCCAACCCTTCTTAACACCTGCCCGAATCTTGAATCTCTCATATTGGTAATGTGTAGCTGTGGCTCTTAAATTTACCTTTTTGTTTGTGAAAAGCTTTTTTTTTTTTTTTGAATGTATCACTCTATTTCAATTTTTTTTTCTGCTGTTTTTCTTTTTTTTCAGAAATTGGTTGAGTGCAAAGGCATTCATCGTATCTATTTTAATCAACCAAGGGTGGATTTTTCAACAGTTCCTCAGTGTTTGGTATCATCGCTCAAGTTTGTGGAGTTAGAAAGTAGGATCTCAAAGTATGAAATAGAAATGGAGATAGTAAGATACTTCCTGAAGAATTCATCAATCCTGGAGAAATTAAAGCTTAATACTTACTATGACGAAGGCGCAAAGCATGTTACACTTGACAAAGTCCTTGCAATGCCAAGATGCTCTAGGGCTTGTGAAATACTTCTTCGTTATATTACAAGACATGCCAGTTTAAGTATTGTAAAACCTATCTCTACAAGCTCTTATTATATGTGATTGTCCAACACAATCAATAAACCATTTTTTCGTATAAAAGATGGAAGTTTCTAGGATGCTTGTTCTTTTGCAGGATCAGCAAAATATTATCTTAGATCAAGTCGTTTTCAAGGTGATATGGATAGGTTATAGCTTTTGTTATTTTGGTTTCATGGTTTATGAAATTCCATGGCAGCTCCATTATCGTATATCAATGTTCAAATGTTTAATCAAATTGAGTCATTAACGGAACATCCTAATCTAAAACTAGTTAACCAAGAAAAAAAATATGTTGTTGTTTGATCATTCATCTTGGGGCTTTACGGGTTCCGCTTAGTTAGAGCTGTCAAGGTGGGAGAGCGGCCCATGGACTGTCCATGTCCACGCGATTATGGACATATCTTGGACAAGTCCATTTAAAACACAGATAGAATTGGGCTTGTTAAACTTTGTCCATGAATAAAAATGTACCTCGACATTGTGAAATAATTACTCTTTTAATTTTTAAAAACTAAAAGAGTAATTATTTCTCCAATCCAATAAACTTAAAATTCTAGGTCAAAATCGAAGTGGAGAAATAATTACTCTTTTAGTTTTTAAAATCTATTTCACAAAAAGTCAAATTCTTTATGATCGAAAATCTATTTCTTTTTGGCCCGGCCGTGGACAGCCCATATTTATAGTCGTTTATAGGCTTGGTCTTTAATAGACATGGTCCTTAATGGACACACACAATCTTTGTCCATGATATAAATGGACATACCATTTTGACACCTCTACAGGTTGGTCCAGTTCACACCTTTAGGTTTTAGCCACTGGAGCGGCTGTAATTACAATTCAAAACCCTAAACTCATCACAATGGTCTAAGTAACACATGAGCGTGGAGGAAGGTTTTTGAAGGTTTGATCTGCCATGCTAAATGATTGAGACTATCCATTTCTCCGGTGCGTTATTTTTCTCTGTCTTCTTCTTCTACTGGTGTTCCTTGATTATAGTCATCTTCAGAAACCTTGAAAAACCCTAACCTAATAAGCGTCTCATGTGTTCTTTCAATATAGATTGTTGTTTCTGTAACTGTCAATTTTTTTTCCCTGATCTTGATGATGCAGATTAGTTGTGTGAATAAAAAAAATGGTGGGTAGAAAGAAAAAACCCAGTGACAAAGGGTCACAGGAAGATAGGATAAGCGAGTTACCTGATGCTTTGATATGTGAGATACTTAGTATTCTCTCCACAAAGGAAGCTGTAAGAACAAGCGTTTTGTCCAATAAATGGAGAAATCTTTGGCAATGGGTTCCTGGATTGGACTTACTCTCGTGCGATTTCTCTGATGTCAATGTCTTTAAGAGTTTCGTTGATAAGTGTTTGGATTCCCACAAGGAGTCATGGATACGTAAACTCCGGTTAGATTGTGGTACTCGTACGGATGATAAGTCTTTTCTCACCCTGTGGATTGATGCTGTGACTGTGCGTAGGATTCAGCATCTCCATGTTGATGCGCTGTCCTGATAAGCTACCTCTGAGCCTGTATACCTGTGAAACATTAGTACACTTACAACTCTATGGGGTCAGATTGTTTAATGCCGAGTGTGTTACTTTACCTTGTCTGAAGATCATCCATTTAGAACATGTTACAGCTCCTAACGAGACCACTTTGGAGAAACTAATCTCATGCTCTCCAGTTCTTGAAGATTTAACCTTCGCCAGCTGTAGTGCTGGTGACAAGGTTATACAAGTGCGCTCTCAGACGCTAGAGAGAATTTACATAGACTGGCATATTCAAGTTGTGGTTGATGCTCCTCTACTCCAGTGTCTGAGGACATATATGAACTCAAGCAAAAACTTTAAGCTCATTAATTTGGGTTTCTCTACCAAACTAGATATTGATGCCTGGTTTTATCATACGCCTGACACCTGCTTGATTCAGGATACCCTCGCCGATATATCGAGGGTTAGGGACCTTGTTATTAGTAATGTCTTTTGGAAGGTAATACATATCATTGTTTGATCATTCTTTACATATTCTTCCATGGAAAAGTTTCTAACCAACATTATTTTTTGTTTTTTTGTACATTCTGTTACCAGTATCTCTTTCTATCCCCGGAGCCAGGACCTATTCCGTTTGAATGCTAAATTGTCAAAGTCCGACCTTGAAATGTTGCAAACCATTCCTGAGAGCTGTCCAAAACTAGAATCCCTCATATTGGTAACGAATATAGCTTTAACCCTTTTATACACGCATATTGTTTGTGAAAAGCTTTAATGTATATATATACTCTGTTTTTGTAGGAACTGGTCGACGACCCATTCTGCAGTCGTAAGATGAAAACAGAACCAAAGGTGACGTTTACAACAGTGCCTGGGTGTTTGGGATCATCGCTCAAGTTTGTGGAGTTGAAACGTTTGATCAAAGGGTATAAAGGAGAAATGGAGCTAGTGAGATACTTCCTGAAGAATTCAGCAATCCTGGAGATATTAAGGCTTGATTTTTATCATACCAAAAAGGCAAAGTGTGCCTTCTTTCAAGAACTCGTTGCAATGCCAAGATGCTCTAGCGCTTGCAAAGTCCGTGTTCTATAATTACTAAAGGTTATTGTCTCTGCTCTTTAATTTAAGAAGAAATATACATATTGTTGAACATTTTTGTTTGATGTTATTTTTGGTGGTTAAATTGGTTGAATTTTAGGAGGATTTGCTATTTCTTATGTTGCATGGTGGTTGCTGCTGCTCATGTTATTGAATTTGATATTTTTTTCCCCAAATTATTAAAGTACCAACTACTTTCATCAAACTTTCATATTGTTATCATGTGAATGATGAAAATGTTAACGTTGTTAATTATAATGATTAGATAGGTCGCAAGAGACATTGTTACGACAAGGGTTTTATGGACCAGATGGATGAATATCTAACTGAGGGTTCCTAGTTTGGAATTGAAATCTTGGAAATTTTCAAATTTCAATGCCTACATACGCTTAACTAAGGCACCGATCGATGCATCTTATTTCGCATCATGGATCGATGCCGTAGTAATTAAGCGTAAGATGTAGGAAGCTCACTTGCCACACAAGAAATGCAGGTTTAGGCTCTTTCATATGTATTCCTGGATTGGACTTAGACTCGAGGAGTTTGACGGATGTCAATGCCTTTGTGAGTTTCGCTGATAAGTTTTTTGATTCCCACAAGGAGTCATGCATACGTAAACTCCGGTTACGTTATGATCCTCGTGAGGATAAGTCTTTTCTCACCCCATGGATTGATGCTGCGACTGTGCGTAGGATTCAGCATCTCGTTGTTTCTCATGACCAATAATTTAGTCATATTCCTGCCAAAGAGATACCACTGAGCTTATATACCTGCGAGACACTGGTACACTTACAACTCATTTACGTCGACTTGGCTGACGTGGAGTCTGTTTTCTTACCTTGCCTAAAGATCATGCATTTAAATAGTGTTAGAGATCTCAAGCTGGCCACCGTGGAGAAACTTATTTTAGGCTCCCCTGTTCTGGAAGATTTTAAAACTGTCGGAACCTTCGATCATAGTAAAAAGTTTTTACGCGTGTGCTCAGAGACGCTAAAGAGAATCCACATAAATGGGTATACTCATGTTGTGATTGATGCTCCCTTACTCCAGTGTTTGAGGGTTATGGTTTATCTACCAAAGGACTTAAAGATCATCAATTTGGGTTCCTCTACCAAACTAGATATTAATATTCATTATGGTAATAACGTATACGATAGAAGCTTCATTTGCGATTTCCTCACCATTGTTTCAAGGTTCAGGGACGTAGTAATTAGTGACGTTGATTGGAAGGTATACAGGTTAACAATTTTAACATTTAAATATTCTTCCACAAGAAAAAAAGACATAGCCTTAATTTAACATGTTTCTTGTATTTCTGTTACCAGGGTCTCATTCGATACTCGGAACCGGGGCCATTGCTTCAGCTTCAAAACATATTCCGTTTGAATGTTAAGTTCTCTAACTACGATCTTGAAATGTTGCCAACCATTCTTGAGAGCTGTCCAAAACTAGAATCTCTCATATTGGTAATGCATAGCCTCTGATTTATGGATATTTTTTGCGAAAAGATTTTTATTTTTTATTTTTCTCCCTATACATTTTTTTTTGCTTCGGGTTTTCCAGGAATTGGTGGGTCATAACAAGAACACAGAACTCAAGGTGGCGTTTCCAAGAGTGCCTGCGTGTTTGGGATCATCGCTCAAGTTTGTGGACTTCAAACGTTCGAGCAAAGGGTTTGAAGGAGAAATGGAGCTAGTAAGATACTTCCTGAAGAATTCCGCAATCCTGGATATGTTAAGGCTTGATTTATATCATACCAAAAAGGCAAAGTGTGCCTTCTTTCAAGAACTCGTTGCAATGCCAAGATGCTCTAGCGCTTGCAAAGTCATTGTTCTTTAATTTCTAAACGGTATTGTCTTTTGCTCTTTAACACATTCTTGTTTGCTGTTATTTTTGGTCGTTAAATTTGTTGATTTTATGCGGCTTTTCTCTTGTGTTAATAATTTTGTCGCCGATCCTCGTAGCTAAAATACACAAATCATTCTACTTATCGGTTTTAATAGTATCCATATGCTCAAAGTCGATTATGTTCAGTTTGACATGCTTAGAGTCGGCAATGGAAATAAATAAATAAAACCACCAAAATTCAACGCCTTTCATCATTATACTAGACTAATGCCCGCGCATACACGCGGATTTTCTTATTGCTATCATTTAAGAAATATGTTACTCCAAATAATCCAACACCCGTATTTTAATTCTTATTTTCTTGGAGTATAAAACAATTATAGATTTGTGATTAATCTTTTAATCCAAATAACACCTATATTGTAATTTTTATTTGCTTCATTAGACTTTCAAATATATAGTTTTGTATAATACCACATGTTTTTAAACCCTTGACACTCTTTATTTATTCACCGCTACGTCGAACACACTCTGCTTCTCTGCCATCGCTTTTTCTGAATCCAATTCTCGAGAACTTAAATGTTTAATAGTGATTCAAGATTAATGAAGAAGGATAATAATTTTAAAGTGATATAATAGTTTTTTAATTTATATATTACAATGGGCATAAAAGAAAACCAAAAGTTGCATTGAAATTCCATTAAACTTTTGGATATTTTTTTTAAAGTGAAAATTATATGAAAATATATTTTGTATGTTACAATAAGCACAAAAGAAGACCAAAAGTTGCATTAATGTTATATTAAATTTTTGGATTTTTGTTTTTTTAAGTGAAAATTATATAATATGTGTCATTTTCTCCTGTGTCCATGTGTCAACAATATGGAGAGAGTTGACCTCTTTTCGATTCTGAGATCTAAGATTATATTGCATTTTAAAAAATACCAGTTAACTAAAAAAGCTATTGATTTATTCTAGAGATGTTTCAGAAAATAAAGATGAAAAATCCTAAGCAAAGCAGAAATCCACATGTATGTTGCAGCATCATGTACCAATCAAAATACTACGGCATGACATGTGATAGAGAATATCCAAGAGCTCCTTGAAGATGCGATCTTTTGTTGAATTAGAATATCCTAACAAGGTACCTTACTAGTTTCTTATGATTATCGAATTCTCTTACAAGGTACCGTACTAGTTTCAATTCTGAAGCATTTAAAAAATCCTTGTTCTGGAATATTAGAGGGCTATATTCTTTTGTATACTGTAATTAGACGGGGATCTCAAAATTTTGAGTGGTTTCGTCTCCTATGCCAAAAGTTCTTGTGGAGTATACAATACTATATTATTTTTTGTTCAACATATTAATTATTATTATTATTATAATAATACATAATCTTACATTGACCATTCATATTTATTATTACATAAACCACGAACTCAAAGCAAGAACATAACAGAAGATCCAAACATACGATGGTCAATTAAGTTTGCATGCATTTGCGGCCATAGGTCGATCGCTTACAGTTTGATCATTTCATAATAGCATAGGGCTTATCATCTTTGCAGAAGTTGCAGTAGCATTTAAATTCGCCTTCTTTCGAAAAGCAGGCTCCGCCTTTAGCCTCCTTATGCTCACGGCATTGCTGATAACATAAGGAAGGATATACCCGAGCCGCACAATATAAGAAATCCGAGTCGGGGTCGGGGCTACTGCCATATTCTTTGTATCAATCGCTATCCTGCGCCTCTTTCTCCGGCATTTCTGTTATTGATAGTCATTAATTAATTTACTATGAGAACAAAAAGAAAAAACACTCTATGATACACAAAAGAATCTTGTATACTTGAAGGAAAACGTAAATGTAGAAAATTATTGAATAAATATGTCAAGAAACGAAGAGTGTATTTTCTTATACCAGCGATAAGCAAGAGAACGACGAAGAAAACGGTGAACATGGAAACGGATTTTGCTGCCTTCATCATTCTCTCTCTCTCTGTAATCGTTACTTTGGGTTTGATGAATGTGATAACACTTGGTGTTGATGGTGCTACTTATAGCTAGCTTTAGCACCTAACCGCTTATAGATCAAAACCATACAGACACTAAACCAGTTAAGGTTTTAAACTGAATGATGATAATAAATTTTTGGGTTTATTTACCTTTCTGACTTCAATCTCGTCCCCACCATGGTCAATCAATATTATTACTATCGATGATATCAATATCAATCACATACAACGTACAAATCACTCCATGTGCCCATTATATCGAGACCTAACCATTATTAATTTCACTTCTTCTCACAACCAGACGTACGTGTACGAAAATTATATGTATAATGATCCAACTAAAATTTCATTGTTGAATAATTTTTGTTCGTGTAGTGGCTTTCTAGTTAATCTAAGTGACAGTCTCTCCATATTTCGATACCAGCCGATGCTAGAGTTGTTTCTCTTTTTTTTTTCTCTTTTTTTTTTGGCTTTATCATATAAACTGTCATGTATTGTATTTTTTCAAAAAGAAAAAACATATACTGTTTATTTAACTCTATCATCTTCTTCCTATTTGTTACTCTTATGTTCAACTTACCTTCAAAAAACTTACTAATACTATATATTCTATTGATCCGAAGCCATATTTTAATATTTTCTTATTATTATCATTTTGATGGTTTCTTTGCGTCATATAATTTTAAACATGATTTATGACTTAGTAATTTCATATCTAGAAAAACCTAATCAATTTTAAATAGATGATTTTCTCTACCAGTCTTTCATTAAATACTAGACTAATGCCCGCGCATACGCGCGGTTTTGTTGTTGTTAAAGTTTTTAAAAAATGCTCGAAAACAATTTTAGATTTGCGATTAATATTATAAGTATAATCCAATAATATCCATATTTAATTCCTATTTGTTGGTTAGCGACTGACTTTCAAACATATATTTTTGTATCATACCACATGTCTATGAACCATTAACTCTTTTTGTTTACTCACGACCACATAGAATGGACTTTAGTAATAGAGTGATTTTTACTATGATTTTTGCTAAATCCATTTCTCCGTATATTAAGAGAATTTAGATGTTTAATAATAACTTACGATCGAAGCCGAAATGTAAAAGTCATGGATTAATAGAGTGATATTTATTATCATAAGTTGAAATTGATAAGATTTAGAGTTATTGATTGGAAAGAAGAGGAAAAGTCATGCCACAATATCAATAAATGGAGTGTTGATACAACGTGGAAGGTGAATCAACTAACGGTTTTGAAACATATTATAACTGTAACGACTAAGAATGCGAAGAGACTGCTCTCTTTAAAATTTTTTTGCCACATGTCAATTATATGGAGAGAGTTGGCCTCAATTCATATATATGATTAATAGTGTAATCATCTTTTACAATAACAAAATGTTTTCGAAAATATTAAAAAGATATAATTTATATTGAAATAAATTTAAACAGATTATAATGTATAAATGAAAAAAAAAAAAAAATTGATGTAAGAATATGTGGCCACATTCTGTTAATTTGCTTTAAGCCACTACATTACTAGGACCGACACACATAATATAATTATTTATGACTTATATACGAAAAAAGTCACATGAAACAATCGAATTTATCATGAATCATAAAGAAGGGAAAATAGCTTTTTTTTTTAACACCTTCTCATTATAAAACTTAAACCATGGTTATATAAGTAGAAAGTTAAAAGTTCTTTGCCAAGGAGAAGAAGCGGCTTGTTGCAGAAATAAAATACAAAGCAATAAGAAGATAGATTATACAGTTTAGATCGGAGATAAAAACTAGAAGCTTCTTCAAAAGAGTTTCTAAGATGATCGTTTTGAAAACAATCTCAATTTCTTTTACTATTAAAAACCAGTGAACAAGACGAATAGTTTGTGATGCCGTCAAAGTTATTAAGTGTTTAAAGTCGATCTCCATAGAGGAGAGGGGCGAGTTAAGGGATACGCCGGTAAGTTGGCAGTACTCTACAACCGTAAATGTAGGTTTGGAGATATATCGGTAAGTTGACAATACTCTGAAATCCAGGTCGACAAAATCCGATGAATTCCCGGCATATGATATGTTAGATTTGACAATAGACGAACTGAAATTGAGTTGACCGCTCCACAAAGGCATGATTTGAGTTGAAGTCTTGTAGATCAAGATTTCTATAGGGTCAAGCCGTCAAGCCGCAACACACCCGGTTTCCAGGTGCAATATACATAGTAACATACAGATACATTATGAGTCAGAAGAAACCCAAAGAATGGTGGTCAATTACAATTTACAGGGGTGACTCTAGGTTAGATTTACCCGTGCATAAATCAAATTATGTATCCAAAAATGTTACCATACCATAAATCAATATATGTATAAAAAAATGTTACCAAAATAAGATTGTTGGCTGTTGTCGTAATTGCCCTAGAGTCATTAAATTGCTCAAGTCATTGATTATTTCTTGATATCACCCAAATAATGGTTGGATATCCATTTAATTTTCTCTTCTAATTTGTTGGTTGGTCGAATGTCGTACCTTGCATTTATTTTGTTTAAATCTTTTTTTTTCCATCCAAGGAAACTAGCTCTCTTACATATTCCTATTTTATGAACAACAATTTAATAGTTTCCCGAACCGATCTAGGAACATAAACTGTTGACAAAAAATAAAAAATAAATAAATAAAGAACGACAATTTAATAATATCTAGTTCTCTTGTTCTTCCGGTTTTTGTTTTTTTTTGTTTTTATTCTGATATTTATTTCTTTGTAAACAATTATTTTTTCTATTTCATATTAAGTGTCATTTTGACACTTTCCACACAAATTAAGAAAATAGTTCAATTTTCAATAGTATCTTTTTTTACTCTTAACATTATATAATATTTAATGTTTTTCTTATTTAATTAAGGGCAAAATAGATAAATTAATAAGAAAAACTGCATTGAAATTAGAAAATACAGTTATTTTGTAGCAAAAAATCTTAAAACACTTTTTATGAAACAGTGAGAGTATAAGTTAACAATATCTAGATCTTGGTTAGGGACCTGCCAACCTGGAGTCACTTTCTATTTTATTGTATGGTTGTGAAGAAAAACAAAATATAAGTTAACAATAAATTTTGTATAGTTGGACGGAAATCATAAACAAATCGGGTGATTTTATCTCCGATAACCAAATTTTATGTGGCTGCAAACCGACTGTTGTCCTCTATACTAAGTTGTTTATTCGGTTTGTGGCGTGTGGTTTTAAACTGGCATAGAATAAAGCAAAATTATTTGGTTTAGCGATATGTGAACTTGGTCTGGTATAGCTGGTTCAACTATCGGGTTGGTTTTTAGATCGACCCAAAATCTCGGAATCCAATCAATTCGCCTGTGATTCGAAGAGCCGCCTTACTTTTCACAGTAAGCATCTCCGCCGCCGGTGATTCTGCAGTGTCCGGTGAGTTTCGATTTCCTCATATGATATGAGTCATATCCTCCTTTCTATGGTTCTCGGCTGCTTAACGACTCTATTTGTTTGGTTCCTCTGAAAAAATCTAGTGAGATTGTCAAGCGAAAGCCAGGTTAATTCTCCGGATTCGAGTTTCTGGTGTTCACTGTGAAATCTGTGAGAACTTGAAAAGGGAAATGGCTCATAGGGATAGGATAAGTAACTTGCCTGAGGAATTGCTCCTGAAAATATTGTCGTCACTGCCCGCGAAAGATGTAGCAGTCACAATGGTTTTGTCAAAACGATGGAAGTTTCTATGGACGTTGGTGCCAAGACTTGAATACGACCACTCCATGTATCAAGACGACGTTGATGGCAGTAGTAGATTCTCGCGGTTTGTTCACAGTTCTCTGCTGCTACACGAGGCTCCCTTTCTAGAGAGTTTGCGTCTCAAACTCGATCATTACTCTTGTGCTGCAGATATCGGAGTATGGGTTAAAACCGCTGTGAAACGCTCTGTTCGTGAGTTGGATATCGAGATTAATAGTCCTTCCTTGTCCACTCCGGTCTTACTTCCATGGAGCTTGTATAGCGAGGGATGTAAAAGGCTTGTGACACTGAAACTAAGTCACACGACTCTTGTGGATACTTCTTCTTCCTCGCCAGCTTCTTTCACATCCCTGAAAAAGCTGAGCCTTGTTCACATGAAGTACCCTAGCGAGGATTTTGTTTTGAATTTCTTATCCAGTTGTCCTGTTCTTGAGGACTTGGTTGTGGAACGATGTCATGATGACAATGTGGTTGTTATCCCTGTGATCGTACCGTCTCTGAGGAGGTTATCGTTGTCTAGAGCAACAGACAGAGATGATGAAGACAAAAGATCTGCGTTTGTGGTAGACGCTCCTTTGTTAGAGAGCTTGGACATTGCTGATCATAACGACAGTGGGTGTTGTTACATTCGAGAAAACATGCCTGAGCTTGTGTCTGCGTGTCTCGACATTAATTATATGATCTTTCTTTGGACATTTTTGGGTTGTATAACCTCAGTGAAGCGTCTCTATCTATGTTCATCAACCATAAAGGTACTAACATGTTCGTTTTACCACTATGCATTTCTTGATTACGAAAAATCTATTGGCACTTATTTTGCTGCAAAGAGTGTCATATATTTGGTTTGTGTACTTGTGAATGCAGAATGCTTACCCTGAGGGCAGTGTCTTCCACCGTCTTGTACATCTAACGCTATGCACATGTGGGAGGAAGTGGTTGAAATTTCTTTCGCGTCTGCTTAGAGATTCTCCTAAATTACAAGTTCTCAGATTTGAACAGGTACAAGTCTATCATAAAACCTAAATGATCAAGGTTTATTTTGCTTGTACAATATATAATGATGATGATAATGATGATGACATAGTAGTGCACTGTAACTGTGTGCCTCAGTGCCATGAGCTTCCAGATGACGAGCCGCGTCCGTGTTGGAATGAACCGAGCTCAGTTCCTGAATGTGTGGTGTCGAGTCTTGAAACTCTGGAATGGGTAAAATATGAAGGAACAGAAGAAGAGAAAGGAGTAGTGGCATTCATCTTGAGAAGCGCAAGATGTTTAAAGAAGGCAACAATCTCATCTAAATCTACGGATCCCGTCAAGAAACTTGAGATGCTCAAAGAATTGACATTTTTGTCAAGGTGTTCAACTACCTGTCATCTTACATTTGACTGAAGTTACAGTCAAGTAAAAATCTTGATGGTTGGTGTTTGATCTGAATCTTAGATATGTTACAAAAGCTTAAGAACTATGTATGTTTTTTCTTCTTTTTTTTTGATACTTAGATCTCTGCGTTTCTGAGCTTTATAAGAAAGAATCATAAATTTATCTTCCATAATATTGGTACAAGCATAATTTTATGGTCTCTGGTCAAACACAGTATGCTGTTTATCTGAATATCAAACCGGGTTTGTTCTCTGTTGGTGACTTATTTTTTGGTTACGTTCAACCGAAACTATTTCCGGTTTAAAAAGAGCGGGTCAATTCCGGTATTGGTCATCTTCGGTCCTCTTTAACCTTTCAGAATCTTTCTTCAAACTCTGTTAGGTTTACTACGTAAAATCCCCTGACAATAAAATACTTTTCCAAATACCAAAAGTGGCTCTCCAATGGTAAAGTAAATCGTCTTTCTCGATATCAACAACAACAACCACACCATCGCAATTAACTGACCATCGTTGAGCAAGAAACATCGGAGGTGTTTCAGGTATTTGCACATTCTTCTGATTCTCTTTATTAATGAATAATCTTCACTAGTAGATTTAAGCGTCTATGAGTTTGGACTTGGTGTGCTTCTCGTTCTATATGTGGTTTATGTACCTCGTCGTTGCTTATAAGAGAATGAGAATCTCATTTTTCCTTGTTTTTCTTTCCGATGTTTTCTGGCTTTCGTTACTTGTTTCTGGCTTGAAAGGGAAATCTGTTATATCTGTTATGGATAGGATAAGTCTGTTGCCTGATGAGCTGCTCTTGAGAATATTGTCTTTACTGCCTAATACGAAAGATGTTGTGGCCACTATGGTTTTGTCTAAACGATGGCAGCCTCTTTGGAAGTTAATGCCAAAACTTGTCTACGACGACTATAGCTATCAAAACATTGAGTATGGAAAGTTTTCGCTTTGTGGACAGGTCGTTGATTCTGCACGAGGCACCAGTAGACACTTTGCATTTCAAACTTGTTCAAAACTCAGTGCTGCTGATGTTGGTATATGGATTGCAATTGCGGTTAAACGCTGCGTGCGTGAACTGAGTATCGACTGTTCTCCCAAGTAAAACTCCAGTCACACTTCCGAGAAGCTTGTACACAGGGTGTAGAAATCTTGTGACCTTGAACTAAAGAGAGTGACTCTTGTGGATGTTTCTTCCTTGCCTTCTTTCCCGACCCTAAAAGCATTGGACCTTGTATATGTGAAGTACCCTGGTGATGAATTTATCAAGAGGCTTTTATCCAGTTGTCATGTTCTTCAACATCTGTTTGTGGGACGATGTGACAATGACAATGTCACCGTTTTTACCGTTAGAGTGTCTTCTCTGAAGACTCTCATATTAGGTAGATTATCACGCAAAGTGAAAGACGGTGCACATGGTTTCGTGATAGATGCTCCTCTTTTGAAGATCTTTCTCATTCATGATGATATGAGTGGGTTTTGTGTCATTGAGAATGATATGCCTAAAATTGTCAAGGCCGGTTTTAGTGTCACTTATAGTCAGCCGGGGAAGATTATGAGTTGTATTACTTCAGTCAACGTCTCACTTTATGTTTACCAACTTCAAAGGTATTTTTTGGTTATCTTTATACCGTGTGCATTCTTGAGTATTTTTCTTAATTAATATGCTAAATTTCTTGTTTACTTGTTATGTCTTGTATGCAGGAGGTGTATCCTGTTGGTACTGTCTTCCACAATCTTGTATTTTTAAAGCTATGCACATGTCAGGCAGAGTGGTTGAATCTACTTCTATGTATGCTCAGAGGTTGCCCTAATTTACAATCTCTAAGACTTCCAGGTAACCTATATATACATTTACAAGCTTCCTTGATCAGTACATATGATGATCTCTAATGCTAACTGTATTTCTATCAGTGCATGATCAATAAACTTCCGGCTGCCGAGCCACGTCCTTGTTGGAAAGAACCAAGTTCGGTCCCTGGGTGTTTGTTATCGAGTCTTGAAACTCTGATATGGGCAAACTATGAAGGAAGAGAAGAAGAGAAACAAGTGGCAGCATTCATCTTAAGAAGTGCAAGTTTTTTAAAGAAGGCGACTATCTCCTCCAAAGCAACCGACCCTTACGAGAAATTAGAGATGATCAAGGAATTGTCATCCTCACCGAGGCGCTCACCTACATGTCAACTCATATTTTATTGACGTTATGGTCAAGTCATCCTTGAGGGTAAAGACATGTTCATGAGTGTTAAAGTGTTGGTGTTTAGTTTGAATCTTAGATAAGATTTTTTTGGGTATAAAAGTCCACGGCCTAAAATCGGTTTGGTTCGGTTTGGTTCTGTGTTTCTGGGTCGGTTTTGGTTCGGATTTCGGGTTCGTTAAAAGTCCCAGCCCTTAGTTGGTGTCTTTAAAAGTCATATTTTTGGTTACCTTCAACCAAAACTATTTCCGATTTAGTTTTTCTCTGTCATATTGGTTCGGCTGAACTGGGCAATCTTGGTTCTGAATTTATGGTTCGTTTGACAAGAATAAAAATGTAAGGAAATAAATTATGGACCGTTGGATCTAATACTGTAAAAAAATCAAAGGTTAGGTTAGTTTCGAAGTTGCTGATGCTAGTTTAAAAAGGCAATGATAATACACGTTCCACTTTCCTTGGTTCCCATTGGTTGATTGCTTTGAGAAACACAAATCTGGTTACTTGTACCCGATATATTTCCATAATATCGGTAAATAAAAAAACAGCATAAATTGGCAGTACTAATATTATCTTTAGGACTGAACAGGCGGGTATTACCGTATTACCCACATACAGCGGCGGAGCCAAAAAAAAAATTACGGGGGTCATAATATATATTTAAAAAAGATACTATACATATCTTTCTATATTTATCATAGATATATCTCAAAGACACTTAAACAAATGAAAAATATATAAAAATGATTAATAGTTTATTTATATATATACCTAAATAGTAAATTTCAAGAGAATAAGAAGAAGAAAAAACTTAATACATAAAAGAAAGGTGTCACAAGTGTGTCTTGAGGAGTCGAACTCAGTTTCAGGAGGGTCAATGACCAGCAATATACCAACTGGGCTGCTTGTTCCATATGAAATTGTGCACATTAAAATTTATTTAGCTATTTCACGTGGGTCAGTTGACCCACGTGGTTATACACTGGCTCCGCCACTGCCCACATACATACTTTCTCAACACCTTATTACAAAACACATTTCGAATGTTTGGCATACTTTATGATGACAATTGTCTATTTTACCTCCAACTAACCTACTTAATCGATTCAAGCTAAGTACCTAAGTTTTTTTGCCTGATGAGCTGCCTTGTAAGGCAGCCTTACCTCGTTCCATTTATACAAAATAATGATATATGACTTGTCTTGTAAGATACAAGTACTTTAGGCATAAGTACTTGCCAAATATTGACCGACTTGTAAGTATTCGTTTTGTCTTGCGACCCTTAAATTTTCTTAAAAATATCAAATACTTGTCTCGTTCAAGATATCAACCCAACTTAAAACATTCAAGTTGGGCCAACTATATATTGTCAAATGCCCAATACAACAATACCCAATATGACTCTAATAAACGACAAGTACTCGACCCGAACTTGCAAGTAATTAAATAATCATATTTGTTACTTGCCTTATTAACAAGTACTTGTATTTGTGGGTAGGTAGAAGCAAATCACAGGGTAGGTAGGAGCAAATCGCAAGTATCGGATGAATAACAAGTACCTATGCTCAAGCCTAATCCCAGCCACAAGAAACTGACTTTACCTCCTCGTAAGTTTCATCTCTCAGCCGCCATTAATCATCTTCGTATTGATTATATGAAAGTGAATTGTGTTGTGTTGTATTGATTTGATAAGGATTACAGCTCTATATATAACATAGATACAAGAATCATACAATAAATGAGATGAATATCTAATTAAGTGATTGTAGCGATTGTGACTTTGTGAGTGATCATGCTAGTTTGGAATGATACTCTTTCCTTAATACTTGGGTCCGCTTTTACCTTTCACTTACGAAAAAACTTTGAAATTCCAACAGAGGCTGGTAAAGTAAATTGTCTTTCTCGTATCAGCAACCACACCATTGCAATTGACCATCGTTGAGCGAGAAACATCGAAGGTGTTTCAGGTATTTTCACATTCTTGTTATTCATGAATAATCTTCACTAAGTCGATTTAAGCATCTCTGACCCACCAAAAAAAAAAAGAACAGCGTCTATGAGTTTGGATTGGTGTGCTTTTTGTTCTATATGTTGTTTATGTGCTTATTACTCCTATTTGTTTTGCTCCTGAGAAATGAGATTCTCATTTCATTTACTTGTTTTCAGGCTTTCGTCTCTGGTTTCTGGCTTTCGTTTCTGGAAATCTGTCATATGGATAGGATAAGTCTGTTGCCTGATGAGCTGCTCTTGAGAATATTGTCGCTACTGCCTACTACGAAAGATGCTGTGGCCACTATGGTTTTGTCTCAACGATGGCTGCCTCTTTGGAAGTTAATGCGAAAACTCGTCTACGACGATAGCTATCAAAACATTGAGTATGGAAAGTTTTCTCGCTTTGTGGACAGGTCTTTGATTCTTCACGAGGCACCAGTAGACACTTTGCATTTCAAACTTGTTAAAAACTCAGTGCTGCTGATGTTGGTATATGGACTGCAATTGCGGTTAAACGCTGCGTTCGTGAACTGAATATCGAATTTTCTCCCAGTACAACTCCAGTCACGCTTCCAAGGAGCTTATACACAGGGTGTGCACCCTTGTGACCTTGAAACTAAAGAGTGTGACTCTTGTGGATGTTTCTTCCTTGCCTTCTTTCCCGACCCTCAAAAAGTTGTGGCTTTTATTCGTCAAGTACCCTGGTGATGAGTTTGTCAAGAGGCTTTTGTCCAATTGTCATGTTCTTCAAGATATGATAGTGGTACGAGTTCACAATGACAATGTCACCGTTTTTACCGTTGTAGTGTCTTCTCTGAAGACTCTCAGATTAGGTAGAATGTCACGCAACGTGAAAGAAGGTGTCGTGATAGATGCTCCTCTACTAGAGATCCTTGATATTTATGATGATATGGGTGGGTTTTGTGTCATTGAGAATGATATGCCTAAAATTGTGAAGGCCGGTTTTTATGTCACTTACAGTCAGCCGGGGAAGATGATGAGTTGTATTACGTCAGTCAAGTGTCTCACTTTATGTTTATCAACTTCAAAGGTATATTTTGGTTATCTTTATACGGTGTGCATTCTTGAGTGTTTTTCTTAATTAATATGCTAAATTTCTTGTTTACTTGTTATGTCTTGTATGCAGGAGGTGTATCCTGTTGGGGCTGTCTTCCACAATCTTCTAAATTTAAACCTATGCACATGTCAGACAGAGTGGTTGAGTCTACTTCTGTGTATGCTCAGAGGTTGCCCTAATTTACAATCTCTAAGACTCTTCAAGATCCAGGTAACTATGCATACAAATTACAAGCTTCCTTGATCAGTACATATGATGATCTCTAATTCTAACTATATTTCTATCAGTCCCATAAACTTCCGGCTGCCAAGCCACGTCCTTGTTTGAAGGGACCAACTTCGGTCCCTGGGTGTTTGTCATCGAGTCTTAAAACTCTGATATGGGTAGCCTATGAAGGAAGAGAAGAAGAGAAACAAGTGGCAGCTTTGATCTTAAGAAGCGGAAGCTGTTTAAAGAAGGTAACCATCTTCTCCAAAGCTACAAACCCTAACAGGAAACTTGAGATGCTCAAGGAATTGTCATCCATACCCATGCGCTCACCTACCGCTACATGTTCGCTCATATTCTACTGAAGTTATGGTCAAATCATCCTTGAGGGTAAAGACTTGTTCATGAGTGGTAAAGATATGTTGGTGTTTGATTTTGAATCTTATATAACATTTTTGTCTTATGTTTTTGTTTTTCCAGGTTTAGCTCTTTAGAGTTCATATGTTCTCGCTCTGCTCAGCTCTGCACTAGAAGAAATAAGCAAGAAACTTATCTTCCATTATTTAGCTACAGAAGATCATTATAAGGTCTTTACTCCTTTTTGTATTTTGTTTTATTTATGATTCTCTCTGCCTTTTACTTCAACCGAAACTAGTAACTTCCCCTTTAGCTCCTTTATTGGGTACATTGAGTTGGGAACTCTTTCTTGGTTCAGAATTTACTTGACAAGGAAGAAACATAAACATTTTCAATCATCTGATTTGCTGTTCCATTGTTCTTTATACCCTCGCAGTGGTTGCTTGCTTAGTTGCTTTTGAGAAAACACAAATTGTTATTATTAATCTACTATATCATCTTCGGTCCCCTTTTACCTTTCACTTACGATAAATCTTTGAAATTCCAATAGAGGGTGGTAAAGTAAATTGTCTTTCTCGGTATCAGCAACCACACCATTGCAATTGACCATCGTTGTTTCAGGTATTTGCACATTCTTTTTTTTTGGATTCAAATTGCACATTCTTCTTATTCATGAATAATCTTCACCTAGTCGATTTAAGCGTCTCTGACCCAAAAAAAAAAGAACAGCGTCTATGAGTTTGGACTTGGTGTGCTTTTTGTTCTATATGTGGTTTACGTACCTCGTCGTTGCATATTACTCCTATTTGTTTTGTTCCTGAGAAATGAGATTCTCATTTCACTTACTTGTTTTCAGGCTTTCGTCTCTCGTTCTTGGCTTTCGTTTCTGGAAATCTTTCATATGGATAGGATAAGTCTGTTGCCTGATGAGCTGCTCTTGAGAATACTGTCGCTACTGCCTACTACGAAAGATGTTGTGGCCACTATGGTTTTGTCTCAGCGATGGCTGCCTCTTTGGAAGTTAACGCCAAAACTTTCTACGACGATAGCTATCAAAACATTGAGTATGCAAAGTTTTCTCGCTTTGTGGACAGGTCTTTGATTCTGCACGAGGCACCACTAGACACTTTGCATTTCAAACTTGTTCAAAACTCTAGTGCTGCTGATATTGGTATATGGACTGCAATTGCGGTTAAACGCTGTGTGCGTGAACTGAATATCGAATTTTCTCCCAGTAAACTCCAGTCACGCTTCCAAGGAGCTTGTACACAAGGTGTACAACCCTTGTGACCTTGAAACTAAAGAGTGTGACTCTTGTGGATGTTTCTTCCTTGCCTTCTTTCCCGACCCTCAAAACGTTGTGGCTTGTAGCGGTCAAGTACCCTGGTGATGAGTTTGTCAAGAGGCTTTTATCCAATTGTCATGTTCTTCAAGATCTGTTAGTTGCACTATTTCCCAGTGACAATGTCACCGTTTTTACGGTTAGAGTGTCTTCTCTGAAGACTCTCAGTTAGGTAGAAAGTCACGCAAAGTGAAAGATGGTTTCGTGATAGATGCTCCTCTTCTAGAGAACTTTGATATTTATGATATTATGGGTGGGTTTTGTGTCATTGAGAATGATATGCCTAAAATTGTCAGGCCAGTTTTTATGTCACTTATAGTCAGCCGGGGAAGATTATGAGTTGTATTACTTCAGTCAAGTGTCTCACTTTATGTTTATCAACTTCAAAGGTATTTTTTGGTTATCTTTATACCGTGTGTTTTCTTGAGTATTTTTCTTAATTAATATGCTAAATTTCTTGTTTACTTGTTATGTCTTGTATGCAGGAGGTGTATCCTGTTGGTACTGTCTTCCAAAATCTTGTACATTTAAGGGTATGCACATGTGAGACAGAGTGGGTGAATCTACTTCTGTGTATGCTCAGAGGTTGCCCTAATTTACAATCTCTAAAACTCTTTCAGGTAACGATATATACATTACAAGCTTCCTTGATCAGTACATATGATGATCTCTAATGCTAACTATATTTCTATCAGTGCCGTAAACTTCCGGCTCCCAAGCCACGTCCTTGTTTGAAGGGATCAACCTTGGTCCCTGGGTGTTTGTCATCGAGTCTTAAGGCTCTGAGATGGGTAGACTATGAAGGAAGAGAAGAAGAGAAACAAGTGGCAGATTTGATCTTAAGAACCGGAAGCTGTTTAAAGAAGGTAACTATCTTCTCCAAAGCTACAGACCCCAACAGGAAACTTGAGATGCTCAAGGAATTGTCATCCATACCCATCGCTCACCTACCGTTAAATGTTCGCTCATATTCCACTGAAGTTGTGGTCAAGTCATCCTTGAGGGTAAAGACTTGTTCATGAGTGGTAAAGATATGTTGGAGTTTGATTTTGAATCTTATATAACATTTTTTTTCTTATGTTTTTGTTTTTCAGGTTTAGGTCTTTAGACTTCATATGTTCTCGCTCTGCTCTGCTCTGCTCTAGAAGAAATAAGCAAGAAACTTGTCTTCCATTATTTAGTTACAGAAGATCATTATCAGGTCTTTACTCCTTTTTTGTATTTTGTTTTACTTATGATTCTCTCTGCCTTTTACTTCAACCGAAACTAGTAATTTCCCGTTTAGCTCCTTTTTTGGGTACATTGAGTTGGGAACTCTTTCTTGGTTCAGAATTTACTTGACAAGGAAGAAACATAAACCTTTTCAATCATCTGATTTGCTGTTCCATTTTCTTTATACCCTCGCAGTGGTTGCTTGCTTTTGAGAAAACACAAATTGTTATTATTAATCTACTATATTATCTAGGAACTCTCCAAGGATTGCCACGTTATAATTTTAATGCAATTCCAAAATCGTTTCACGTTCTATAGCCAACTTCTACTGGTCTTGTTGGTTGGTCTTTGAATTGGACTCTTTAGATAAAACTGTCAAACAGTGTGCTGTTTACTTGTCACTTTGCTCAAACCTGGGTTGTTATCTCTGTTGGTGCTTAAAAGTTTAGACAGTTACATTTTAGTCTTAAGTTCAGCTGAAACTAATGACTTCCGGTTTAGCTTATTTTGGTCTGTATTAGAAAACATGAGCAATCGGAGAAGACGAGAGCAAATGTAAAATATCTTATGTTATTCATTAATGTGTTTACAACGTCTCTCTTATATGAGAGCTTTATGACCGGTTTACCACACTCGGTTATATCCGGTTTACATCATTTTATCTCTATAGTCTAATATCCCCCCTCAAGATGGCGAGTATATAGACAAAAGCGACATCTTGCCAATAAGAGAATGAAAATGAGCAGGATAAAGAGGCTTTGTGAAGACATCTGCAAGTTGAACATCCGTGGTGACGTGCAGAGTCTTTATCAAGCCGCTCTCAATCCTATCACGCACTATATGGTTGTCGTTTTCCACATGCTTCGTCCTCTCATGGAAAACAGAGTTGTTCGCAATGTGTATTGCCGCAGTAGAATCACAACAGAAAGCTACCGGATGAGGTTGAAACACTTGAAACTCATTCAATAGCTTTACCAACCAAGAGATTTCACGGACCGCGATCTCCATTGCGCGATATTCAGACTCAGCAGAAGAATGAGAAGCCGTCTGTTGTTTCTTGGACTTCCATGAGATGAGTGAATTCCCAAGGAACATATAGAAGCCAGAAGTGGAACGTCGCAAATCAGCACAGGAGTTCCAATCATCATCCGTGAATCCTTTCAATAACAAGTTTGATTCAGCGGAGTAGAAAAGGCCTAGGCCAATAGTACCTTTCAGATAGTGAAGGACCTTGTAGGCAGCTTGGAGATGAGATTTCTTCGGAGCTGAGGTAAATTGACAGAGCTGGTTTACAGCATAAGTGATGTCAGGCCGAGTTATCGTCAAATACATCATCTTTCCCACTAGTCTCCGATAAGGGGTAATGTCATCAAGAACCGGTTCATCAGAATCCAACCTCAACTTGATGCTAGGCTCCATCGGTATGCTGGATGGTTTACAAGCCAATAAACCAGCATCACTCAAAAGCTCCAATGTGTACTTTCGTTGACAAACAGAGATGCCCTTACTCGACCGAGCAATCTCCAAACCCAGAAAGTATTTGAGTTCACCCAAATCTCGTAGCTTGAAAGCAACCTTCATATCAGACTTCAACTTCTCCACCTCTGCATCATTGTTGCTAGCAATGATTATATTGTGAACGTAGACAAGAACAGCCACATAGCGACCCTCATAGTGCTTTATAAACAACGTATGATCCGCGTGTGACTTCTTGAACCCCAAATTGACGAGAGTATGACTAAACTTCAAGAACCACTGTCGAGAAGCTTGTTTGAGGCCATACAAGGACTTCTTTAACTTGCATACGGCATTAGGAGGCAACGTGACTCCAGTTTTAGGTGTATAACCCGGAGGTAGCGTCATATAGATTTCTTCTTCAAGGTCGCCATTGAGAAAGGCATTAGAAAAATCAAGCTGTGTCAGACTCCAATTTTTCGCGGCTGCAACAGCAAGTAGGGTCTTGACCGTTGTCATTTTTGCCACCGGAGAGAAAGTGTCAACAAAATCAACCCCAGCTTGTTGTGTGTAGCCTTTAGCAACCAACCGTGCTTTATAGCGTTCCAAACATCCATTAGCGAGAAGCTTGAGTTTATAAACCCATTTGCAGCCGATCGCATGCTTTCCATCAGGGAGAGAACAAATATCCCAAGTACCTGAACTCTCAAGTGCTATGAGCTCTTCATTCATAGCAGTAATCCATTCTTCAAACTTCAAGGCGTCTTTGAAAGAAGCGGGTTCGGGTAGTAAGTTGAGAGCACATATATAGTCCTTATATTCATCTGAAAGTTGAGCATAGGACATAAAATCAGCCAAGGGATAAGGGATCTCCACATCAGCCTCATTTGTATTGCAGTAGTAATCTTGCAAATATGCTGGTTTCTTAGGTGCTCGCTTACTCGTCTCTTGATCTCCAGAACCAGAATCAGAAGGAACATAACGAACAGGGACAGGGTGAGGTGCCGAGTCAGAACTTTCCAATGATTCCGGTTCAAAAGTGAAGAGATCAGGAGAAGAATCCGTCTGCTCTGAAGAAAACGGAAAGATATCTTCGTGAAAGGCCACGTTTCGTGAAATGTGGGTGGTGTTAGTCTCCAAATCCAGCAACTTGTAACCCTTATAGCCTGCTAGATAACCCAAAAACACACACGGCTTTGATCATGGCTGAAACTTGTGCCGTTGTTTGCTTGACGTAGAACAATAAGCCAAGCATCCAAAGACTCGAAGACCACCATATTCTGGTCGTTTAGAGGTCAAGACCTCATATGGTGTCTTATTCTTCAAAACTGGAGTGGGCAATCTGTTAATCAAAAACACTGCGGTGAGAATACAATCGCTCCAGTACTCCAGTGATATTTTGGCTTGAAACATCAGAGAACGAGCAACATTTAGGATATGTTGATGCTTCCGTTCCACCACTGAATTCTGTTCTGGAGTCTCAGGGCACGAGTGGTAGGAGACAATGCCTTTCTGTCGAAACAACTCATTGAACTTCAGTTCAGGCGCATTATCAGATCGCACTCCTTTCACAACCACTTTGTACTGAGTCTCTACCATTTTCAGAAATTCAGGGAAGATCCGGAGCACTTCATCCTTGCTCCTCATCAGATAAACCCAAGTAACTCTAGAATGATCATCGACAATAGTGAGGAAGTATATGTATCCTTCTACCGTTGTAACAGAAAACGGTCCCCAAGTGTCGATATGAACGAGATCAAAAGCATTAGCACTGATGTTATTTGAGGATGCAAAAGGAAGATGTTTCTGTTTCGCAAGATGGCAAATTGCACAATGAAACTCTTTATTGCTTTGTTTAACACCAGTTACATCACTAATGAGATCCGTTTTGGTCATAGCCGGATGACCAAGTCTATTGTGCCAAACTACGGTATCGACAACAACGTTTGAACAAAAGTAAGGGTTGGAACTTATCGAGTTAGCAGAGATAGCTTCAGCATCCAGGACGTACAGGTTGGCAATAGCTTCACCCTGACCAATCATCAACGCCTTGGTAGGATCCTGTATCATGCAAGAAGCCACATCAAAGATTACTCGATACCCCAAATCCTTAGTCAACTGACTGATACTCAGGAGATTCAGTCGAAAATCCGGAATAAACAAGAAATTGTGGAGGATCAGATTTTCATTCAGCTTAACAGTTCCAATCCCTTCAATTTTCACTCCTATTCCAGTAGGAAGTGTCACTGATCTGTTCAAGGAGTCAGACAAACCAACAAACATGCTTCTATCATGGCAAACATGATGTGTAGCACCACTATCAATGATCCAAGATTTTGATGAGAGAGCACTTTCAATATCCCAACAAAGCACAATGTGGAAGAAGAGAAAGCCATACCGGGAAGAGCCGTTATGGTACCACCACTGTTAGAAGCAGAGGCATGTTGAGGGTCGGAGGTTTGTAGCTGCGAGCTGAAAATAAGCAATGACTTCTTGTATCTGATCTTTGGAGAGTGTATTGACTATACCCGAGAAGTTTTTGTCATTAGTACGCTGAGCAGATAAGCTGAGTTGAGCAACAACGGGTTTTGGAGCAGCTTGAGGTTTTGGTGTAGACGGAAGAGTCTTCTCAGGCTGCTGTTTCCCTTTGTGTTTGAAACCAATGGGATAGCCATGGATCTTGTAACACGTTTCAATAGTGTGCCCAGTATAACCACAATGAGCACATATAGGTTTGTGTAAACCCGGTTTCCCATAGTTGGAGTTTGCAGCATTGATCGAAATCTGTTGATCAGGCGAAGCCACATGAAACGCAGAAGCATTTTGTACTAGATTGATAGTCCGTTGGCTATGATCCTGATCAAGTAAGTTGTAGATCTCGGATAATACTGGAACATTCTTCTTCATAATGATCTGACTTCTAATGACAGAGTAAGAGTCATTCAATCCTGCCAAGAACTTAATCACCTTCGCATGCTCAGCCTTAGTAGCAGTCGCTTTGCAGCAATCACAACGATGACAAGTTTCTATGCATTCAGCTCCATCCAATTCATTCCAAAGAGTCTTGAGTTTGGTGTAATAGGTAGCTAAATCATTGGAACCTTGCTGCAAAGACCATATTTGCTGAGACAAGTTGTATGATCTCGGAAGATTAGTGATATGAAATCTCGTTTCCAAATCAGTCCAGATTTCCGAAACATCATTAAAACGCAGATTACTCTTATAGATCTGCTTAGAAACTGAATTAAGAATCCACGATTTCACCATCGAATTGCAACGAGACCAGATCCTGAAGTTATGATTAGATTCACTTGGCCGAGGAATAGATCCGTCGATGAAAGCGATTTTGTTCTTAGCATCTAAAGCTATAGTCATCGCAATTCGCCAATTCTGAGTACCTTAGAGATGATCGTAGTGCCGGGATTATCACCGCTTGTGAGGAAGAACGGTGAGTGAATAGAATCGGGAGATTCAATTCGCGAGATCGGAGAATCTGGTGGAGAGTCTTCGGGAGCTGGATGTGGAACGATGTGACAATGACAATGTGACCGTTTTCAACGTTATCGTGCCTTCTCTAAAGAGTTTATATTTAGATGAAAAATCAGAAAAATTTACAGACGGTGGTTTCGTGATAGATACTCCGCTTTTAGAGATGTTTAACATTGAGAATTCCACTCGTTCTTGTGTCATTGAGAATGCTATGCCTAATATATTCAAGGCAAATTTTGATGTCAGTTATTGTAATCCCGGGAGGATTCTGGGTTATGTTACATCAGCCAAGCGTCTCTCTTTGTGTTTACATTTGACGTCAAAGGTAATTTTTGTTAGTCATCTACAGGCTGTTGTTTATATTTATATACCTTGTTCGCCACGAAAAGTGGGTTATTATGCTAAATTACTTGTTCTGTGCTTCTGTCTTGTATGCAGGTGGTGTATTCTGTTGGCTGTGTCTTCCACCGTCTTGTGCATCTAACGCTATGCACATGTGTGACAGAGTGGTTGAAACTACTTATGTATCTTCTCAGAAATTACTACATTACAGTATCTTAAGCTCGGACAGGTAACTATATATATTTTGTCCCAAATTGTCCAGTTTCCGTCATCAGTATATACATATAAATGATGATCTCTAATGCACATTATACTTATATCCCGCAAATTAATACCAGTACCATGAACTTCGGGCTCACGAACGACGTCCGCGTTGGAAAGAACCAAGTTCGGTCCCTAAATGTTTGTTATCGAGTCTTGAAACTCTCGAATGGGTAGACTATGAGGGAACAAAAGAAGAGAAAGAGCTTGCATCGTTCATCTTAAGAAACGGAAGCTGTTTAAAGAAGGCAACTATCTCCTCCCATTGTACCGACCTCAGCAGGAAACTTGAGATGATCAAGGAATTGTCATCGTCACCCAGGCGCTCACCTACATGTCAGCTCATATTTGACTGAAGTTATGGTCAGACACTCAGACTTGCTCACTAAGTCAAGTAACATCTGGACCTCTGGTTGTTGAGTGTCGACATGAGTGGGTTTATCTGAAACCTTGGATATTGTTGAAATTTAGTTCAAAGCTTATGTTTAGCTCTTTTATGTTCTTCCTCTAGCTAAACGTAGACAACATAAAGCTACAGAAGAACCATTCTCCTTTTTCTGTAGGGTTTTCTCACAAACTATATAAACATGATACACAAAGTTACATAACGAAACATGAAACATGATCTAATAGTGAGCATGCGCATGCATGAACATGATATGATTTTATCAGGTACGAATTTATGTATATTACATTCTGATCAATTATAATACTTATCTCGATGGAAAGGGACCTTTTAAAACAGTTAGCTGTTTACTTGTCACTTTGCTTAAACCGGCTTTGTTCTTCGTAATTGGTGGTGGTTTTACACAGTTACATTTTTAGTTTAATTAAATTAAACTGAAACTACTGATTTCCGGTTTAGCTTCTAGCAATGAAATTGGGCTAATATTCTGGCGCGTAAATACTAACGCAGGATATATGCACGTGGAAACGAGTTAATAGCTTTTTTAACGTGGGATATTGGTCACATTTAATTAAAGTCGTTAAATAATTATACGGGATCTATAAATCAATATCAGTTGATGAGATTTTGGAAGTTGCCTTTATTAAAAAAAAAAGAGAGAAATTTTGGCAGTGTTATGGGTAAATAAGTGGATGCCCATTAGGCCCATCTTATTCCCTAACACAAACTCTACATAAACCCTACTTGTAATCATATATATAGGATCATCACCTCCAATGAATGAATAAGCTTATTCTATTCTCTCATTTCACAACACGTTATCAGCACGAAAGTTCTACCTCTTAGCTTTTCTAGGTAATCACAAAAGTTCTAATAGTTCTAATAGTTCTTATAGTTTGAATTCACAAAATTCAATGAGTAATCCCTATTACTTTGTTGATTTGTGTTTATCATACTAAAATCCATTTCTATCAATATTTAATCTCTATTACTTATTGATAATATTTTGGATTCAGCAAACTCATGCTTTATATATATTTATATTATTTTCGTAATATATTTATTCAATTGCCAGAATAATTTTTTTATTTTTTTCCCCTCTGGTTAAATTATATCCCTGAAGGATTAATGTTATAAGAAAAAAAAATTATATATATCCCTGAAGGATTTATATATTATTTTTCCTTGAAGGAATTATATATTTCAATTATATACATCCCTGAAGGATTCATATTTTTATTTATGTTTTATTTATATTTCATGTTTATGTTTATTTATTTTATTTATATCCCTGAAGGATTTCTATCTTTTTATATCCCAGAAGGATTTTATATTGTTTATTACTTTTTTTGTTTGTTTAAATTGTCTGTTATTTATTTTGCTCATCTATTGTTCTTATTTATTTATTTATTTGCTTTTCTCATTTTAGTTATTTATTTTCGTAATATATATTTAATTAATTACTGAAATGAATAATTAATTGAATTGAAATTCTCTTGACCATATTAAATATTTAATTTGAATAAATCGTTTGCATTAATTGGCATAAATTTGACATTTGAAATGTTATTGCATTCTTGTCTATATTAATTTCTAAGATTGACTTGTTGACTACATGAATTCATAATTAAATAAGTGCTAAAATCACTCTAAATATATATCATTAATATTATTATTTAATGATTGTTGACTGTTTTGTTAAAATGAATTTTGATCAGCTTTATTAAAATAATATTGTTTGATTTTGCATCATAACTTCGTATATTGCTATTGAGATTGCTTATTATTGCTAAATTATCATTTGATCATTGCTAATAATAATATATATATATATTATATTATTGCATATCCTGATTTAATATTATAAATAAATGTATAATTATTCCTTGATTAGTTTTATTTATTGGTTTGATTTGGTTTAACAAATCAATTATTATTATTATATACTAATAAGTGTATTATCTATTATTACATGATTTTAAAATGTAATAATTTTACCATAGAGTAAAAAGAAATGCATGATCACTAGAAGTGATCTAATATAGCAATCTAAAGAAAATGAACAATCACCTGAAGTGATATGATCTGATAGAGCATCTCAGACCATATAAACTTGAAGTTTATAAGTGAAAATATAGTACTAATAAAAATGTATAAGAAGAAATTATGAAAATATTGTTGTCCTGCAGACACAATAGCATAAATATATTTAAGGAATATTTTAAAAATATTTTTGTCAGTAGACACAATTGCAAATAAATTCTTAAAATTAAATTTGTCACTTGAAGTGATAATAAAAAGGTAATGTTATTTATATTAATTATTTATTTTATTATATTATTATATTTTGTTTATATATATGTTTGATCATATTTATTTATTTTTCAATTATCCTCTATATGAATATTTTGTATTTGCATTTAAGATTACAAGACTTGAAGTCTATAAATGATTTTTATTTATCTGGAAGATAATGTAAATCAATGATAATAAAAGGCATATATTGTCCAGCTGACAAAATATTATTAAAGAAAGTTTAAGAAATTATTTTGATAAAATAATGAGTTACTAATGAAAATCTTGAATTTGTCTAATTGGTTTTGATCCATTCCTGAAGTGAATGTGATATGAATGATTAAAGATATGATCATAGACATGAATATGAATCTTTTATAGTTCATGTTAAGGTCAAAACAAAGAGTTTTATTTCAAGAACTCAAATTCTCACAAGAAGTGAGAAAATAAAGATGGCAGCAAATAAAAGATACACATCTCCAGAAGAGTATATAAATCTATATTTGCTTATAGTAAACAGTTTTGATGCATTATATCTTTGAAATCCCAGAAGTGAAAAGAATCAAACACATAATAGAAATATAAAAAGTTTAAAGAATCAAAGATATAAAACATGATTCAAGTTGGATATATTATTGATTTTATACTAGGATTCCATTCGAGATTGATGAACATGAAGTAACATCATCTCGAGGGGGAGAATGGATGAATCCCTCAATCACTAGAAAGTGGAACATCTAGAAGATTATGTTCACACTAAAAATAATCCTGATGAATCATATATAATGTAACTCAATAGTGTAAAATTATTTTGAAAAATAACATACATTATCTAATGCCTCATCATAGACAAAGATTAATATAGGAGATGTAAATGTTATGTAGTAAACTAGAAGTTTACCGAATATAACATAGTTTGGCATGAGCTGGTTAGACCATTTCGGTTCAAGAATTATGCGAAATAAAATACATCATGTAAAGATTTATTGAAGAACTTGAAGATTCTTCTTAATTATCTATAATGTGATGTTTAATCATAAGACATTATGATTATACAATTACCAACTAGCCAAAATAGATTTGGAATGTATCCAATTTCTAGAAAGAATATAAGAAACTTTTGTGGTCTAATAAACCATTATATGGACTGATCATCCAGTAAGAGAAATGTTATGGTGTTTCTTAAATACATCAACAAGTTGGTTGTATGTATCAATGTTACATATCTGCAACCTGAAGTTTGCGAGATTACTTGGTAGTGCTAGTGAAATCACATCTTAAATCTTTGTTGAGAAAAACATGTTTGTAAGAATAAATGTTGAACATCCAGTAGCAAATGTTCATAATTACATATAATGCAAAAGCATTAATTCGCATAAAGCCAATGAATAACTAAAATTTCTCCCCATCGTAATTGGTTTAGGTCAGGAACCAAAGTTTTCCATCTAAAAATCTATGGATGTGCAGAATACATCCATAATGCTCCACCACACACAATATAAGATGGACCCTCGAAAGAGATAGTAAATGTATGTTGGATGTTAATCTCCTATGATAATATTTAGAGCTATCCATGAAGGATTTAAATATGGCTCAATTTGTAGACTGTCTTTTTAGTGATTCAGTCTTTCCAACATCAGGGGAGAAAATAAAACAGCTGGAGAAAGATCAAAGTTAGAATGAATTATCATTGATCCTCAGACAATAGTAAGTGAAATAAAAGTCCAAAAGATAATTCATTCACAAAACTTATTGTATCAATTGCCAGATACAATTACTGACCCAAATATAGTGTTGAGTCACTTACCAGCTGTAAATGCTCTAAAAATAATTGATTTCCCAGAAGGACAATATCAAGCTGCTAGTAAGTCTAAAGAACGCATGGAGTGTGATAGACTTGTTGGTTCCAAATATTAGTTACCTCGGTAAAGTAAAATGAGCATAAATTTATAATGGTTAAACCGAGGAAACAAAGGTTTTTGATCTCAAGAAGAGACATTAAACATGACAAGAAAGAAATTCAGGTACCTGAGACAAAGAAGAGATCTCGAGAATTAATTATGTCATGTAGGAATAAAATGGAACCATAAAAGCAAATCGACGTCGTAAATAAAATATTTGCATGCATTATAGCAGTTGATGTTATGAATGAGAAAGAGGATCATGAAACAAAGTCTATTGCATTGTGTACACAAAGTAATGATTTGGCCAAATCGAAAAGAAGTAATAGACACAAAACTAAAATCTCTTAGAAAGAGAAATGTATTTGGACCAGAAGTCCTTACACCTTAAAAAGTGTAAAACAAGTGGGTTATAATAGGCATGTGGTGGATGCAACTTTCAAGTTCATTAAGTGTGGCAATGAAAGAAGAACTTGACTCATAAGACCCACTAAATAATGACATTTTTATAAAAGTCCCTGAAGGATATAATTCTGAAGGATTAATGATATCAAAACTAGGTTCCGAAGAACTCTAATTATTTGATCAAATGAAGAGAAATACCTCTCAGTGGGGTACAATCACAAAAGTGATATATATACATACATATATAATCAGTACCCACTGTATATTTATAAAAATATTAAGTTGGATCAAAAGAGATCTTTAATCTAAACATTATCGAAATTCTGAAGAATTGTCGAATTAGAAGATTAGATAAAAGATATTGGAAAGACAAATTTGTCTTAAGATATCTCATATTCACAGTTTAACAAAAGAGATATCATCTCAAAAGATCCTTGTAAGATTTGCATTAAAAATGCTCACATTTGGTCTTGAAGTACCACACTATAAATTATATTTGAGAAATGTGTTGGTCTCTTTCATAACTGAAAGATGAGAACAAAATGAGCATGAAATAATACAAGATAGACATTTACAAGAATGTATATAAAGAGAAAGTTTGGCCAGAAGTCCAAATATAACAAGAAATGATTGTTTATAGAAATAGATGATATATTATAGCAATCTCCAAAAGATGATATTTATTATTGGAATGCATCTCTTGAAGAAGATGCTTCCAAGGGGAGATATAAGATGATATGTGTGGTTGTACTCTTTTTCCTTATTGTGGTTTTTATCCCATTGGGTTTTTCCATGAAAGGTTTTAATGAGGCAACAAAGAACACACAAATGAGAAATATCTAAAGGAAGTCTAAAGATGAATGTTTAATTTCCTTTCCAAAATTCTTCTCATCCATGTATGAGATCAATTGAAGCAAAGAGAATGATCAAGATAAATCACCAGCAAGATTCATGCACTACAGAAGAATGACGATGTCAATGTCCTAAATATTGTTCAAACAAAGACTGAAGATTTACTCGAAGATTTACCTGACAAGGAGTTTTCAACTACAACTTTCAAGGAAAGAGGTTATCTGATTGTGATGGATGTTCTCATGAGGGGGAGTGATTGCGCGATGCACTCTTTTTCCTTAACCAAGGTTTTTCCCACTGGGTTTTCCTGGTAAAGGTTTTAACGAGGCATCATCTTATGTATTTAGAATGTATTTTTGTATAATGGACATCCAAGGGGGAGTGTTATGGGTAAATAAGTGGATGCCCATTAGGCCCATCTTATTCCCTAACACAAACTCTACATAAACTCTACTTGTAATCATATATATAGGATCATCACCTCCAATGAATGAATAAGCTCATTCCATTCTCTCATTTCACAACAGACAGTTCTTTTTTTTTGGTAAAAATGTTAAAAGAGATTTTGGAGATTTTGGAAGCTGCACCGCTCAAATCACGAACTGGTGTCATTAACGAAGAAGATTTTACTCTTCACCGTTGAACAAGAAATACTGGAAGGGTTGTAGGTATTTGTCCATTCTGTGAATCTTTTTCTGCTTGACTTTGAGCGTTCAATTGAGTTTGGATTTCATGTGCTTCTCTTTCTATTTGCGGGGTTTCCCGTATCTCGCTAGGGTTTTGCTTTGACCCTGCCTCGGTGCTTGTAAATCTGTGTTTGGTTCATGAGAAAAAGAAAATACTTAGGATTTTCACATCCCTTGTTCGTATTTTTGATGTTTTCAGGTTTTGGTGTCTGGTTTGGGGATTCTAACCTTTAAAGTGGACATCTGCAACTACAAAAGCTGAAAGCTTTGGATATCTGTTATGGATAGGATAAGTCAATTGCCTGATGCGCTACTCTTGAGAATACTTTCAGTACTGCCTACTTCTAAAGATGCTGTGGCCACAATGGTTTTGTCAAAACGATGGCAACCTCTTTGGAAATTAGTGCCAAGACTTGTATACGACGACCAGGGCTATCAAAACATCGAGTATTGGAAGTTTTCGCGCTTTGTAGATAGGTCTTTGATTCTGTACGAGGCACCGGTAGACACTTTGCATTTTAAAATTATTCAAACGTCTGGTGCTGCTGATATTGGTAAATGGATTACAATTGCGGTTAAACACCGTGTGCGTGACCTGATTATCGAGCTCGACTGCTCTTCCAGTACAACTCCAGTCACACTTCCGAGGAGTTTATACACATGGTGTAGAATGCTTGTGACCTTGAAACTCAAGAGTGTGATTCTTGTGGATGCATCTTCCTTGCCTTCTTTTCCAACCCTCAAAACTTTGAGCCTTTTATCTGTCAAGTACCCTGGTGATGAATTTATCAAGAGTCTTTTATCCAATTGTTATGTTCTTCAAGATCCGGATGTGAAAAGATGTGACAATGACAATGTGACCATTTTCACAGTTATAGTGCCTTCTCTGAAGAGTTTACATCTAGCTAGATGAAAAATCAGACGAGTTTAAAGACGGTGGTTTCGTGATAGATGCTCCGCTTTTAGAGATGTTTCACATTCGTGATTATATCACTGATTTTTGTGTCACTGAAAATGATATGCCGGAGATAGTCAGTTATAGTCATCCCCGGAAGATTTTGGGTTATATTACTTCAGTCAAGCTTCTCTCTCTATGTTTTGCAATAACTTCAAAGGTATACTTTTTTAGTTATCCACAGGCTCTAGTTTTTATCTTTATACCGTGCTTGCCACGAATAGTGGGCTAAATTACTTGTTGTGTCTTGTATGCAGGAGGTGTATCCTGATGGCAGTGTCTTCCACCGTCTTGTACATCTTACGCTATGCACATGTTGGAAAGAGTGGTTGAAACTACTTATGTATCTTCTCAGAAATTCTCCTACATTACAAGCTCTCAAACTCATTCAGGTATGAGGTACCTATATATTTCGTCCCAAATTTAAATCCAGTTTCCTTGATCTCTAATGCACACTATACTTCCATCCTGCTAATTTATATCAGCGCCATACACTTGAAGATGACCGACAAAGCCCGCGTTGGAATGAACCGAGCTCAGTCCCTGAATGTGTTTTATCGAGTCTTGAAACTCTCCAATGGGTACGATATGAAGGAACAGAAGAAGAGAAAGGAGTGGTGGAATTCATCTTGAAAAGTGCAAATTGTTTAAAGAAGGCAACTATCTCCTCCAAAGCAACCGACCCCAACAAGAAACTAGAGATGATCAAAGAATTGTCATCGTCACCTAGGCGCTCACCTACATGTCAGCTCATATTTGACTGAAGTTATCGTTAGACTTGTTCAGCAAGTCAAATAACATCTTGTTATTGAGCGTTTGATCTGAAACATGGATATGCTGAAACTTTAAAAGCTTACATTTAGCTCTCTCAATATCTTATGCTCTTCTCATACTTGGTTTTCCTTAACGTTTTCTCTCAGTTTGGGAATGTTTTGTGGTTTTATTGTAGAATTAGCTCTTACACAAACTCGGCTTTTGTTATGTATGTTTGGTCAATTTATTTATTTTCTTGGTTGTTGAATCAGAGTTGAAAATCTTGTCTTTTTTAGCTCTTCAAATTTCTTATGTTTTTTGTCTATACTAGAGGAAAGGAACATACAGAAGAACTATTGTCTTAATCATATCTTATGGGTCTTTCTTTTCTCCTTCTTTGTACACTGTTAGAGTTGAATCTTACACAACAAGTTAGAGCCTGCATACAAACACTGTATGCGCGTCAGATCATGAAGAACATTTAATTATTGCAGCTAAATAGTATATTATTGTAAACTGTTTTTATCTTGTTTTAAAGGAGTGGGAACGTTAAATCTCTTTGTCCATTGTATCGGCCGAGAGAGAAACAATTTCCAAGTGTATCTGATGACTAAAATTGACGGAGGTGTAAGTTTGGAACGAAGGCTTTATGAGTAAAAACTAAAAACAAAAATATGGAAGAACAGAAAAAGTGGTTGCGTTCATTTTATGCGCATGGAAACTAGTTATAGTGTCGCCTTTTCACCATTTTATTTTCTCTAATAAGAGAAGCGGGAAGGCATTCAGGGAAAACGGTCACGTTTTGACATATTATGAATACCAGAGTTGTATTTCATTAACCAGTAAGGTCTTGTAATTTTTTTTTAAAACATTCCTAATGTACATAAGAAGTCAATCTATTATTAATTTATAATTTTGGAAGTTGCACCACTCAGATCAATTAGGTTTTACAGGTATTTCTCTATTTTGAGCTCGTTTGCTTCTGTAGGAGTTAAAAAAAATATAGATTTTTGGATGAAATGAGAGGAGATCGGACTAAACGGGTTGAGAAGAAATATAACAGGACATGAGGGGAATTTTACCAATCTCTTATTACATTAAGTGACAAGACGGGACAAAAAAGAAACGGAAGAGGACGAGATGGGACGGACGGGGGAAGAAACAGAAGGACCGAGATGGGACAAGACAAGACGGATGAAAAGGAATGAGATAGGATGAGACTGAACGGGACATGACATGATGAAAAGGAACATAATGAGACAGGACGAGACAAGAATGTCACCTATCTCTAATTATATTTAGGGACGAGACGGGAAAAATAGATATGAAAGATGGGATTGCACGGGACACACAGGACAGAAATGGATATGATGAAAAAGATGGGATTGCACGGGACACACATGACATAATATACATGAAAATGAACGAAATAGGACGTTACTAAAATTTTGTCCAACCCTAATTATATATATTTAATTAATATATGTATGACATTTTTGAAATAATAATAAAGCATAGAAATAAATTAAATTTGCAGAGAATAATAAAATTAACACCGCACTGTAAATCCCCGTGCTAATCACCCCTAGTTACTATTGTATAAACAATGCTCCGAAAATAGATGGGTAATTACCTTAGATTTTCAATAACGTAAAATGTTAGCGTTATCTACTAGAACTAGATATATGAAGTTCATGATGAGTGTAAAGCAAAATTATTTGGTTCGGCCAAATGTGAGCTTGGTCTAGTATAGTTGGTTCACCTATCTCGGTTTGGTTTTTCGAATCGAAACCAAAAATTCAACAAACAAAGATATTGGTTCGGCTGAACTGGGCAATCTTGGTTCTGAATTTATGGTTCGTTTGACAAAGAATAAAAATGTAAGGAGATAAATTATGGATAAATTATGGACTGTTGGATAAATTATGGATAAATTATGACAAAGAATAAATTATGGACTGTTGGATCTAATACTGTCAAAAATCAAAGGTTTGGTTACTTTAGAAGTTGCTGATGCTAGTTTAAAAAGGCAATGATTATACAAGTTCCACTTTCCTTGGTTCCCATTGGTTGATTGCTTTGAGAAACACAAATCTGGTTACTTGTACACGATACGTTTCCATAATATCGTAAATAAAATAAAACAACATAAATTAGCAGTACTAGCTAGTATTATCTTTAGGACTGAACAAGCGGGTATTACCGTATTACCCACAGACATACTTTCTCAACACCTTATTACAAGACATACTTCGAATGTTTGGCATACTTTTATGATGACAATTGTCTATTTTACCTCCAACTACCTAGGCAAGTACCTAGGTATTTTTGCTATATTTGCAATCCGGCTTACCTCATTTCATTTATACAAAATAATGATATGTGACTTGACTTGTAAGATACAAGTATTTGCCAAATATTTGCCAAATATTAACTAACTTGCAATTAACTCGTTTTGTCTTGCGACACGTAAATTTTCTTAAAAACAACAATATTTGCCTTGTTCAAGACATCAATCCAACTTAAATCATTCAAGTTGGTTGGGCCAACTACATATTGTCAAATGCCCAATAGGCAAATATCAAATATTATAATGATACTTGTTACTCGGCCGGTACTTGCAAGTAATTAAATAATCATATTTGTTATTTGCCTTATTAACAAGTACTTGTATTTTTGGGTAGGTAGAAGCAAATCACAAGGGTATATGTAGGAGCAAATCGCAAGTATCAGACGAATAACATGTACATGTGCTCAAGCCTAATCCCAGCCACAAGAAACTCACTTTACCTTGTAAGTTTCATCTCTCAGCCGCCATTGCTCATCTTCGTAATGATTATATGAAAGTGAATTGTACTGGGTTGTATTGATTTGATAAAGATTACAGCTCTGTATATAACAGAGATAGAAGAATCATACAATAATGAGATGAATATCTAATTGAATGATGGTAGCGATTTTGAGTGATCATGCTAGTTTGGAATGATACTCTTTCCTTAATACTTAGGTCCGCTTTTACCTTTCACTTACGAAAAAAATTTTGAAATTCCAATAGAGGCTGGTAAAGTAAATTGTCTTTCTCGGTATCAGCAACCACACCATTGCAATTGACCATCTTGAACGAGAAACATCGGAGGTGTTTCAGGTATTTGCACATTCTTCTTTTTTTTTTGGTTCAAATTGCACATACTTCTTATTCATGAATAATCTTCACTAAGTCGATTTAAGCATCTCTGACCCAAAAGAAAAATAAAGAACAACGTCTATGAGTTTGGACTTGGTGTGCTTTTTGTTCTATATGTGGTTTACGTACGTCGTCGTTGCATATTAATTAGTCCTATTTGTTTTGTTCCTGAGAAATGAGATTCTCATTTCACTTACTTGTTTCCAGGCTTTCGTCTCTGGTTTCTGGCTTTCGTTTCTGGAAATCTGTCATATGGATAGGATAAGTCTGTTGCCTGATGAGCTGCTCTTGAGAATACTGTCGCTACTGCCTACTACGAAAGATGTTGTGGCCACTATGGTTTTGTCTCAACGATGGTTGCCTCTTTGGAAGTTAATGCCAAAACTCGTCTACGACGATAGCAATCAAAACATTGAGTATGCAAAGTTTTCTCGCTTTGTGGACAGGTCTTTGATTTTTCACGAGGCACCACTAGACACTTTGCATTTCAAACTTGTTCAAAACTCTAGTGCTGCTGATGTTGGTATGTGGACTGTAGTTGCGGTTAAACGCTGCGTTCGTGAACTGCATATCGAATCTTCTCCCAGTACAACTCCAGTCACGCTTCCAAGGAGCTTCTACACAGGGTGTGCAGCCCTTGTGACCTTGAAACTAAAGAGTGTGACTCTTGTGGATGTTTCTTCCTTGCCTTCTTTCCTGACCCTAAAAGCATTTAGCCTTTTACGTGTCAAGTTCCCTGGTGATGCATTTGTCTGTTGAAATGTTGATCATCGGAAAAAAAAAAAAAAAACAGAGTAAGATGAGAAGAGAGACAAAAACAGAGTAAGAGACAAGGGTTTGTCTCTTCTCTTATGAAGAAGAACATAAACGAAATAGAACTTTTTTTCTTTATTGATATGAAACTTGATTATTGTTACATCACGTGTTACATGGTTTATATACGAAGACAACACACAACTAAGAGTTGTGTCTCTTCATTGTGACTCTTAAAGGAACCAACACCTCTTAACCTAAAAGACACCACATGAGTAACTGTCAAGTAACTGTCAAATGTAAATGTTGGTTCTAACTTATGTAGTAAATGTGATTCTGGTTTAGAGATATGATTATGGTTTCAACATTGTCAAGAGGCTTTTCTCCAGTTATCATGTTCTTCAATATCTGGAGGTGGGACGATTAGAAATTGACAATGTCACCGTTTTCACCGTTATTGTGCCTTCTCTGAAGACTCTCAAATTAGGTAGAATATCACGCAAAGTGAAAGACGGTGCACATGGTTTTGTGGTCGATGCTCCTCTTTTGGAGATCTTTCTCATTCATGATTATATGGGTGGGTTTTGTGTCATTAAGAATGATATGCCTAAAATTGTCAGGGCCGGTTTTAGTGTCACTTATAGTCAGCCGCGGAAGCTTATGAGTTGTATTACTTCAGTCAAGTGTCTCACTTTATGTTTATCAACTTCAAATGTATTTTTTGGTTATCTTTATACTGTGTGCATTCTTGAGTATTTTTCTAAATTAATATGCTAAATTTCTTGTTTACTTGTATGCAGGAGGTGTATCCTGTTGGTACTGTCTTCCACAATCTTGTACTTTTAAGGCTATGCACATGTCAGGAAGAGTGGTTGAATCTACTTATGTGTATGCTCAGAGGCTGCCCTAATTTACAATATCTAAGATTCTTCCAGGTAACTATATATACATTACCAGCTTCCTTGATCAGTACATATGATGATCTCTAATGCTAACTATATTTATATCAGTACCATAAACCTCCCACTGCCGAGCCACATCCTTGTTGGAAAGAACCAAGTTCGGTCCCTAGGTGTTTGTTATCGAGTCTTGAAACTCTGACATGGGCAAACTATGAAGGAAGAGAAGAACAGAAGCAAGTGGCAGCATTCATCTTGAGAAGTGCAAATTTTTTAAAGAAGGCGACTATCTCCTCCAAAGCAACCGACCCCAAGGAGAAACTAGAGATGATAAAGGAATTGTCATCCTCACCCAGGCGCTCACCTACATGTCAGCTCATATTTTACTGAAGTTATCGTTAGACTTGTTCAGCAAGTCAAATAACATCTGGTCATTGAGTGTTTGATATGCTGGAACTTAAAAGCTTGTATTAAGCTTTCTGGATTTCTTATGTTCTTCTCATACTTGGTTTTCTTTAACGTTTTCTCTTTCAATTTGGGAATGTTTTGCGGTTCAATTGTACAATTAGCATTTCCATAAACTCGGCTTTTGTTATGTTGGTTTGGTCTGTTTAATGTTCTTCTTTTGTGAATGAGAGTTGAAAACCGTATACTTTGGTCTATACTTTGAGGAAAGAAACATACGGAAGAACTATTCTTTAGTGGTTTATCTGAAGCATTAATCATCCTATATAATTTTTATGGGTCTTTCTTTTCTCTTTTTTTGTACGACTTGAATCTTACACAACAAGTTAGTGTGTTCATAATTTATTATAGTTTTGTTTTCAAGGAGCGGGAACGTTAAATCTCTTTGTCCATTGTATCGGCCGAGAGAGAAACAATTTGAGGGATTAGAGTTCGTCTCTGATGACCAAAATTGAGTAATCAGTTTCTTCGCTATGGAGTTGTAATATGCGCGCGGAAACGAGTAAATAGCTTTTTCATCATTTTTTGTTTCTTCTCTAATTAATAAAGGCATAAAATACAATACGTTTCCATAGAATCGTAAATATAAATACAGCATAAATTAGCAGTATTAGTATTATTTCTAGGACTGAACAGGCCCACAAACATATTTTCTCAACACCTTATGACAAGACATACTTGGAATGTTTGGCACACTTTATGATGACAGTTGTCTATTTTACCTCCAACTAAATTCACTTGATCAATTCAAAATTCAAGCTAGGGTTGGACACAAGGAAGTACTTAAGTTTTTTGCTATATTTACAATTTGTCATACCTCGTTCGATTTATACAAAATAATGATCTCTGACTTGCCTTGTAAGATATAAGTACTTGCCAAATATTAACCGACTTGCAAGTGATTTGTTTTGTCTTGCGACCCATAAAATTTCTTAAAAACAACAAAACTTGCATTTCAAGACATCAATCCAACTTAAAACATTCAAGTTGGGCCAACTATATATTGTCAAATGCCCAATACAATAATACCCAATAGTAACGGGCAAATATCAAATATAATAATGATATTTGTTACTCGCCCGTACTTGCAAGTAATTAAATAATCATATTTGTTACTTGTCTTATTAAGTACTTGTATTTGTGGGTAGGTAGAAGCAAATCACAAGGGTAGGTAGAAGCAAATCGCAAGTATCAGGCGAATAACAAGTACCTGTGCTCAGGTCAAATTCCAGCCACAAGAAACTGGTTTTACCTTGTCTCTCTTTCCACTCTCATCGACGATTCTTCCCCTTTTCACTTTCACCTCCTCGTAAGTTTCATCTCTCAGCCGCCATTGCTTATCTTTGTATTGATTACATGAAAGTGAGTTGTATTGTGTTGTATTGATTTGATAAGGATTACAGCTCTATATATAACAGAGATACAAGAATCATACAATAAATGAAATGAATATCTAATTGACTGATTGTAGCGATTGTGAGTGATCATGCTAGTTTGAAACGATACTCTTTCCTTAATACTTCGGTCCGCTTTTACCTTTCACTTACGAAAAAACTTTGAAATTCCAACAGAGACTCGTAAAGTAAATTCTCTTCCTCGGTATCAGCAACCACACCATTGCAATTGACCATCGTTGAGCGAGAAACATCGGAGGTGTTTCAGGTATTTGCACATTCTTCTTATTCATGAATAATGAATAATCTTCACTAAGTCGATTTAAGCGATTCTAAGCAGCTTCTATGAGTTTGGACTTGGTGTGCTTCTTGTTCTATATGTGGTTTACGTACCTCGTCGTTGCTTATCACTCCTATTTGTTTTGTTCCTGAGAAATGAGATTCTCATTTCACTTACTTGTTTTCAGGCTTTCCTGTTTCTGGAAATCTGTCATATGGATAGGATAAGTCTGTTGCCTGATGAGCTGCTCTTGAGAATACTGTCGCTACTGCCTACTACGAAAGATGTTGTGGCCACTATGGTTTTGTCTCAACGATGGCTGCCTCTTTGGAAGTTAATGCCAAAACTTGTCTACGACGATAGCTATCAAAACATTGAGTATGGAAAGTTTTCTCGCTTTGTGGACAGGTCTTTGATTCTGCACGAGGCACCAGTAGACACTTTGCATTTCAAACTTGTTCAAAACTCTAGTGCTGCTGATGTTGGTATATGGACTGCAATTGCGGTTAAACGCTGCGTGCGTGAACTGATATCGAATCTTCTCCCAGTACAACTCCAGTCACGCTTCCAAGGAGCTTGTACACAGGGTGTGCAGCCTTGTGACCTTGAAACTAAAGAGTGTGACTCTTGTGGATGTTTCTTCCTTGCCTTCTTTCCCGACCCTAAAAGCATTGGCCTTATATGTGTGAAGTACCCTGGTGATGAATTTGTCAAGAGGCTTTTATCCAATTGTCATGTTCTTCAATATCTGAGGTGGGACGATTACAAAATGACAATGTCACCGTTTTCACCGTTATTGTGCCTTCTCTGAAGACTCTCAGAATAGGTAGATATCACGCGAAGTGAAAGACGGTGCACATGGTTTCGTGATAGATGCTCCTCTTTTGAAGATCTTTCTCATTCATGATGATATGGGTGGGTTTTGTGTCATTGAGAATGATATGCCTAAAATTGTCAAGGCCGGTTTTAGTGTCACTTATAGTCAGCCGGGAAGATTATGAGTTGTATTACTTCAGTCAAGGCCTCACTTTATGTTTACCAACTTCAAAGGTATTTTTTTGGTTATCTTTATACCGTGTGCATTCTTGAGTATTTTTCTTAATTAATATGCTAAATTTCTTGTTTACTTGTTATGTCTTGTATGCAGGAGGTGTATCCTACTGTCTTCCACATCTTGTAGTTTTAAAGCTATGCACATGTCAGGCAGAGTGGTTGAATCTACTTCTGTGTATGCTCAGAGGTTGCCCTAATTTACAATCTCTAAGATTCTTCCAGGTAAGTATATATACATTACAAGCTTCCTTGATCAGTACATATGATGATCTCTAATGCTAACTATATTTCTATCAGTGCCATAAACCTCATTCCGGCTGCCAAGCCACGTCCTTGTTGGAAAGAACCAAGTTCGGTCCCTGGGTGTTTTTCATCGAGTCTTAAAACTCTGACATGGGCAAACTATGAAGGAAGAGAAGAAGAGAAACAAGTGGCAGCATTCATCTTAAGAAGTGCAAGTTTTTTAAAGAAGGCGACTATCTCCTCCAAAGCAACCGACCCCAAGGAGAAACTAGAGATGATCAAGGAATTGTCATCCTCACCCAGGCGCTCACCTACATGTCAGCTCATATTTGTCTGAAGTTATCGTTAGACTTGTTCAGCAAGTCAACTAACACCTGGTCATTGAGTGTTTGATCTAAAACATTGGATATGCTGAAACTTAAAAGCCTATATTAAGCTTTCTGGATTTCTTATGTTCTTCTCATACTTGATTTTCTTTAACGTTTTCTCTTTCAATTTGGGAATGTTTTGCTGTACAATTGTACAATTAGCTCTTCCATAAACTCGGCTTTTGTTATGTTGGTTTTATCTGTTTAATTTTCTTCTTTTGTGAATCAGAGTTGAAAACCCTATACTTTTTAGGTCTATACTTTGAGGAAAGAAACATACGGAAGAGCTATTCTTCTTCCGTGGCTTACCTGAAACATTAATCATCATCCTATCTAGTTTTTATGGGTCTTTCTTTTCTCTTTTTCTGTACACTGTTAGACTTGAATCTTACAAAACAAGTTAGGGTGTTCATAATTTATTATAGTTTTGTTTTCAAGGAGCGGGAACGTTAAAACTCTTTGTCCATTGTATCGGCCGAGAGAGAAAGAATTTGAGGGTTTAGGGTTCGTATCTGATGGCTGAAATTGAGTATCAGATTCTTCGGCTAATCTTCGCTATGGAGTTGTAATAGCTTTTTCGTCATTTTTCCCTTCTGAAATTAATAAGAGAAGCGGGAAGGCCTTCAGGGAAAACGGTCACGTTTTGACATATTATGAATACCAAAGTGTATTTCATTAACCCATTAAGCTCTTGTATTTTTTAAACATTCCTAAATCAGTACGTGTATATATATACAAATGATGATATGTAATGTACAGTAAATTTTCATCAGCACCATTCCCTTCCCGATCAAACGCGCCCCTGCTGGATTGAACCGAGCTCAATTCCTTAGTGTCTGTTAACGAGTCTTGAAACTCTCGAATGGAAAGACTATGAAGGAACAGAAGAAGAGAAGCAAGTGGCAGCATTCATCTTAAGAAACGGAAGCTGTTTAAAGAATCTCCATCGCTGGTTCTTAGGTGGGTTTTAAGAAAGTTTTTAGCCTTTAAATGAGAAAAGAAAAGAGAAACTAAATTAATTTTGTGGAACCAGGTTTTTAGCAAAAAACTTTCTACTGGGTTTAAAACCCGACACGCGTCGCCACGGCATTTAATCAACTTTTGAAAAGAAAAACAAAAACAGAAAACTCATTTTCTCTCTCTCTCTCTCTCTCGTCCGCCGAATCGCCTTCTTCCCGATTTGATTCCGGCGAATCGTTTCTGTCCGACCTCCTGATCGTCGGAGATGGTGTTTGGATGTCTCCTTGGGGAAAGTGAGTTAGACGTTTTTAATCTGTTTCATGATTTGGTCTCGAATTTCTATTAGTGTTGTGAATTTGATCAATTTGGAGATTCTCTCATTTCTCTGTATCGGATTCATAATTGTGTAAAGAAAAATTGTAGGCACATTGAGATGGACTGTAAGAGTGAGAAAACTCTGATATTATAGAGAGATGGAGAGTTTGAAATCCTTTTTTGTATATCTTATTGATTGTTGTTCTGGATGCATTGCAGATTGTAATCACTCTAGAGATTTATGGTGTTAAGAACATTGTTGGGATTCAGCAGTTGATTTTATGAAACATCACCCGTAGATCAATGAAACATCACCCGCTCTAAGTAGCAGTGGAAGCAGAGGTAAGATTGGGTTCCAGACTTTATTCATAAAAGAAATTTCCAACTTTGTAAGATCATAGATTCTGATTTTGAAATTTGACTTTGCTTAGGAGAGAGGAATCAACATGCTTTTCCTGATAGGTGGTAACGGTACTCATGCTGGAGCTAACGCTATACACGATGAAGTTGTTACTTTAACACTTGAAACTAAATGTTGTTCTTGTCAAGATTCGGTAGTCTTGCTTCTTCTCCTTCTTACCATTCTCTCTTGCTTTTGAATTCACTAGTGCCGCAAAAGAAAGATGAAGGTAGCTGTAGTTGGTGTGCCAAAAACCATTGACAATGATATTTTTCATATGAAAGAAGCTCAACGAGCTATCAACTCTGCCTACATTGAGGTAAATTTCATTGAAGTAATACGTCTCTTTGCTTGAAATACTTTAACTAATTTTTTGATTTTTTTTGGTATCAGGCACAGAGTGCTTGTCATTGCATTGGTATTGTAAAACTTATGGGTCGTAAAAGTGGTTTCATAGCGATGCAAGCCTCTCTAGCAAGTGGACAAGTCGACATCTGTTTGATTCCTGAGGTACTTAAGTGTACTTCTTGTTCTTATTTGCAATCTCCAAAACATGATTTGATGAGCTTGCTTATGCATCTTCTTTATTCAAGGTTCCTTTTAATCTTCATGGACCTCATGGTGTGCTGAAGCATTTGTTCCTTGTTCATGCAACAAACTTCATGGTGTGCTGAAGCATTTGTTCCTTGTTCATGGTGTGCTCACCTTGTTGTCCTAAAGCTTCTCTTGTTCTTTGTTCATGCAAAACCAAAACAACAAAAAACTTCTAGTTTCTTCTCTTGTTCCTTGTAAAATTTTGTAATTTTGTAAAAGTGTTTATAAATTTTTTTTTAAGAACCAAATAAAAAGTTTTAGGGATGGAGGAAGAAATAATTAAGAACCATACAAAAGTTGTTAGCATTGATTTGTGTGAAAAATAGTAATAAAAAAATGTTTAGAACCAAAAATTGGGTTTTTGGGATGGAGATGGTCTAACCATCTTCTCCAAAGCTACCGATCCTAACAGAAAACTTGAGATGCTCAAGGAATTGTCTATCTGATCACCTAGGCGCTCACCTCTCATATTTGACTAGACTTGTTCAGTAAGTCAAGTAACCTCTGGTTGTTGGGTGTTTTGTCTGAAACCTTGGATATGCTGACCAAAACTTTAAATCTTATATTTAGCTCTTTGAATTTTCTTATCTTCTTCTTCTAGCTATATTTAGACGAGATAGAAACATACAGAAAAACCATTATCTTACTTGGTTTTAATACATGTTTTCACCTTTTAGTTTAAAACAAACAATGCAGTGCATTGAATTGACTTTAAAACCTTTAATATTACACTATATTACTACTATAAACAAAAAAAAAAAAATAAAAAAAATAACATAAAAAAAAAAAAAAAAAAAAAAAAAAAAATATAAAATAAATTAAAAATAAAAAAAAAAAAATTGTTTAAGTGATAAAAACTTGTAATATAGTTTAAAAGACTAATTACATATATGCAGTAAGTCAAGTAACCTCTGGTTGTTGGGTGTTTTGTCTGAAACCTTGGATATGCTGACCAAAACTTTAAATCTTATATTTAGCTCTTTGAATTTTCTTATCTTCTTCTTCTAGCTATATTTAGACAAAGAAACATACAGAAAAACCATTATCTTACTTGGTTTTAATACATGTTTTCACCTTTTAGTTTAAAACAAACAATGCAGTGCATTGAATTGACTTTAAAACCTTTAATATTACACTATATTACTACTATAAACAATGCTCTGAAAATAGATCGGTAATTACCTTAGATTTTCAATAACGTAAAATGTTTTAGCGTTATATACTAGAACTAGATATATGAAGTTCATGAATGAGTGTAAAGCAAAATTATTTGGTTCGGCCAAATGTGAGCTTGGTCTAGTATAGTTGGTTCACCTATCGGTTTGGTTTTTCGAATCGAAACAAAAAAATCAACAACAAACAAAGATATTGGTTCGGCTGAACTGGGCAATCTTGGTTCTGAATTTATGGTTCGTTTGACAAAGAATAAAAATGTAAGAAATAAATTATGGACCATTGGACTAATACTGTCAATATTAAATCAAAGGTTAGGTTAGTTTAGAAGTTGCTGAGGCTAGTTTAAAAAGGCAATGATTATACACGTTCCACTTTCCTTGGTTCTCGTTGGTTGCTTTGAGAAACACAAATCTGGTTACTAGTATTATCTCTAGGACTGAACAGGCGGGTATTACCCACATACATACTTTCTCAACACCTTATTACAAGACACTTCGAATGTTTGGCATACTTTATGATGACAATTGTCTATTTTACCTCCAACTAAACTCACTTGATCAATTCAAGCTAGGGTTGGGCACGAGGCAAGTATCTAGGATTTTTGCATATTTGCAATCCGCCTTACCTCGTTCGATTTATACAAAATAATGATCTATGACTTGTCCTTATAAGATATAAGTACTTGCCAAATATTAACCGACTTGTAAGTAACGTTTTGTCTTGCGACCCATAAATTTTCTTAAAAACAACAAATATTTGCTCGTTCAAGACATCAATCCAACTTAAAACATTCAAGTTGGGCCAACTATATATTGTCAAATGCCCAATACAACAATATCCAACATGACTCGGGCAAGTATATACTTGTTACTCGACCCGACTTGCAAGTAATTAAATAATCATATTTGTTACTTACCTTATTAACAAGTACTTGTATTTGTGGGTAGGTAGAAGCAAATCACAAGGGTAGGTAGGAGCAAATCGCAAGTATCAGATGAATAACATGTACCTGTGCTCAGCCTAATCCCAGCCACAAGAAACTGACTTTACCTTGTAAGTTTCATCTCTCAGCCGCCATTGCTCATCTTCGTATTGATTATATGAAAGTGAATTGTATTGTGTTGTATTGATTTGATAAGGATTACAGCTCTATATATAACAGAGATACAAGAATCATACAATAAATGAAATGAATATCTAATTGAGTGATTGTAGCGATTGTGATTAAGAAGTGATTGGAAGTTGAAAGCTTGGGAATCTAAGGATTCAGGCATTTTCTTAATTTGAAGTGACAGAAAAAAACCTCAATTTCTTATAAATTCTTGTATGTGGTAGCTGAAAGCTCTGGATATCAAGGGCTTGGATCGGATGGATAGGATAAGTCCGTTGCATGATGAGCTACTCTTGAAGATATTTTCGTTTCTTCCTACTACTAAACATGTTGTGGCGACGATGGTTCTGTCTAAACGGTGGCAGCCGCTTTGGATGATGGTGCCAAGACTTGTATACGATGATACTAGCTATCAAAACGTTGGTTATGGAAGTTTTCGGCGCTTTGTAGACAGGTCTCTGCTTTTTCACAAGGCTCCAGTTCTTGAAACCTTGCGTTTCAAAGTTACTCAAACCTCTGGGGTTGGAGATATTCCGCTGTGGACTAGAGCTGCAGAGAAACACGCTCTGCGTGAGCTGTTATCGAAATCCATAGCTCTTCTATTGCATCTCCGGCCATACTTCCAAGGAGTTTGTACACAGGGTGTAGAATGCTTGTGACGTTGACTAATAACGTGATTCTTGTGGATGCTGCTTCACCGATTTCTTTCCCGACCCTCAAAATCTTGGAACTTAACTCCGTGAAGTACCCTGGTGATGAGTTTGTCAAGAGGTTTCTATCCAATTGTATCCTGTTCTTGAGACTTGGTGTTGAGCAATGTCCCGGTGACAATGTGACCGTTTTCACCGTTAGAGTGCCTTCTCTTGAGAGTTTATACTTGCGGAAATCATCAGACACAGATGTGGATGATGCAGATGATGCAAAGGGGTTTGTGATAGACGCTCCTTCTTTGAAGTACTTGGGCATTACTGATACTATCGGTGGATTTTGTGTCATTGAGAATGAAATGCCTAATATTGTAAAGGCAAATGTTGAAGCTGATTATAAGTGTGTTAGCAATATTTTGGGTTCGATAACGTCTGTCAAACGTCTCCATTTATGTTTGCGGTACTCAAAGGTAAATGATATACTCTTTAACTTACGAGCTTTTGCTTCTAACCATTCACATATCTGCATCTTGCTTTTCTTTATAGTATCAGTTATTTACAACGACTGTGTTCCACCTACAATAGTGGGCTCTCTTATTGGATCAAATATATTGGCACTCATTGATCACGTACATAATGATTGTCTCTTTTGCAGGATGTATATCCTGTTGGTAGTGTCTTCCACCATCTTATACATTTGAAGATATGCACTTGTGAACCAGAGTGGTTGAATCTATTTATTCCTCTGCTCAGGATTCCCCTAAACTAAAATACCTCAAACTCAAACAGGTAACACATAGATCTACACCTCAACTTTTCCTTTTATCCTTTGTCAAGTATATATCTTGTTCTAATCCACTCTCTTGTATTCTATCAGTCCATACCGCTCCCGACAGACCTCGCCCCTGCTGGATTGAACCGAGCTCGATTCCTGAGTGTTTGTTAACGAGTCTTGAAACTCTGGACTGGGATAACTATGAAGGAGCAGAAGAAGAGAAGGAAGTTGCAACATTCATCTTAAGAAACGGAAACTGTTTAAAGAATGTTGCCGTCTTCTCCTCCACATCCATTGACAGCGACGAGAAACTTGAGATGATCAAGGATTTATCATATTGGCCAAGGCGTTCACCTGCTTGTCATCTAACATTCGACTGAAGTTGCGGTTGAATGAGAAATCTTGTTGGTGTTTGATCTGAATGTTAGATAAGCTATCAGAATTTATTATGCTCTCGTACTAGAAGAAAGAATGAAACATGAGAAATATTATCTTCCCTTCGTTTAATCTCCATTTCTGTAACTTTTTATCTCATATATTATTAGGCAAGGATTTGTGGTGTTTAACTGTGCACACTTCTCTCCTTTTATCCAAAAGAAAGACAGTGTAGTGATAGATGCTCCTCTTTTAGAGATCATGTACATTCATGATGTTGTAAGTGAGTTTTGTGTCATTGAGAATCCTATGCCTAAGATTGTCAAGGCAGGTCTTCTTGTCAGTAGTAGTCATCCCGGGACGATTCTGGGTTATATTACTTCAGTGAAGAGTCTTCGTTTATGTTTATCTTCAACTTCAAAGTAATTTGTTTTTCTCTTGATCACAATCCGTGTGCATTCTTGATCACCACGTATACTTTTTAGTTAATCTGTTGCTTACTAAATTTCTTGTTTACTTATTGTGTCTTGTATGCAGGAGGTGTATCCTGTTGGTAGTGACTTCCACAATCTTGTACATATAAAGCTATGCACATGTGAGACAGAGTGGTTGAACCTCCTTATGTATCTTATCAGAACCTCTGGTTGTTCAGCTCATATTTGACTAGACTAATTGTTCAGTAAGTCAAGTAACCTCTGGTTGTTGAGTGTTTTGTCTGGAACCTTAAATCTTATATTTAGCTCTTTGAATATTTCTCATGTTCTTCCTCTAGCTATACTTAGACGAAAGAAACATACAGAAGAACCATTGTCTTACTTGGTTTAATTACACGTTTTCACCTTTTATTTGGGAATATGTGTTTTTTGCAGTTTAACTATGCACTTGACTGATAGCTCTGGGCATTTCGGGTTTTGGGACGGGAATTGACGGGTATGGGACGGGAATGGGAAATTCGGGAAACCAAATATGATTCCCGAAGCATTCCCTTATTATAACGGGACGGGAAATCACGGGAATGGGAAGGGAATGGGAATTTTGGGAATCAAAAAATAATACCCGAAGTCTTAATAAATCGGGAAAATTGAAGATAATATGGGAAAGTACGGGAAAAATACGGGAAAATATGGAAAATACGGGAAAATATGAGAAAATACAGAAAATTATGGGAAAATTCGGGAAAATAGGGATATTTAAGAAAAAATATCTAATTTTCAATTTTTTATTTTATAAACGGGAAAATCGGGAAATCCCTTACCCTTCCCTTACCCTTCCCTTACCCGTTTGAATAAAATAAATGTTCCCAAACGGGAAAATGCAAATTCCCATTCCCGAAAAGTTCGGGAAATTTTAAGCGGGTAAGGGTGGGAACGGGATTCCCGTCCCGAAATGCCCAGGGCTTCTCGACTCTTCCCACAATTTGGGCTTTATTATGCTCTTTGAAGAAAGTCAGAAACTTGAGATGATAAAGGGTAGTTTGTACACAGGGTGTAGAATGCTGGTGACGTTGAAACTGAATAACGTGGTTCTTGTGGATGTTGCTTCAGAACCGGTGTCTCTCCCCTCCCTCAAATACTTGAAACTTAACTCCCAGAAGTACCCTGGTGATGAGTTTGTCAAGAGGTTTTTATCCAGTTGTATTGTTCTTGAACACTTGGATGTTGATCAGTGTCCCGGTGACAATGTGACCGTCTTCACCGTTAGAGTGCCTTCTCTTGAGAGTTTATACGTGCGTAAATCATCAGACACAGATTTGGATAATGCAGAGGGGTTTGTGATAGACGCTCCATCTTTGAAGTACTTGGGCATTACTGATAGTACCGGTGGGTTTTGTGTCATTGAGAGTGAAATGCCTAATATTGTAAAGGCAGATGTTGATACTGGTTATTATTGTCGGTCAAACGTCTACATTTATGTCTGCTGTACTCAGAGGTTAATTAATATTCTCTTTTCTTTTCAGTATCAGTATTCACGACTGTGTTTCACCTAGAATAGTGGACTCTCTTATTGGATCAAATATATTTATTGGCAATAACATTTCTCATGTGCTTAATGATTGTCTCTTTTGCAGGATGTATATCCTGTTGGTAGTGTCTTCCACCGTCTTATACATTTGAAGTATGCACGTCCGAACCAGAGTGGTTGAATGTATTTATTCCTCTGCTCAGAGATTCCCCTAAATTACAATCTCTCGAACTTGAACAGGTTACACATAGAGATCTAAACCCGAACTATTCATATTTTTCTTTGATCTGTATATATTTTGTTCTAATCCACTCTTCTTCTATCAGTGCATCCCGTTCCAGATAGACCGCGCTGCCGCTGGATTGAACCTAGTTCAGTTCCAGAATGTCTGTTATCGAGTCTTGAAACTTTTAAATGGGTAAAATATGAAGGAACACAAACAGAGAAAGAAGTTGCAGCATTCATCTTAAGAAACGGAAGCTGTTTAAAGAAGGTAACCATCTCCGGCCGCGACAAGAAACTTGACATGATCAAGGAATTATTGTTTTTGTCAAGGCGTTCACCTACCTGTAATCTTACATTTGACTGAAGTTGCTGTCAAGTGTCAAATGACATCTATTTGGTTGTTTGGTTTTTGATCTGAATTTTAGATAAGCTATTAGACTTTCTCATGTTTTTTTTTCATTTCCATATTTCGCACTTTGGAGGTGTTCTGTTTCTTTTTCTATTGTTCTTCTACGTACTGAAGACGGAATAAGTACCTAAAGTAAAACTGAAGAAAGAAAAACATATGAATTATTATTTTTCCTTGGTCCTTATTTACATCATTATCATCTTAAACGTTTTTACTCGGTTAGAATCATTGAATCTCAACTTTTTCTTAAATATATAAAATTTAAAACTATCATTTCATATTTGAGCTACCTCGAGTACAGTTTAGCCAACTCCAAAAGTGTTTAGAGAAAGCGGTGATCAGTGTGACGACCAATTTCAGTGGTAAATAGTGCTGAAGAAGGAAAAGGAGTTGGAATCTATGTTTGAGTTTGAATGACAACTTATCGTTTCATATTCTTCTCTTCTGCTCATATGCAGTGAACGTGAAGATAAAACTCACCCTTGTATGTATTAGTTAGATGAATGAAAGCAAAACATATGCTGCGTTGAAAGTTCATATTTCTGATAATCACATTATATCTAATTCAAAATAGTTTCTTTCATTTTGAAGTCTTGTTTCTAACCGCTCTCTCTTCTCTTTCTTGAAAAAATTGCAGAATTCACATTAAAACATGTTGGGATTAAGGAATCATGAAAAAATTCCCCCAATGGGAACAAAACAGTAATCAGTGACTACAAAAAACTGTCACAGTTCCTTTGCTTCCAATGCAATTGGATTAGATAAAGTTCAAAGTGAAAAGGCATGAGGTGGTGGGAGGCGTGAGAATGTGAGATTCTCCTCTCTTAGTTTTTTTTTTCTATTTTAGTGCTGCTCATTAAGTCGCCGGTTAAGCGAAAATACACAATTGATTCTACGTATCTGTTTTAATAGTATCCGTAAGCTCAAAATGGATTCGTGTTTTTATAGTATCCGCATGCTTAAAGTCGGCAATGGAGTTTTAGAAAAAGACTCAATGCCTTTCATCATTATATTCTGAGATCTTAGACTACACTTGCAACTTGAAAATTACCATTTCACTAAAAAAAGGCCATTGAATATTTTGAGAAGTTTCAGAAAAATAAACATGAAAAATCCTAAGCAAAGCAAAAGTCCAAATGTTGTATATACCGCAGAGCATCATGTAACAATCAAAGTACTGCAACTTGACATGTGATTGAGCGTTTTGGGTTTCTGATGAGTTTCCTGAAGATGTTATATTTTGTTGAATGAGAAGCTCCATCCACTTGTAGTGTGAGTTTCTTGAATATTACCGAATTATCTAAAATGTATCTTGCTAGCTTCATTTATTGAGAGTAGTAATACACTGACGTGACATGCAAGTAAGTTGAGGCAGTGTTACTAGTAATAGCTGTACTTTCGAAGTCTGGTTATAGTATTCAAAACGAACATCAACATGTTGAACCCTATGCCAAGTTAAAGCAGCATCGATCCAGGATGACACAAGGGGCGGCATTAACTCATTACTCATTAAGGTAATTATCGAGAGAACGAATCCTTAACTGGAATTTGCATATCCGTAACTCCCTCTCGAAATAAAAAAACATGTCAGCGAAACTCTCAAGGCACTGAAATTGGAGAATCTGCACGTGTCTAAGTCCAATCTAAGAACCAGTTTCCAAAGATTTGTCCATCTTGTGGACAAAGCGCTTGTGGTAACAGCGTCCTTTGTGGGAAGATGATAAAGAATGTGAGATATCTAGTGATCAGGGAATTGGCTTATCGTATCTTCATCTGATCCTTGACTAGACCCATTGTCACAAGTTTGAGTATTTTTCTTTCTTTTTTTTATGTTCAAAACACAACTAATCTGCATCGTCAAATGTAAAAGTGGGAAGTTACATTAAAAAAGGTCATCTGAACAAATACGAACAACGTATCTTTACTAGCAAGCAACCTAACCAATGAAGATCGAAGAAGAAGATAGTCAAAGGAGATGAAGTTTCTTGTTGTAACAAACTTCTTCGCGTTTTCCTCAAAAAAAAAAACAAACTTCTTCGCGTTAAAACAGATTATAACGACCTCTTTCATGGGCCAAGAACAATTCACCGAGGCCCATTACTTCAGCTCTCACTCTTCAGCTCAGCTAGATTACCCCGGTTTACTAACTTCAAACCGGAATCGACAGGCAAACCTGAACTTAGAACCAGATTCTCACAGTATACAAGTTTTTTCTTGGGGATTAATGTTAAGACTCTCACAGTATAGTTAGAGGGGGATCTTAAAATTTGAGTGTTTTCGTCTCCTAGACCAAAGGTTCTTGTGGCTAGCTTGCAAACTAATATACACTTTAAATATAATTTTTTTCAACTTATTAATTAATTATTATAACCTTACATTGACCTCTCATATTTTATTATTACACAAACCACGAACATGACAAAAGATCCAAACATACGGTGGTTAATCATTATAACCTTACATTGACCTTTCATATTTTATTATTACACAAACCATGAACATAACAGAAGATCCAAACATACGGTGGTTACGTTTGCATGCATTTGTGGCCATCGGTCGATCGCTTTGATCATTTCATACTACCGTAGGGCGCTTTGCTGCAGATGTCGCAGAAGCATTTTTCACTGCGGCCTTTCGTAATGCAATATCCGCCTTTAGCACGCTTAAGACGTCGGCACTCCTTATAGCATAAGGATGGATATGCTATAACGCGACAAAGGACGAAATCACTGTCACTGCCACCGCCGAATTCTTTCAAGCATTTGCTATCTTGTGCCTCTATCTCTGGCATTTCTGTTATAACCACATGCAAATATAGTCATTACTTACTATGCTATAATAAATATAAAATACTCCATTAATCACAAATGACTCATGTATACTTGAACGCAAATGTAGATATAGAAATTTACTGAACAAATATGTCAAGAAACGCAGAAGAAGTTTACTTACCAGAGATAAGCAAGATGCCTATGAAGAAAACGGTGAAGATGGAAACGGATTTTGTTGCCTTCATCATTCTCTCTCGATTTGTCTTATCTTACTTTGGGTTTGATGAAATATGATCACACTTGGTGTTTGGTGGTGCTACTTATAGCTAGCTTTAGCACCAAACCGCTTATAGGACCAAACCATACCAAACTAAACCAGTTTAAGGTTTAGACTGAACGATGATGAAAATTTTTGGGTCAGTCTCTGAATTGAAAGAAGTAGATGAATCATTATGCTTAAGTCATATAAATTTTAATTAAAAATAGTTTTATTTTCTATGGGGCTCTGTAAATTCAGGTCCGGCTCTGACAATAGAGCATGCATAATGACACCTAACCAAAATCATTCAACTATTCTGTTCTACTGAAGCTACCAACCAACAACATATTTAAGTAGTGAATTTGAATATGTGATTTTAAGTGATTTTAAAGTGTTTTAGTGGAGTTTTTTAGTTAAAAATATAAGAATTCAAATACCATGATAATAGATGGAATTCTAGAGTGGTTTCATTAAAATCATAACAACTTTAAATCTCAAGTTCAGTACATTTAAAAATGAAATCACTCTAAGTCACTTTAATTAAATCTCAAGTTCAATACATCCCTTTAATAAATTCATTTTTTTTAATGACTCTACCATATAATGTTGATATTTAAATGGTTGAGGAACAAAAGAAAATAGCAAAAATGCAAAAAAAACGGTGTATATTAAGTCGCCAATCCTTGATGCTTAAATATACATTTAATTTTCACTTTTTGGTTTAATAGTTACGGCATGGTCAAAATCGGTTGTTTTTAATTTTGACCTGCTTGCGTCATACACCAACCGAACTATATTTCTAAGTATTGGTATCGGTAGCGTCCAGTTTTGAGTATACCAGCAAACAAAAAAAACACTACAAAAAACACTACTGAATATTTTGAGAAAATTCTAAAATAAAGTTGACCAAGAGCTTCTGAATTAAAAACTAAAATAACTCAAAGATTTGGATGTTGCATCATGTACCAAATCAAACAACGACGACTTGACATGTGATGGAGCGTTTTGGTATTCCGAGGAGTTCCTTGAAGATGTCATCTTTTTTTGGATGAGAATGCAATCGTAGAGTGAGTTTCTTGAGTATTGCCGAATTATCTAGGAAGTACCTCACTAGCTTCATTTCTGTAGCATCTTCCGAGATCCTTGTTTTGATATCAACAAACTCCAGCGACGATTTCAAACACTCGGGCACAGATGAATAACTGATTTGATCCCTCTCCTCCGAATACATCATGTCAAAGTAACAATACCAGACCTGAGAAGAAAAAAAAAGAAGGAGATAAACGCACTGATAAAATAGGCGGGTAATTACTAACATAAGTGAAAGAATCATAAAAGGTTTATCAGATTTATCACCAATATAAAGGATTTCAGATTTGGGAAGCTCTCAAGAAAAGTTGGCAACCATCTTAAATCGTATTCACAGAAACTAAAACACAGACGTGACATGCAAGCAAATTGAGGCAGTGGTTCTACTTCCAAGTATTTATAAAAGACCTGTTAATATAAGTACGAAACAAAAAAAAAAAAAAAAAAAAAACTGTAGGTTAGAGACTTGGTGTGGAAGAATATTTATATGCTCAAATTAAAGTTGACATGTGTGTGTACCTCACAAGAACGATTACTAATAACAAGATCACTGACCCTCCATATATCAGTCAAGATATCATGAATCACGCTTCTTCCAGGTAAGTCACATGGATCAAATGGATCAAAATAGCTAATATTAAGATCTACTTTTGCAGAGAAACCTGAACACAGGATCCTAAAGCTCTTGCTCAAATGAATCCTCAAAAACTGGAGTAGAGGAGCATTATCAATCACAACTTGCCCACACTGATTTATGTCGATTCTCTTTACCGTCTTAGAGCGCACTTGTAAAACCTCTGCATTATCAGATAACATATAATTATCATTACATCTGATCCTGAGTAACTTTAAGTCTTCCAAAACTGGAGAGCTTGAGATTAGCTTCTCCAAAGTGGCCTCGTTGGGACATGAAACATGTTCTAGTTGCATGATCTTCAGACAAGGTAAAGAAACAAACTCGGCATTAAACAACTTGGCACCATAGAGCCGTAAGTGTACTAATCTCTCACAGATATACAAGCTCAGTGGCATCTCTACTCTCTCAGTCTGGTAGTTGTATTGAAAACGAACTTCAAGATGTTGAACACTATAACTTGTTAAAGCAGCATCGATCCAGAGGGTGACACAGTGGGCTTCACTAACATAATCAAGAGTATGAATCATTAACCGGAATTTATGTATCCGTGACTCCCTCTGGAAATCAAAAAACCTGTCAGAGACACTCGCTAAGGCTTTGAAATTGGAGAATCTGCACGAGTCTAAGTCTAATCCAGGAACCGATTTCCAAAGACTTGTCCATCTTGTGGATAAAAGGCTTGTCCTAACAGCGTTCTCTGTGGGAAGATGGTAAAGAATCTGACATATCAAATGATCTGGTAATTGGCTTATCATATCTTCTCGCGATCTTTGATTCGACCCTTGATCACAAATTAGGGTTTTTTTCTTTCTACCAACTATTTGTTTCTCTTTCGCACAATTAATCTGCGTCATCATGCAAGTATGAAAAAAAGAAGAGACAAATAACAAGAAGAAGAACGAAGGAACTAATAGTAAACGAAGAATACAAAGAAGAACGAACTAAAATCCCATTGAGGCCAATAGCAGATCCAGAAAAAGGGTTCAATGGGGCTTCAACTACAATATTTATATATCAAAATACAAAAAAAAAAAAGATATATATAAAGTGTATTCTGTATTAAAAAATAGTTATTTAATTATATTAAAATTAACATTCCGTTTTATGCTAATTTTCAGATTTCTAGATTTGTCATGTTCCTCAATCCTCATGTTCCACATCATTCACTCTGACAGCTTTGTGTTCTTGGCAAGGAAACAATCCATGCTAAACATTCACTCTATTGGCTTGTGTTCTTGAAGTAAATCATATTCTAACCGCGACTGCATGCCTTTTCTCTTGTGATTATGTGTAGAACAACGATGTTGATATTTTGACACATGTGCACTTTAAGTGTGTCAAAAAGAAGAATGACAAGATAGTTCAAAGAGGTAGACAGGGCTCTGATTAAATGGCGCAACAACAAAGAAAGCTCTGGAAATAGTTACAGAGTCGGCCATGCAAATAGTTAAAAGAAGCAGCAAAAACCAAACACATACGTTTCTTGTCTCCTACGTCAACAATACCAGAGTCAATAAAGAACTAGAGCCTTTTTATTTCACAAATTTCAAAAGCTCTAATAACGTTTTATACATTGACATGGAAGATGCATTCTACTCTGCATCAAATACCAATCAGAGTACGATGACTTCACATGTGATAGAGCGTCTTGGGAAACCGAGGATCTCTTCGGAGATGTCATCTTTTGTTGGATGAGAATCCAATCGTACCGTGAGTTTCTTGAGGATTAATGAATTTACTAAGAAGTACCATACTAGTTTCATTTCTGTATCATCTCCCGAGACCCTTGTTTTGATATCAACAAACTCGAGCGACGATAACAAACACTCGATCATAGGTGGCAAACTGATCTCACTCATTTCATCGTCGGGCACCATCTCAGAGTTACCATACCATACCTGAAGAAACAAAAAATAAAAGATGATAAAGAGAGGTAAATGCAATGAAAAGATAGTCAGTTTCCCAAATGTGAGAAAAATCAAAAGGTTTAAATACGTAATCATTACCAAGAAAAGGGATTTCAGTTTCGGGCAGTTCTCAAGAATTTCCGGCAACCAAGTTAAATCGGATGCTAAGAGACTAACACACAGACTTGACAGTAAACCAAATTGAGGCAGTTGTTCTATTTTCGAGTATTGGTACATGACCTAAAGAGCCAAAAAAGAAAATATTGTGTGGGTGAGAAAATGAAGCCAAGTTCTTGATGTTGAGTATACACAAGCTAGTAGAGAAATATACCTTGCAAATATCTCTACTAAGAACTAGATCGCCGCCGACAGTCGATATACCGGTCAGGAGATCGCCGACAGTCGATATTAACGGATTAAATTCACAACCAGCGCTGAGATCCACATCTACTTTTGCAGAGAAACCCGAATTGATGATGATCTTGAAGGTCTCTTTAAGGTAAACCCTAACCCTAAAAAACTGGAGTAGAGGAGCATCACTAATCACAAGTTGCGCAAACTGATCAATGTCGATTCTCTTTACCGTCTGAGAGCCAACTTGTAAAACCTTTGCATTATCAGCATACCTATCATTACACCTGATGATGGTTAAATCTTCGAGAACCGGAGAGCCTGAGATAAGTTTCTCCAAAGTGGCCTCGTTTGGAGCCCTAACATATTCTAAATGGATGATCTTGAGACAAGGTAAAGAAACACTCTCGGCGTTAAACAAGTGAGCCCCAAAGAGTCGTAAGTGTACTAGTCTCTCACAGGTAAACACGCTCAAGGGTATCTCTACTTTGTTGCTCGGGTAGTAATATCCAAAATAAACATCAAGATGTTGAGTCCTATGCCTAGTTAAAGCAGCTTCGATCCAGAGTGGGACATAATTTTCGTCATTAGACTTATGATGATGATAATCACGAGCACTAATCCTTAACCTTAATCTTGTTATCTCTGTCTCCATGTGGAAACTAAAAAACCTGTGAGCGAAACTTGCCAAGGCATTGAAATTAGGGAATTTGCACGTGTCTAAGTCCAATCCAGGAACTAGTTTCCAAAGATTTCTCCACCTCGTGGATAAAAGACTTGTTGTGACAACTTCCTTCGTGTGAAGATGATACAGAATGTCAGATATCAGTTGATCTGGTAATTGGCTTATCACATCTTCTTCTTGCGATCCTTGACTCGACCCTTGTCCGCAGATTAGGGTTTGTGTATTTCTACCAACCATTTGTGTATCCTTCGCACACCAAGTTAATCTGCATCATCAAGTAACAAATTCCAAAATCAGAAGAAAAATAATAAATAAAGAAAAAATCCGCAATAGAACTTGTAGTAGTCATCAAAGCCAAAAAAACGTACATCAAAAGCCGGTTGAAGAAATCGTAACAGAGTCGGAAGAAGATAAAGCAAAAAAGACCTAAATCGTATGGAGGCTAGGGTTTTCTGATGATGATCGATTAAAAACAACTAACAGTAAACGAAGGAAGAAGAAGAAGAATAAGAACGTACCCGTGTGATCAGACCAAGAATAAGCAATTTTGTTTTTTTTACGGCAAAAATAAGCAAATTAAATTAAAGAGGCCCAAGATTTAAATAATAAGAGAGACCGGACTCATTCTTTTTTTTTTTCATCAATCACCTATGTGCGCATCCAGCTAAGATAGCTCAAATTTGACCTTTTTTATAACTTGCAAATTGACCTTTGGGAACAGTTTTTTTATCATTTAACTGATATAGGATCTAGGGGTGTTCAATTTGGTAAAACCGAACCGACCCGAACCGAACCGAACCGAAATAAGTCATATGGTTTGGATTTGGATACACTGTATAAACCGTATGGATGCAATTTTATATAAACCGTGGATATTGATATGGTTTGGATATTAACCGACCGAACCGCAAAAACCGCAAAAAACCGAATAACTTTATATATATTAAATTACTCATATAATAATATAAGTTTAGAGTAATAAATCATTAATTAACTAAAATTTAACAATTAAGAAACACTAAATAAAAAACCTAGATAAAGCGATCTTCCTCTTCTCATACAACAATATTATTATAGCAATTGTCTTCTTCTTCGTTAATCTTTTCTCTTACCCTAGACGTGAACTAAAGGTATCGTATGCCTTAAACAAGTTTTCTCCGTTTGTTCTACTTTTTGTTTCATAAGTTAACTGATTTTCTTTTAATACTTATTCACTTGTAGATGAGCAAAAGGAATAAGACATGAGTTTGCATTTTTTATTTGAATTTGATCATTTTGATTATGAGAAAAATCGAAAACCCTAATTAATAAAATAATCATAAAACAAAAAATACAAATTAACCGAAAACCGAGATTATTCGACCCGAAAATATCCAAACCGCAAAAACCGAATCCAAACCGAACCAAACCGAAGTAAGTATGGATCTACTATGGTAGCTATTTTTTATTAACCGAAAAACCAAATACCGAAAAAACCGAACCGAAACCGAACCGATATCCGGATTGAACACCCCTAATAGGATCCATGAACTGTCATTGAAATTGAGAAACCAGGTAGCAAAAGAACAATACGCCAAACCAACCATGAAACTACAAAACTTCCACGCATATTCACTTTGTCTTAAACCCTAAAAACTAAAATCATGAAACCTCAGTGAGTTTACGCAGCAACAAAGAAAGCTCTAATGCTGTGACTTCTGGATGTCCCTCAAGCATACTGTATATTAAATCACAAATCCTCGATGCTAAATTATATATATTTTCCGTTTTAATAGTATCCGAATAAAATCGATAGTGTTCAATTTTTTCCTGCTTATGGTCGTCTATGGAAATGTTAAAAGAAACAGCAAAAACTCAACGCCTGAGATATTAAACTACATAATAAATTTCTTGCCTCCTACGTCAACAATACCAGAGTCAACAAAAAGAAAATAAAGAACTAAGCCATTTTTATTTTGCCACAAACTCTTACAAGGTTTGAATGCAATGGAAGATGCAATCTTCTCTGCATCATATACTAATCAGAGTACGAGGACTTGGCATGTGATAGAGCGTCTTGGAAGTCTGAGGATCTAATCGGAGATGTCATCATTTCTTGGATGAGAACCCAGCCGTACCGTGAGTTTCTTGAGCACCAAAGAATTTTCTAAGAAGTACGTTACTAGTTTCATTTCTGTAGAATCTCCCGAGACTCTTGCTTTGATATCAAGAAACTCGAGCGACGATGACAAACACTCAAGCACAGGTGGAAAACTTATCCGGCTCGTTTCATCGATAGGCATCTTCTTATAGCTTCTACCATACAATACCTGAGGAAAGAAAAAGATGATAAAGATGAGCAGTTTTACATATGTGAGAAAAAAAAAAAAAAAGTCATTAGGTTTAAAAACAGAATCATCACCACCAAGGAAAGAGATTTCAGTTTCGGGAAGTTCTTGAGAAACGCCGGCAACCAAATTAAATCGGATGCAGAGAGTCTAACACACAGACGTGAGAGTAAACCAAATTGAGGCAGTTGTTCTACTTCCAAGTGTCGGCGCATAACCTGGAAAAACCAAACAAGAACACATTGTGGGGGTAAGAACAGGTCTCGATTTCGAGTACAGAAGTAAGAAATTCTCTATATAATCATCAGATGATACCTCCCAAATATCTCTGCTAAGAGACAGATCCCTGACACTCGATATGACCGTAAGGAAATCGCGAATGGAGCGTCTTCTGGATGAGTCATATGGATTAAATGTATTACCAAAGTCGACATGAACATCAATTTTTGCAGAGAACCACGAATAGACATGAACATCAATTTTTGCAGAGAACCACGAATAGATGATCATCTTAAAGCTCGGAATAAAACGAACCTTAATCCTCAAAAACTGGAGTAGAGGAGCATCATCAATCACAAGTACTTGAGAAGACTGTTTTAAGTGGACTCTCTTTACCGTCTTAGAGCGCACTTTTAGAACTTTTCCCTTATCGTTACACCTTCTGATTGTTAAATCTTCAAGAACTGGAGAGCTTGAGATAAGTTTCTCAAAAGCGGCCTCGCTTGGAGCTGTAACATATTCTAAATGGATCATCTTCAGACAAGGTAAAGAAAAAAACTCCGCGTTAAACAGTTTGGCACCAAACAGTCGCAAGTGTACTAATCTCCCACTGGTGAACACGCTCAGTGGTATCTGTACTAACCCAGTCTGGTAGTAGTATCCATAATGGACATCGAGATGTTGAATCCTATGCCCAGTTAAAGCAGCTTCGATCCAGAGTGGGACACAAGTGGCGTCATTACCATAATCAGGACAATGAATCTTTAACTTGAATTTGCGTATCAGTGACTCCCTCTGGATATCCAAAAACCTGTCGGCGAAACTCTGCATGGCTTTGAAATCAGAGGATCTGGGCGAGTCTAAGTCCAATCCAGGAACCAGTTTCCAAAGATTTGTCCATCGTGTGGATAAAACGCTCGTGGTAACAGCTTCCTTTGTGGGAAGATGATACAGAATGTCAGTTATCAAATGATCTGGTAATTGGCTTATCACATCTTTTTCTTGCGATCCTTGACTCGACCCTTGTTCACAAATTAGGGTTTGTGTATTTCTACCAACCATTTGTTTATCCTTCGCACACCAAGCGTATCTGCATCATCAAGTAACAAATTTCAAAATCAGAAAAAAAAACAAACAAAAATATAGAACTTGTAGTACTCATCAAAGCCAGAAAACGTACATCAAAAGCCACTGGAAGAAATCGTAACAGAGTCGGAAGAAGATAAAGCAAAAAAGACCTAAATCGTATGGAGGCTAGGGTTTTCTGATGATGATCGTTTAAAAACAACTAACAGTAAACGAAGGAGAAGAATAATAAGAACGCACCCGTGATCAGACAAATAAGCAATTTTTTTTTTTTACAGCAAAAATAACCAAATTAAATTAAAGAGGCCCAAGATTTAAACAATAAGAGACCGAACTCATTCTTCTTTTATTTTATTAAAGCTCAAATGTGACCCTTTTTTTATGAGTTATTTACAGAATGAGTGACTTTTGACACTTATCTTACACTAAGAGAGACTTTTTGATTTTGGTGGACTTTTTCCACTACTCTACATACTTTTTTAATACCATTGTACCCTTAAAAAAAAGAAATTAGAAATGAGAAAAAGAAAAGGAATGATAGATCTAGTTAAGTGATATAGTATCTATACCATTAGTGTTATAACCAGATTTAAAAATGTATGGCTAGAATTTAACCAATTTGATGTGGATTTTTCTCATCTTTAAAAATAACACCATCTCTTTCTTTTTTCCCAACTTAACGATATTGGTCTCAAAAGAAGCTTATTTCTTTTGTCTTCTTCCTTATTTTTTCATTTAACCTTTCACGACAATTTGTTTCATATTTACCGTTCTTTTTTTTTTTACTTTTTTCTGCGTCTCTTACATTCTTCTCCGGCGTCTCTTCTCTTCCTTTATCTCATTTTCTCCGCCGTGAACCAATAGCAACACCTTGTGTCTTCTCACAAAACTGAGACATATTTAAAACTGAGACTTTCTTTTCGCCGGCGTTGTGGAAACAATTTACTTTCTCAAATCTCATCCATCTACCTGATTTTGTTGCTCTTTTTCATTTCGGTCTTAACTGTGTAACAGAGGAGTACTCCATATACGCCACCGACGTCCCACAACAGAGGAGTAACCGATCCATCACGTCTTAGATCTTGTTGTCGTATCATGTCGAAATCCTAATTTCAGGTTTCAGATTTGGTCGATTTAGAATTTGCCTCATTTTCCCTAACAAACTCTAATCCTATAACTATGGCGAGGTTTCCTAATCCTCGTTTTTTTTACAGCGGCAACACTTACTGAAACCCAACTACAACGGTTAGGTACTTACGCCAACGATATGGAAGGTACAAATTTCTATTCTGTTTCTTTAATTCCCAAAATTGTTTGAGATTCCTTCTTCACACTGATACAATATCCTAAATTTTGTCTATTCTTGTCTTCGATTTGGAAGGTAGCAAATAGAAAATGATTTTGAGCCATACCTCGGTAGCCATTGTTAAGAGCATTTCAGTTTACTGCATTCAGTGCACGAGGATCAACTACATGGATAGTTTTTTGTGGATACCACTCAGCTCTTGTAGATAGTTTAGCTGCTTTTTTATATTTTTATCGTTTGCTTGTTACAGCTTGGATGCTTTCATTCGTCTTCTTCGATGCTTTGTTGTGTGGATACTTTATACATTTGCTTTTATTCGTCTTCTTGGATGCTTTTATCCATTTGCTTGGACGCTTTTCTCGTGGATGCTTTAGGATTTTATGTGCTACCATACTTTGAGTTGTATATTCTACTTGTACAACCTTAATTTGTCCTCCGACATTATTTATATGTCCTTCAATTCTCTTTACGTGTAGTTTCTTGCGGGTGCAATTTGATTGACTGGATGAGCTCCGAATTTTAGTTTCGTTGTGGATACTTCTAATGGATGGTTTGTTAAACTCGTGTGGACAGTTTTTGATTTGGATGGTTTGTTAAACTCGTGTGGACAGTTTTCGATTTGGATAGTTTGTTTCACGTGGTTACTTTTGATATTAGTTTGTTTCTAGAAGATTTGTTTCATTCTGAATGAATGCTTTGGCTTTATCAAATTGAGATTTTTTTATGGTGATTTCTTAATGCTACTATTAGTTTCCCTTATAGGTTTGTCATTTGTCAAAAATATATTGTCCATCTTACTTGATCCACAAAATTCCGTCCACACACATTTTGTGGCAACCTGAATCTGTTTTTCACATTATCACTCGTGGATACTTTACCGTGGATACTTTACGACTAAAAAAGAAAATAAGCGAACTTGCCTTTCCTTTTGCTTTGATACATTCACTTCAGTGATTATGCAGATGTGCTTACTGGTGGTGATATTTGTATCATTCTCCTCATCGTTATTATAGTACTCGCAGCTCGAGATCGCCCGGAAACACACAATCGCTGTTTAACATTCAAGTCGGTTTTTGGATATATAACTCTTAAGATTGTTCGTGTCTGTAGTCTGTACTTGTGTCTGTACATTCACTCTTCTTTCTAATCTTTCATTTGCTTGTAAAAATGAAAATGGTATACAGAAAGCAAAGAAGATCTGCTATGAAGATCAAGTCGGAAACAAGGAGAAAGATGCAAGAGCTCTCAAATCCTTTGGAGCCTGATGAGTTTGCATGCAGATATCTGGAAAGATGAATGATCACACAAGCTAGATGCATGAGTTCATGTAAAATTGTATCAACTTCTCTCTTTCTTCATGTTATCTTAGCTTTCACCTTTATTTGCACACAATCATACATAATCAAATTTCTTCTTAATAGTGATATGTTTTCTTTAAAAACTGATTATGTAAGTATTGTTGATATCGTTAATGGTTTTTACAGAAACTGAACAAAAATTGTAATTAAAAAACAAACGACTCTGCTTTTTGAACAGGCTTCTTCTTCTTCTTTCCGTTTAACTCCAATTAGCCACAGACCAATGAGATTCACTCTCTCTTCTCGATATGCTATTGATCTTCGACCAAGCATCATACTTTTAAGTTAATTCCACAAATCACTCCTTTACTATCAATCTACAGCGTCCAAACGCCCATCATACTTTTAAGTTTCTGTGTATGCATACTAGCATCCAAATGCCCATTGTCCAAACTTAAAACGGTGGAAAGCGTTCAAAAAGATAGCTAACTGTACACATCTTCAACTGTCCAGTTTTCTTTTGCGAGACTACCAAATCCAATCTCGCAAAAATTAGGAAAAAAAAAACACAAAGTCGAGCTTTGGAGATGGATCCATGTATCGTTAATTAAACATAATAGATTGAACATTCAGATTGAAATAGTTTTCCACCGACATGAGAAACACTGATTTTGCGGAGTATTAGCCTTTCATTATCACCGGAAACAGATTGAATTAACATCATGTAAATTAATTATCATAGACCAAAATTAAACAGATTCCTTAAACTCCGATGTAGAACAACGCCGGCGAAAATAAAACAGCAGCTCAAACGAAAGGTAATATTTTTTTACTTTAGTTTTCATCAAGGGTATAGTAGAAATTTATAAGGCACAAAAAGACAAAAAAAAGTCCACCTATATCTAAAAGTCCCTCTTTTTGTAAACATAACTCAAAAAATCACCCATTTACACTCTAATGGATGATGAGAGTATTGGTATAAAGAAGATGAAGAGAGAGATGATGGAAGGTGAAAAAAATTGTGAATCAACAAGAGAAAAAAGGAAAAGAAATATAGTTAGACTTTAGTTAGGAGCATTTTAGAATTTAGCCTTTGTGAAAGTCCACCACTTTGTGAAAATCCACCACTTTCACAAAGTCCCTCTAAGTGTAAACCCAAACTCAAAAAGTACATCTGAGTGTACTTTTCTCCTTTTTGAGTTTCAGTTTACACTTTGAGTGACTTATTCACAGAGGTGGACTTTGGTGAAGCGAAATGACACAGATGCCCTTGATTTTTTTGTTCACCTTTACATTTACTCTCTCCGTTTGTCGATGAACACATCCCGCAAGACCTTTTCCCCAGACTTTTCTTCTCTCTGTTCTCTATCCCTTTTATGTTCTCTCTGTTTCTATCTACTTGAGGCTTTTATTTTTTTTATCTTTTTCTGTTCTCTTAAGATTGATCCTTAGATAAATTTCTGATCTATTTTTTCGATTTCTTAGGATTTTTTTTTTTTTTGGAAAATTAACAGAGATCGAATTTGAATTTGGGGAGATTTAGGATTTGAGATTGACAGAAAAGTTGATCATTTGTGATTGTATGATTTGTATAAGTTAATTTTGTTCCAATTCTTTTTGCCCTTTTGATCTAAGTTTCGAACTTTCTCATAATTTGTCATCAAGTATCAACGTACATGAGGTACACAAACATTTGTCCACAAACATATTCCCACAATAACCTTAGTAAATTGAAGAATGTGTTTATAATTTACAAAATGCAATTTCGAAAACACCTACAGTTGCATTTTGTTGTCCACAAATTTGCATCCACGAACATGTGTACACAGTGGAAATGGCCAAAAGTTAACCAAATTCCTTCATTATGTCTGCATGTCTTTAATTCTCGAAAGAACGTGGAGTTAAACATCGTCAAAGTCTTTATAAATTGATCGATATGTGATAACATTCTATTGTTTGTTCTTTTTTTTTTGGTTTTAAGCTATTGTCTGTTCTTTGCTCTATGAACTCAAGGAAACAAAACAAACATGAAAGTTAGAAACTATCCATCCACTATTATCTATTTACAGAAACAAAAAAAAAAATTGTACCATTGCAAACTGTCCAAGTCTCAACCGTGTCTTTATAATGGAATTGTACACTAAAAACGTAACAAACCGTACACACCTCCAATTGTCCAAAAACCAATTGTCCAAAAACACATTTTACTCAATAAAACCCAGAAACCATGATCACTGAGTCTTCCCGAAACAGAAACAAACGTCCATAAATTAAAATCCGACTTGAAAGAGTCATCCATAAAGAGTCATCCACGAAAAAATTTCACTACCATTTCTCATTAAGGTTATAACTGGAATCTCACCTCACAATAAGACAAAAAAAAGTCCACCACAATCAAAATGTCACTCTTTATGTAAACAAAGTGAGAAAAGTCACTCATAGTGTAATACACTCTTTTTTATGTAATAACTGGCAAATTTGACCTTTGGGAAGAGTTTTTTCTATCATTTGAACTGATATATTAGGATCCATGTGTCATTGAAATTGAGAAACCGAGTAGCAAAAGAACAAGTTAGAAGAACAATAAGCCAAACCAACCATGAAACTACAAAACTTCAACGCATATACATTTTGTCTTAAACCCTAAAAACTAAAATCATGAAACCTCACTATGTTATCTTTTCGACAGTTTTACCAATCAAGAATTACGATTTTATAATTGGTACCATCCTGAACCTCGGTATCTTTAAGAGTTTCTTGACGAAGCCATCTTGAATCTGAACTGCACAATAATGCAAGAGCATAGAGTGACTTTCTTGAGTAGGGTTGGTTTTTGAACTTAACCAACTCCATTAAATAAAGTTCCCTCTACTCTCTACCATTCAGAGCTGAGAGGACGAAAACATCACATTTGGTTTTGTATTCAGTTTTATGCTGATTTTCAGAATTCTAGAACTTTCATGTTACACATAATATTCACTATGATGCCTTGTGTTCATATTCTAACCGTGATATGCTAAGCGACTCGTCCATGGAAATTTTTAAAAGAACCAGCAAAAAAAACTCAACGCCTGAGATATTAAATTACACAATACGTTTCTTGCCTCATACGTCAACAATAACATAGTCAGCTAAAAGAAAATAAAAAACTAAGCCTGTTTTTTTTCCCACAAACTTCAAAAGCTATTATAAGGTTTTTAATGCCATGGAAGATGCAATCTACTCTACATCATATACCAATCAGAGTACGAGGACTTGGCATGTGATAGAGCGTCTTGGGAGTCTGAGGATCTCTTCGGAGATGTCATCATTTCTTGAATGAGAGATCTCTTCGGAGATGTCATCATTTCTTGAATGAGAATCTAACCGTACCGTGAGTTTCTTGAGGATTAATGAATTTTCTAACAAGTACTTAACTAGTTTCATTTCTGTAGAATCTCCCAAGACTCTTGCTTTGATATCAAGAAACTCCAGCGACGATAACAAACACTCGAGCACAGGTGGAAAACTTTCATCGATAGGCATCTTCTTACAGCTACCATACCATACCTGAGGAAAGAAAAAGATGATAAATCCAATGAAAAGATAAGCAGTTTTACAAAATGTGAGAAAAAAAATCATAAGGTTTAAAAGCAGAATCATCACCACCAAGGAAAGGAATTTCAGCTTCGGGCAGTTCTTGAGAAAAGTCGGCAACCAAACAAAATCGGATGCACAGAGACTAACACACAGACGTGACAATAAACCAAATTGAGGCAGTTGTTTTACTTCCGAGTGTCGGTACATAACCTGGAAAAACCAAACAAGAACACATTGTGGGGGTAAGAACAGGTCTCGATTTCGTGTACAGAAGTAAGAAAATCTTTATATGATCATCAGATAATACCTCCAAAATATACATACTAAGAGACAGATCCCTGACACTCGATATGACGGTGAGGAAATCGCGAACAGCGCGTTTATCGGATGAGTCATATAGATTAAAACTACAGCTAAATTCGACATCAACATCTACTTTTGCAGAGAAACCCGAATAGATGATCATCTTAAAGCTCGGATTAAAGCGAACCTTAATTAATCCTCAAAAACTGGAGTAGAGGAGCATCATCAATCACAAGTACTTGAGAAGACTGTTTCAAGTGGATTCTCTTTACCGTCTTAGAGCGCACTTGTAAAACCTTTGCCTTATTACTACACATGATGATGGTTAGATCTTCCAGAACCGGAGAGCTTGAGATAAGTTTCTCAAAAGTGGCCTCGTTTGGAGCTGTAACATATTTCAAATGGATGATCTTCAGACAGTGTAAAGATACCAACTCGGCGTTAAACAGTTTGGCACCATAGAGTCGCAAGTGTACTAATCTCCCACTGGTGAACACGCTCAGTGGTATCAGTCGCAAGTAGTATCCATAATGAACATCAAGATGTTGAATCCTATGCCCAGTTAAAGCAGCTTCGATCCAGAGTGGGACACAAGTGGCGTCATTACCATAATCAGGACAATGAATCTTTAACTTGAATTTGCGGATCAGTGACTCCCTCTGGATATCCAAAAACCTGTCGGCGAAACTCTGCATGGCTTTGAAATCAGAGGATCTGGGCGAGTCTAAGTCCAATCCAGGAACCAGTTTCCAAAGATTTGTCCATCTTGTGGATAAAACGCTTGTGGTAACAGCTTCCTTTGTGGGAAGATGATACAGAATGTCAGTTATCAAATGATCTGGTAATTGGCTTATCACATCTTTTTCTTGCGATCCTTGACTCGACCCTTGTTCGCAAATTAGGGTTTGTGTATTTCTACCAACCATTTGTATCTTCTTTCGCACGGCTTAGCTAATCTGCATCATCAAGTAACAAATTCCAAAATCATAAAAATAAAAAATAAAGAAGAAAAATAAGAACAAATCCGCAATAGAACTTGTAGTAATCATCAAAGCCAAAATAAAATAGCACATCAAAAGCTGCTGGAAGAAATCGACGTAACAGAGTCGGAAGAAGATAGAGCAAAAAAGACCTAAATCGTATGGAGGCTAGGGTTTTCTGATGATGATCGATTAAAAAGTAAAAACAACTAGCAGTAAACGAAGGAAGAAGAATAATAAGAACGCCACCCGTGATCAGACCAAGAATAAAGAAGCCCAAGATTTAAATAAGGGTTTTGTGCAAAAAAAAACCCCAAACTAAATTATTTTTGCAAGAAAAACCCTCAGCTCAAAAAATGCAAGTCAAACCACTCACTTTAAAGTCACCCGCAATATAGCCCCTGCCTATATTGATGACGTGCCATTTTATGATTTTTAAAAAAAATTAAGTTTTTGTGCAAAGAAAACCTCAAACTATTTTTCTTTGCAAAAAAAGCCCTCATATCAAAAAGCTGTGTTTTGATTAGCCCTATGTATTTCGGGTTTTGGAACGGGAATTAAAGAAAATGAGACGGGAATGAGAAATTTGGGAAACCAAAGATGATACCGAAGTATTTCTTTATTATAACAAGATGAGAAATAACGGGAATGGGAAAAGAACGGAAAATTTGAGAATAAAAAAAATAATTCCCGAAGTCTTATTAAATCGGGATACTGAAAATATTTTGAGAAAATACGGAAAATATGGAAATTACGGGAAATTATGGGAAAATATGGAAAAATTTGGGATATTTAAGAAAAAATATATTTAATTTTTTTAAACGGGAAAATTGGAAAAACCCATACCCTTTCCGAATTCTTCCCTTACCGGTTTGAACGGAATTTCCCGTTTGGGAACATTTCTTTTATTAGAATGGGTAAAGGAAGAGTTCAGGAAGGATACATGACTTTTCCCCGTTTCAAAAAAAAATAAAAAATTGATTTTTTTTTTAAATATCCCAAAATTTTCCATATTTTCCCATAATTTTTCGTATTTGTTTTTCATATTTTCCCGTAATTTTCCAAAATATTTTCAATTTCCTGATTTAGTAAAACTTCAGGAATTATTTTGTTATTCTCAAATTTCTCGTTTTCTTCTCATTCCTGTTATTTCCCGTCTCGTTATAATAAGGGAATACTTCGGGTATCATCTTTGTTTTTCCAAATTTCTCATTCCTGTCCCAAAAACCGGGACGGGAATGCCACGTCAAAATGCAGTTTTTTTTATACAAGGGCTCTTTTTGCAAAGAAAAATAGTTTGAGGTTTTTTTTTGCACAAAAACTCATTTTAAAAAAAAATCATAAAATGCCACATCATCAATATAGGCAGGGGCTATATTGCGGGTGACTTTTGAGGTGAGTGGTTTGACTTGCATTTTTTTTAGGTGATGCTTTTTCTTGCAAAAATAATTTAGTTTGGGGTTTTTTTTGCACAAAACCCTTCGTTAAAACCTCAAATTTGACCCTTTTTTATAACTGGCAAATTTGACCTTTGGGAAGAGTTTTTCTATCATTCGAACTGATATATAGGATCCATGCATGAGCTGTCACTGAAATTGAGAAACCGAGTAGCAAAAGAACAAATTAGAAGAACAAAATTTTCAACGCATATTCACTTTGTCTTGAACCCTAAAAACTAAAATCATGAAACCTCACCATGTTCTCTTTTCTCTACAGTCCTACCAATCAAGGATTACGATTTTGCAATTGGTAGAGCGTCTTTGGATTTTTAAGAGTTTCTTGACGCAGTCATCTTGAATCTGACTAGCACAATAATTCAAGCGTAGAGTCAGTGACTTTCTTGAGTAGGGTTGGTTTCTGAACTTAACCAACTCCATTCGTAAAAGATATCAAATAAAATCTCACTAAGTTCCCTCTACTCTTTTACCATTCAGAGCTGAGAGGAAGAAAAAATAACATTTAGTTTAATCAGTTGTCTATTCAGTTTTATGCTGATTTTCAAAATTCTAGAGCTGTCATGTTACACAAAATATTCACTATGATGGCTTGTGTTCATATTCTAACCGTGATGTGCTAAGAGTCGTCCACGGAAATTGTTAAAAGAACCAGCAAAAACTCAACGCCTGAGATATTAAATTAAACTACACAATAAGTTTCTTGCCTCATACGTTAACAATACCAGAGTCAACTAAAAGAAAATAAAAAACTAAGCCTCTTTTTCCCCCCACAAACTTCAAAAGCTCTTATAAGGTTTTTCATGCATTGAAGATGCAATATTCTACTCTGCATCATAGACCAATCAGAGTACGAGGACTTGGCATGTGATAGAGCGTCTTGGGAGTCTGAGGATCTCTTCGGAGATGTCATCATTTCTTGGATGAGAATCCAACCGTAGCGTGAGTTTCTTGAGCACCAAAGAATTTTCTAACAAGTACCTTACTAGTTTCATTTCTGTAGAATCTCCCGAGACTCTTGCTTTGATATCAAGAAACTCAAGCGACGATAACAAACACTCGAGCACAGGTGGAAAACTTTCATCGATAGGCATCTTCTTGTAGCCATCATACCATACCTGAGGGAAGAAAGGTAAATCCAATGAAAAGATAAGCAGTTTTACATATGTGAGAAATAAAAAAATCATTAGGTTTAAAAACAGAATCATCACCTCCACGGAAAGGGATCTCAGCTTCGGGCAGTTCTTGAGAAAAGCCGGCAACCAAGCTAAATCAGATGAACAGAGTCTAACACACAGACGTGACAGTAAATCAAACTGAGGCAGTGATTCTAGTTGCGAGTATTGGTAGATTACCTGGAGAACCAAACAAGAAAAATCCATATTGTGAGGTGAGAAAAAGGTCTCAGTTTCGAGTATACAAGTAACGTTGGTTTTTTAGAATCTTTATACCTCCCAAATATCTCTACTAAGAGCCAGATCCCTGACACTCGACATAACGGTGAGGAAATCGCCAATCACACCTACTTTTGAAGATACGTTATACGGATAAAATGCACAACCAGTGCTGACATGAACATCTACTTTTGCAGCGAAACCCCAAAAAACGATGACCCTAAAGGTCTTAAAAAAATTAACCTTAATCCTCAAAAACTGGAGTAGAGGAGCCTCATCAATCACAAGTGGCGCAAAATGATCCATCTCGATTCTCTTTACCGTCTTAGAGCGCACTTGTAAAACATCAGCAACGTTACCATTACACCTTCTGATTGTTAAATCTTCCAGAACCGGAGAGCTTGAGATAAGTTTCTCCAAGGTGGCCTCGTTTGGAGCTGTAACATATTCTAGATGGATCATCTTCAGACAAGGTAAAGAAACAAACTCAGCGTTAAACAATCTGGCCCCAAAGAGCCGTAAGTGTACTAATCTATCACTGGTAAACACGCTCCGTGGTATCTGAACTAACCCAATCTGGTAGTAGTATCCAAAACAAACATCAAGATCTTGAATCCTATGCCTAGTTAAAGCATCATCAGTCCACTGGGTGACACAAGTGGCGTCATTATCATAAATATGACGACGAATCTTTAACCAAAATTTGCGTATCCGTGACTGCCTCTGGATATCCAGAAAACTGTGTATGGCTTTGAAATCGGAGTATCTGCACGAGTCTAAGTCCAGTCCAGGAACCAGTTTCCAAATATTGGTCCATCTTGTGGATAAAACGCTTGTGGTAACAGCTTCCATTGTGGGAAGATGATACAGAATTTCAGTTTTCAAATGATCTGGTAACTGGCTTATCAGATCTTCTTGCGACCCTCCATTCAACCCTTGTTCGAAAATTAGGGTTTGTTTCTCTCCACCAACCATTTGTATCTTCTTTCGCACGGCTTAGCTAATCTGCATCAACAAGTATACAAATTGAATTTTTCCTACAAAAAAGACTATCTGGTTTCGGATGAAGAAACGAACAACGTAATCAAAATATTCTCCTTCAATTCAAGTGATGACATAACTGAAAGTTTCGAATTTTATAAGAACCAATACTGCTTGAAGGAGAATTGAGGAAACGATAAATGTAACAAAAGAGGAGGTACAACCTAAGAACATATCAACGACATAAACTTACATCGTAAACGAAGAAGAAGAAAAAACCCGTGATCAGCCAAGTATATAGCAGTTTCAATTAGAAATTGTCCCACAATGTATAGATAGCTGCTAAGCTCCGTTTACTTTCGGAAGAAGAAGCCTAAAAGAACAAAGTTGAGCTGCTAGGGTTTAAGAAGGAAAAAGAAACACGTGTGGCAGCACGTGAGAGTTTATGAAGCAAATTGTGAAAGCCTTGGACTGAAGGGGAGGCTTTGCTGTTACCGTTTTAATTTAAAAAAGTTTTTACTTTTTTTGTTGCTCTTTTGTTTCTTTAGGACTTTTGACTGCTTGAGTTCGTAAAAGATACTCATTGTGATTCTTTGGGTTGTATTGGATATCTCAGATACGATTGTTATAGAGGGTTTCATAGTTTCAATCTTACTCAATTTTTCTTCTATATACTTCAATTATGATCGAATACGGTTTAGACTTATAATAACAATAATTTGTCGGAGTAGATGTTTGAAAGCTTATGTTTTGTTTGTAAACAGTATTCATCATCAACAAGAAATGATCAACTAGCTCAATTTGATATTTGAACTGATAAAAGATACATGAGCTGGTCACAGAAATCCAGAAACCAAGTAGCAAAAGAACAAGTTACAAGAACCGTAAACCCTAAACCAACCATGAAACTACAACACTACAACGCATATTCACTGTGTTCTCTTTGCTCTACACTTTTACCAATCAAGGATTACAATTTTACATTCACTAGAGCGTCTTGGGATTTTAAAGAGTTTCTTGACGAATCCATCTTGAATCTTGATAGCACAATAGTCCAAGCGTAGAGCGACTTTCTTGAGGATAGCCGAATTCTCCAACAAGTACCTCGCTAGTTTCATCTCTGCAGCATCTCCCCGGATTGCGAAGTTGAAATCAACAAACTCCAGAGACGACAACAAACACTCTGGCACAGATGAAAAACTCATATGACCCATTCCCTTATAGTCACCATTTCTGTTATTACATACCTGAAGGAAAAACAGAGAGGACGATCAAAAAGGCAGTCAAAAGATACACGAAACAAAAACTTATTGGGTTTTAGCAGAGTCATCACCAAGATGAGAGATTTCAAGTTTGGGAAGCTTTCAAGAAAAGTTGGTAACCAGTTCATATAGGAAAACGAAAGAGCTACTTGCAAGCGGGACACGTGACCAAACCGAGGCAGTGGTTCTTGTTTCGAGTATTCATAGATGAGCTGTAGAACCAGAGAGATTATGGGGTTAGAAACTATCATGAACAAAGTGCAATAACCGAAATTGACATGTAATATATACCTTGAAAGTGTCGTTGAATATTGTCACATCCCGAATCTTTGAAATCCCAGGGAGAAAGCTGTGGAATCTGTCTATCTCTGAGTGGATAGAAACAACCAACTTGACATTGGGATCCACATTGGTTATCACAAAGCTTTCTGGTAAAGCATCACTGATACTCAAGAAGCTTAGCCGTGGAGCATCAATCACAACTCCTGAACCATATTCCTCCCAAGCAAACGCTATTCTTAGAGTGAGCCTCTTCAACGACCTAGAGAGCACCCGAAAGAAGACTTGTCCATTGAGAGGCGTATCGATCTCCAACTCCTCCAAGACAGGGCAGGATGAGACAAACCTCTCCAAAACGGCATCATCAGGATAACCAATGTATTTCAGCAGCATAGTCTTGAGACAAGGCAAGGAAACAAACTCGGGAATAGCCAAGTCCACCAGATCAAGAACCAAGGATGCAAGCGTCTGGCAAAGATAAAGGCTTGAGGGCATCTCATAAAAGTTACCATCTGCATGACGAAAACGAACATGGACATGTTTGACCTTACGCCTAACAGCAGCATCAATCCATGGCGTGAGATAAGAGGCGTTCTCTACACCCTTGTCATTGCAAATGGTGAGCTTGACTCTATCTACGAATGACACGTTGCCGGAATCGAAAAACCCGTTGCCGAAACTCACCAAGGAATCTAAATCTGGGAAATTTCGGGAGCGCAGTTCCAGATTAGGAACCCAAGGCCACTGATTCCTCCATCTGGTGGACAAGACGCTTGTTTTCACAGCGTCCTTTGTGGAGAGGTGAGAAAGGATCTGACATATCAGTGGATCTGGTAACTGGCTTATCCTATCCACCTTCAATCTACGATTTGGCCTCGATGACATAATTGATCTGCGCCGCGTAATTGGAAAACGAAAGTTTCATATCTTACGATCAACCTAATCGACGACATTATCATAATCCCCAAAAGTTAAATCTAGCTCAAACGCAGAGCGGAAAGATGAATACAAACTACAGTTAAGAGAAGAGAGAATCGGTGACAGAAAACAGCCTAAGTGCGAGCGATTATAGTGGAAATGCTTGACGCCGGAGCGACGAACCTAAGTGCGAGCGAGAGTAAGAGAGAAACAGCGACGAAATTACAGAGAAAGTGTGAGCCGTGAGAGTTTTCGTTCTAGTCAACATTATCGAGAAACTCAGTCAAACCCTAGAATGGTAATCTCTGACATCCCGCAACTAATCTAGCGCAAACGGAGAGAGAAGAATGGAAACAAACTACGATTAGAGAAGAGAATACCTGAGAAGAGGTGTTTAAGGAACGAATTTGGTGGAAATGCTCGACGCCGGAGAGACGATCCTAATTCCGAAGTGCGAGAGAGAGAGAATTTCGAAATTACATGCAGTACAGAGTGAGTCGTGTGAGTCGTGTGAGTCGTGGGTCTCGTGACTCGTGAGAGTGAAGAAGAAGTTTCAGTTTCTAGTAAACTTGGGCCTATTGGGTCTTCGTTTTAGTCAGCCCAATAGCAAAATAATATCCAACATAACAACAACATTTTAAAACTAATGACTTGCTTATTAACTTGTTTATACATAACCTTGAAGAACAACAAGAGGAAGATTAACCTAATTCTAAACAACAAGATTTCTTGCAAACCATAGCTTAACAGATTTCAACCCTAATTACTCCAAAAGAAACAGAAACAAAAGTTCTTGAATGATCTCAATTGTCGTCCTTCACATGGTCTCTCTCTCTCTCTATGCTTTACAAATCATCACGCTCCACTGGGAGTAAGACCACTTGACATGCAACAGAGCCTCTTGGGATTTTCATGACTTGGTTGAAGAAGACAGTTTCATTTGCTCGTAGAGTCAGTTTCTTGAGGATCACTGAATTTTCAAGGAAAAACCTTACAAGATCCACTTCTGCAGAAAACCCCAAGATATTGCTCTTGATATCAACAGACTCCAGCGACGATATCAAACACTCCGGCACAGATGAATCCCTGAGTATCTCCTCATTAAGTAACTCCGAACAATAATCATCCAATGTCTTGAGGCCAAAAAAAAAAAAAGAGAGAGAGGATATCAGAAGTGGATACACATAAAGATGAGAAAAAAAATTATATGACTAAAAGAAGAAGATCATCACCAATAAGAGGGATTTAAGATTCGGGCAGCTCTCAAGAAAAGTTGGCAACCATTTCAAATCAGAGAGACAGAGTGTAGCATCCAAGCAGGTCATGTACACAAACTGAGGCAGTGTTTTTAATTTGGAATAATGATGAAAGACCTGAACCCAGAGACATAAACTACTATCTAAACCAGAGTTTTCATTATAGATTATACAAAACTTAAAATATGTAAACATTGACAAACCTGGAAAGAGTCTTTATGTATGATCATCTCCGCAACCTTTGAAATCCCGGAGAGAAACTTGCGGATGGTATATCTCTTTGACGAAACACTTGCTTCATCAAACTCATCACCAAAGCTGAGAGATACATCTAACTTGACAATGGAGTCCAAGTTTTTGATCACATAACTTTCCGATATGCTGTCATGGATCTTCAAAAAACCGTAGCAGAGGAGCATCAATCACAACTTCAAACTTATCATCACCTTTACCTATTTTTAAGCTGAGCCTCTTCAGTGACAAAGACTTCACACGAAAGACTTTAGGATAATACCAATGCACGACAATCTTCAACTCTTCCAAGACAGGACAAGAAGAGACAAGCTTCGTGTCTCTACGGGATACCAAAGATTCTTCAAATGCATAGTCTTCAGACAGGGTAAGGTAACAGAAACAGAACCGGGATCTTGCAAGGACACCTCGGAGAGTTTTAGGGTTACCAATGTCTCACAGGTGTAAAGGCTTAGTGGCATCGTAGAGCTATAATGAAACTCAGGGCAATGAACATGAAGATGTTGGAGCTTGCGTTTGGTTGCAGCATCAATCCAAGACGTGAGGTAAGACGCAACATCGTCTTCCTTGAAGTTTCCATCAAGAGCTAGCTTAAGCTTATGTATGCATGACAATCTACTGGAATCGAAGAAGCTCTCACCAAACTTCACAAAGGCATCTAAATCTTGGAAGTTAGTGGAACTCAGTTCCAAATTAGGAACCCAAAGCCATTGAGTCCTCCATCTGGTTGAGAGAAGGCTTGTGCTAACAGCTTCCTTTGTGGAGAGATGAGAGAGTGTGTGACGTATCAAAGGATCTGGTAACTCGCTTATTCTGTCTTTCTTCAACCTCTGACTCGAACCAGCCTGTTTCGATTTACCTCTACAAGCCATGTTTGTAGGAAAATTTGACAGAATAACGAAATCTGCATTACGAAAACAAAATTCAAGTGAAGGAGGATCAACAATTTTAAATCAGGGTTTAGTTATATTCAGGAGGAAAACAAAAAATCATATGATAGTATATATAGAAATGGTTACCGAAAAATGTCGAGAAATTCAGTCAAACAAACAAAAAAAAAACCTAGAATAGTAATCTCAGAAACCCCGAAATAAAATCTAGCTCAAACACAGAGAGAATGATGAAAACAAACTGCGACTAAAGAAGAGAATACCTGAGAAACCGTGTTTATAGCACGAATTTGGTGGAAATGCTCGACGCCGGAGAGACGATTCGACGAACCTCAGTGTGAGAGAGAGAGAGAGAGTGTGAAACGTGAGAGTGAAGACGGTTCAGTTTCTAGTAAACTTGGGCCTATTGGGTTTAGTTGTTTTATTCGGCCTACTAGACCACTAGATTACTTAACAGTAGATATGTACATGTTCTCATGAATCTTTTCCTTTGATCCCTGACTTATATTGTCTTACTTGTACATGATGATTGGTTGTGTGAAACAAAACAATAATAAAACAAAGCAGGAAGGAAGCACAAAGGAACATAGTACAAAAGACTAAAGCACTTAACTGCTTAACTTGTTCATACACAACCTTAATAGTCTCTAGAGATAGAAGAAAAGAGTTATAGTTTCACTACACAAAACAAAACCAGCCGATTCCAAACAACAACAAGATTTCTTGCAGACCGTAGCTGAACAATTTCTAGTGTGTCTCTCTCTAGTCTTTATGCCAATCAACGTACAACGACTTGACATGTGATAGAGCGTCTTGGGATTCTCAATAGTTTCTTGAAGATAGCAGCTCCATTTCCATAATATTTCAAACGTAGAGTCAGTTTCTTGAGAATTAAGGATTTCCTTAAAAAGTACCTTAACAGCTTCATCTCTGCAGCATTTCCAGTGATGCTGCTTTTGATATCAACGGACTCGAGCGACGACAGCAAACACTCTGGCACAGTTGAAAAACTTATTTCATTCATCTCCTCAGAACCGATCCTCTCATAATCATTATCTAACGCCTAGGAAAACAAAACAAACAAAATAACATAAATGAACAAAATGCGTTAAATGTTTATAAGAACAAAAAAGAAGATCATATCACTACCAACACGAGTGATTTCAGATTCGGACAGCGCTCAAGAAAAGTTGGCAACCATTTCAAATCAGAGAGACAGAGTGTAGCATCCAGGCGGGTCATGTAATCAAATTGAAGCAGTGGTTCTAATTTTGAATAGTGACTAAAGACCTGAAAACATAAGACTTTCATTATAAGAAACAAATATGTAAAACCAATACATGCATTGACAAAACATATATATATATATATATATACCTTGAAAGTGTCTTCATCTATGATCATGTCCCCAACTTTTGAAATCCCGGGGAGAAACTTGCGGATGGTATCTCTCTTTGATGAAACACTTGCTTCATCAAACTCTTCACCAAAAGTGAGAGAAATATCTAACTTGAAATGGGAGTCCAAGTTCTTTATCACATAACTTTCAGATTCTAAATTATCGATCTTCAAAAACCGTACTAGTGGGGCATCATGACAACTTGAAACCTACCACCATTACACTCTCGTAATTTGATTCTGAGCCTCTTCAGTGATAAAGATCGCACCAAAATGACATCAGGACCATACCCAGAAACCTTCAACTCTTCCAAGACAGGACAGCAAGAGACAAGTCTCTCAAAGGTGGCATCGTTGGGATACCAAACATATTTCAAATGCATAGTCTTGAGAGATGGTAAGGAAACAGAACCAGCATCAGGCAAGACCACCTCAAAGAGTCTCAGGGTTACAAGCGTCTCACAGGTATAAAGGCTTATGGGGATCTCGCGTCTATGATTATCTGGAAGACACCAAACATTCAGATGTTGGAGCTTCCGCTTAGTTGCAGCATCAATCCAAGACGTTAAGCAAGATTGCAGCATATGTCCATCTACATTGTTGTCACCTTCATCAAGAGTTAACTTGAGCTTCTGTACGCAAGACATCCTGTCGGAATCGAAAAGCCTGTTGCCGAAACTCGTAAAGACATTGCGATCTGGGAAATTTTGGGAGTTGAGTTCCAAACTAGGAACCCAAAGCCATAGACTCCTCCATCTTGTGGACAGAGCGCTTGTCTTTATAACTTCCTTTGTCGGGAGATGAGAGAGTATGAGACATAACAAAGGATATGGTAATTCGCTTATCCTGTCTTTCTTCATCCTCTCACTCGACACTTTGGAACGAGCCTGTTTCGACTTCTCTCTACCAGCCATGTGTCGGACAGCGAAATCTGCATGCAGAAATCGAAAAACGCAAGTTTCAGAGAGACAATTTGGATGCAAACAGCACTAATCAGGTGGTGCGGAGGACATAAGAAGAAGAAGATGATGAGTGTTTAGGGAGAGAAATGAAACGACATTGAGAGACTAGTCAGAGGTTTAGGGATTTCAAAGGTTTTATAGACACATTTGGATGAAAAGGTAAATATAATAGTAATCTATAAATGATTATCGAGAAACTCAGTCAAAAAACAAAAAAAAAACCTAGAATAGTAATCTCAGAAATCCCGAAATAAATCTAGCTCAAACGCAGAGAGAAGGATGAAAACAAACTACAATGGAAGAAGAGAATACCTGAGGATACGTGTTTAAGGAACGAATTTGGTGGAAATGCTCGACGCCGGAGAGACGATTAGACGAACCTGCGAGAGAGAGAGAGAGAGAGAGAGAGAGAGGCAAGAATCCGAAAGGTTCATAATTTAACACAGTAGAGAGTGAGTCGTGAGAGTGAAGACGGTGTTGTAGTTTCTAGTAAAGTTGGGCCTATCGGGTTTAGTTGTTTTATTCGGCCCAGAAAACCAATATAATATCCTCTTCAATAACAGATTCTTTTACCAAGCAAATATAACTTGCTTAGTTGCTTATACATAAATTCTCTAATTTCACAAACCAATAAAGGGTACTAGATGAGCAACTAACTTATAAAGACTTAAAATCTCGCTAACCAAAACAAGACCGGCAGATTTTAAAACAACAGAAAGATTTCTTGCAAACCAAGCATAAAACAAAAGCACAACACTTGCATTTCTTGGTCTGGGGCAAGAGCTTTTAAGTTTCACATGTGATCCATCTCTCTAGTCTTCCCACATCAAAGCACGACGACTTGACAAGTGATGGAGCGTTTTGGGATTACCCGGAGTACCGTGAAGAAGTCCTTTTCATTTGCGTAATAATAATCCAAACGCAGCGTCAGTTTCTTGAGGATTGTGGAGTTCTCTAGGAAGTAGCTTACCAAGGTAATTTCCGGAGCATGTCCCGTGATGCTCGTTTTGAATTCAACAAACTCAAGCGACGATAACAAACACTCCGGCACCGAGGAAAATCTGATTCTAGGGTTAAGCCAATCATCCTCACACATCCTCTCAGAGTTACCATCCCACACCTGAGGGTAAATAAATCAAAGATAAATAAAATAGAAACCTTTCACACAGAAATGAGAAATAAGGTTTAAGCAGATCATCACCAAGACGAGTGATTTCAAGTTTGGGCATCTTTCAAGAAATGTTGGTAACCATTTCATCTGAGACACATAGAGAGTCACACGTAGGTGGGACAGGTGACCAAACTGAGGCAGCGGTTCTAGTCTCGAGTATTTACAGATGAGCTGCAATATAATGTTATGGTCAGAAGATTTCATTATAAGAAATTAGAAAAATGTATAGAGCCGTACACCACAAGTTAACATACCTTGAAAGTGTCTTTACATATTGTCATATCTCTGACCTTGGAAATCCCGGAGAGAAAACCACCGACGCTACTTCTTCTCGATGAGACGCTCGCTTCATCGAAAACGATCAAACCAAAGGGGAGAGAGAGATCTACCTTGGAATCAGAATCCATATTCTTTATCACAAAGCTATCTGATAAGTTATCGTTGATGCTCAGAAACCTTAGCCGAGGAGCATCAACAACAAACCCTGAACGGAATTCGGATTCCGGTTCATCTTCGTGTATATGTACTGTGAGCTTTTTCAATGACCTAGACACCACCCGGTAGACTATTGCCCTGAGCCAATCACATTCGAGAACCTCCAACTCTTCCAAGACAGGACAGCAGGAGACAAGTCTCTCAAAGTTGGCATCGTTGCGATTATACCGAACATATTTTAGATGCAGAGTCTTCAGGCAAGGCAAGGAAACAAACTCGACACCGACGAAGTTCACCTCCAAATACTGGAGTTTTAAGGAGACCAGTGTCTCACACTTGTAAAGACTTCCGGGCATCACATACGAGGACTCAGGAGGACAGAGAACATTAAGACGTTGGATCTTCCGCTTAACTGCAGCATTAATCCATGACTTGAGATGCGAGGGATTAGCTTCATCTTCATTTTCAGCGATATTTAACTTGACTCTGTGTATGCATGAAACCCTGCTGGAGTCGAAAAACCTGTCACAAAAACTCACAAAGGCACTGAAATCTGAAAGGTTCCAATGTCCCAATTCCAATGCAGGAACACAAAGCCAGAGACTCCTCCATCTCGTTGACAAAACGCTTGTGCTAACAGCTTCCTTTGTGGAGAGATGAGAAAGTATCTGACATATCAATGGATCTGGTAGTTCGCTTATCCTGTTTAATTCTTTCAACCTCTGACTCGACGACCCTGTCGATTTTCCTCTCTTAGTCATCATTTCATTTCTTTCTCAGACAACGAAAACTGCAACAACAACAACAACAAAACGGAAAATGAAGCTGAAAAAGCAAAGTTTCAGAGAAATCATTTGGATCAATATGTAATTCAGGCAGACAAAGTTGCAACAAACACAAATCCAAACTCTCTGTCGCAATTGAGACTACTCAGTCTAGGGTTATCAGGTTTTGCTTTTCCAATGAAAATGGTTATACAAACAGAAATAAAATAATAAAGGGTCTAGGAAAAAGAAGACGAACCCACAATGATTCGGCCACCGGAATGAAATCGCTTGCCGGAACTGTAAATCGACGGAATGGAATCAGTATGACCAAGTGGCTATAGCTCCACTAGTAAAGAGACCCTAGAGCTTAGAGGTCAGAGGATATAGTGTCGTTTGTGACGAAACTAATATTATATTTTGTGGTTGGGCCTAAAGGATGTACGGGCTTCAACCTAGAAACTCCTAGTAATTTCAAAAAAAAAGAAGATGGAATCGCTCTCAAACTTGCAATGTTTTCGTTGTATTGTCAAAAATTTGGAACCTATGGTCTTGATTGGCAAATCATTTAAAAGAGCATAAGGCTTAAGGAGCTCCAGGGTGAGTATTTAGAAGAGCGTTAATCTCTTGATGCAGGTATGCTCTTGACTTATATGACTGGTAGTAAATTTTTGTGAAAATATTTAATATGTATATTGATATTTATTTTAGTGCATCATATATATATATATATATATTCATTAATAACATAAGATTGTTTTTTTATTTTTAAAAAGTTATTTAGTTATTATTTCATCTTTAAATTATATTTGTATGTTATTAAATTATATTTAGTTATTATTTCATCTTTAAATTATTTAGTTATTATTTCATCTTTAAATTATATTTATTAAATTTTTATGTTATTAAATATTTATTTTATGAATAATACATTAATGATAAACATTAATATAGTTTATAAACATTAATGATAAACATTAATACATTATTGATAAACATAATTTACCAAATTATAAAATTGTAAATTGAATATAAATATAGTTTTCATTTTTTTAACCACAATAAATAAACTAAATATAATTTTTTTAATAAATTTTAATAGTTTTGAGCTCAATGCTTTGGAAATACTCCATTTCAGAGGAATAAGTAGTTTGGAAGCATTAGCATGCCAGTTTCTAAATGTTCTTCCAAATGCTCTTTTAAAAATAAAAATTGATTGAATTAGAAAAAGCTATGCTCTACCAATCAAGGCCGTGAGAAAAACAAATGTTGTGCTTCAAGTTTGGGCTTTAAACCGCCGTATTTTTCTTTTGACATTTTTGAACTCACATTGTTTGTTTGTTCACCGAAACCCTAGAGATTCCCACTTTCGGGCAAGAAATTCTATTTCGTCGGCGAAATCACGATCTACGGATTTGTGTCAAGTACGTAACTGCATTCCGCCTGTCAAATCATAGTGGGTTTTTGTTCCTCTTACTTACCCTTTTCTTTCTGTTGTTAAAAACCTTGAAAACCCTAAACCTAAACACTCAACTTCTTCTTCTTCTTATTCTTCTTATATTTGCATGCAGATTTCGTTGTTCTGAGAAGGTTTCCTACACATGGCTGGTAGAGGGAAGTCGAAACAGGCTCGTTCCAAAGTGTTGAGTGAGAGGATGAAGAAAGACAGGATAAGCGAATTACCAGATCGTAGATTTGGAACTGAACTCCGTAGATTTCCCATATCTCAATGTCTTTACGAGTTTTGACCAAGGTGACAACAATGTAGACGATGCCTCTCATTTCACGTCTTCGATTGATGATGCAACTAAGCGGAAGCTCCAACATCTAAATGTTTGGTGTCTTCGAGATAATCATAGCTGTGAGATCCCCATAAGCCTTTATACCTGTGAGACACTTGTAACCCTAAAGCTCTTTGAAGTGGTCTTGCGTGATGTTGGTTCTGTTTCCTTACCATGTCTCAAGACTATGTATTTGAAGTATGTTCGGTATCCCAACAATGCCACCATTAAGAGACTTGTCTCTTGCTGTCCTGTCTTGGAAGAGTTGAAGATATCTGGATTTGGTCCTGAAGTCATTTTGGTGCGCTCTTTATCACTCAAGAGGCTTAAAATAAAATTAGAGCGAGTAGTACTCGTGATAAGTTTCAATTTGTGATCGATGCGCCACTAATTCGCTTTTTGAAGATCGATGACTCCGAGTCCCGTAGTTATAAGATAAAGAACTTGGAGTCCAGTTTCAAGTTGGATATTTCTCTCGGCTATGGTGAAGATTTTAATGAAGCAAAGGTTTCATCAAAGAGAGAAGCCATCCGCAAGTTTCTTCCAGGGATTTCAAAAGTTGGGGAAATGATCATATATCTAGATACTTTCAAGGTATATTACATGTTTGTCAATGCATAAATTGGTTTTACATATTTGTTTCCTACAATGAAAGTCTTTTGGTTTCAGGGTTTTCATCATTATTCCAAATTAGAACCACTGCCTCTATTTGAGTACATGACCCGCCTGGATGCTACACTCTGTCTCTCTGATTTAAAATGGTTGCCAACTTTTCTTGAGTGCTGCCCGAATCTGAAATCACTCGTTTTGGTAATGATATGATTTTTTGTTTTCCTCATAATCTATGAACATTCAACGTATTTTGTTCATTTATGTTATTTTGTTTGTTTTGTTTTCCTAGGCGTTAGATAATGATTATGAGAAGATCGGTTCTGAGGAGATCAATGAAATAAGTTTCTCATCTGTGCCAGAGTGTTTGCTGTCGTCGCTTGAGTCTGTTGACATCAAAAGCAGCATCGCTGGAAATGCTGCAGAGATGAAGCTAGTAAGGTACTTCCTAAGGAAATCCGTAATTCTCAAGAAACTGACTCTGCGTTTGAAATATTGTGTAACTACTGAGAATCCCAAGACGCTCTATCACATGTCAAGTCGTCGTAGGTTGATTGGTATAAAGACTAAAGAGAGAGACACTAGAAACTGTTTAGCTACGTGTTGCAAGAAATCTTGTTGTTGTTTGGAATCGGCTGGTTTTGTTTTGTGTAGCGAAACTATAAGTCGTATCTTAATATATATCTTCTATCTCTACAGACTATTAAGGTGCGTTAGTCTTTTGTACTATGTTCCTTTGTGCAGCGCTTCCTTTCTGCTTTGTTTATCATGTACAACAAGTAAGGCAATATAAGTAGAGATCAAAGGAAAAGATTCATAAGACCATATCTCCAACTTTGTTATGTTCTTGGCGAATGTTTAGTAGATCAGCTTTTCCTTGTTGTTGGATTTTTTATATTAGGTTTTACGTTATCATTCAATTTGACCTGCTAAGAGTTCTGTACTGTTTTGAACTGATTCAGTATCATGAATATTCAGAAAACAAGAAGCAAACTAAAATAAAATGAGAACTAATAATGTCATTCAAGTTAGTAAAAAGGGAAGCCAAACCAACCAATAACCTAACCTTTTTTGTCATGAACTGCTTACGCATTTTCACATTGTCTTTCCACACATAATCCCAAAACTTAATTAGATACTGGTTATGTGTAGCTTTTTATATAAAAAAAACTTAACTAGTTAACTGCGTTTGTAACAAATATCAAATAAAACGCCTACTGAGTTCCCTTTCTCTTTACCATTCAGAGAATGACAAGTTCACATTCGGTAGAGCCTCTTGGGATTTCAAAGAGTTCTTTCAATATTTCATCTTTTGCTGAACGAGAATCCAAACGTAGAATAAGTTTCTTGAGGACTGTTGAATTCTTTAGGAAGTAATTTACTAGCTTCATTTCTCCAGCAACTCCTGTTATTGGGACTTTGAAACGAACTAACTGGAGAGACGATAGCAGACACTGAGGCACAGATGGCAAACCTTCTTGATTCATCTCCTCAGAAGGTACCTCAGGGTTATAATTATAAGAACCAAGTTGTACCTGAAGAAAAATATAGGAAAACACAATGAAATGAGTGATGAGACAAAAACATCATTGGGTTTATACTTTATAGCAGATTCATTACCAAGAAGAGTGACTTTAGATTCGGGCAGCTCTCAAGAAATGTTTCCAACTGTTTCAGTTTGGTTGGATGGACAGCAACGCACAGGTCGGACATGTAACAAAATTGAGGCAGCGGTTCTAGTTCCGAGTATCGACAGATGAGCTATAGAACCAAAAACAAAAAAGTATGTGGATCAGAGACTTGCATGACAGAACCAAAACATGCATTAAAAATAGATATAATACATGCATACCCTGAAAGTGAATGAAGATATCGTCATCTCCCTGACCCTCGAAAGTCCGAGAAGAAAATCGCGGATGCTACTTCTCCTCGATGGAACCCTATGTTTTACACCGAATTACCCCAAACCAAAGCTCAGATAAATATCTAACTTTGCATGGGACTCCAAATTCTTTACTACAAAGCTTTCTGATTTTCTATCATCGATGCTCAGACGGCGTAGTAGAGGAGCATCGATAACAACTCCCGGAACATTATTATACTGAGGTAGAACAATACGACCTCTTTTGATGGAGATCGTCTTCAGTGACCGAGAGTGCACCCGAAAGACTTTTGTATCCAAATCAGATGCGACAATCTTTAAATTTTTAAGGACAGGACAGGATGAGATAAGTTTCTCCAAAGTGGCTTCTCTGGGATACCAGTTTTTATCTAGATACATTGTGTTAAGACAAGGTAAAGACACGAACTCTGCATCAGCCAAGACCACCTGATAGAGTCTTAAGTAAACAAGTGTATCACAGCTATACAACCTTAAGGGTTTCTTACGAAGGGAAACTTTAGACAAACGAACGTCTAGATGATGGATCTTACGCTTAATCGCAGCTTCAATCCATGACGTGAAATAAGATTCATCATCATCTAGAGTTCTTGCTTTTGGATTAAGAGTTAACTCCAGCTTCTGTATGCATGAAACCCTAATGGGATCGAAAAACCTATCACCAAACTTCACAAAGGCATTGACATTTGGGAATGTTTTGGAATTCAGTTCCACATTAGGAACCCAAAGCCAGATATTTCTCCATCTGGTTGACAAAACGCTTGTACTAACAACTTTCTTCGTGGAGAGATGAGTAAGTATGTCACATATCAAAGAATCTGGTAATTCGCTTATCCTATCTTTCTTCAACATATCTGACTCAAACCTTTGCAACGGTCCTGTTTCGATTTACCTCTACTAGACTACAAAATCTGTATGCACAAAAAATGAAAAACGTAAATTTCAGAGAGGGAATTTGGATGCAAAGAAGAAACACTAATCAAAACTCTTCCTTCAGTTTAACTTCCAGTGACGGAGGAAAAAGAAGAAACTAAAACACACTGAGACTAGTTAGGGACTTAGGGCTAGGGTTAGGGTTTTCAAGGTTTTTCAACAAAAACAAAAAAAATAGAAAAAGGTCAAGTAAGAAGAACAAGAACCCAGAGTGTTTTAACCTACGGAATGCAATCGCTTGCTGGATCTGTAGATCGTGTTTTCGCCGGCGAAATGGAATGTCTTTGCCGGAAATTGGGAATCGCTGTTAGACTCGTGAGTTTCAGTGAACAAAGAAATGTCACCGTTTGTGTTTGCCCAAAAGCCCAAATAGGTAACGAGAGCTTGGGCTGTAATTGATTTTTTTTTTTTTTCAAAACTTATAGAAACAACAAAGGATCACGTTCACGTAACATGGGATTCAAAGTTTTTTTTTTTTTTTTTTTTTTTTTTTTTTTTTTTTGTAAAAGGGTATTCTATTGAAATTGCAGAAATTAAAAAGTACATGGTTATGACAATTAAGTCATAAAGTTATGAAAGTGAAATGAGCTAAGGAGTAGGGATTACAACATAGCAGATAAGCATATATTTGAGGCAAAAGTACATGATTCAAAGTTTTTCAACATAAAGGAAAAGGGTTTTGACCAAAAGCTTGTGTGTATTCGTCAAACTGTTCAGCAAAACATTGTAAATTTAGTAGATATCAAACTTTCCATTGTTATAGAGTATTGACGTTTTTACATTAGGATGTACGTTATCGTTGATTGCTCAATCTGACCTGCTAAGAATTCTCTCCTATATTGAACGAACTAATATAAGACAATATAATGAGCCATGCATATTCAGAAACCAAGAAGCAAAATAAAATAAAAAACCTACATACAATGTCATTCATATTTTTTCCGGAACTGCTTACGCATATTCACATTGTCTTTCTTCACACACATAATCCATTCGTAACAAAATATCATTTAAAAAACCTCACTAGTCACTAAGGTTTCCTCTACTCGACAACAAGTTCACATTCGGTAGAGCCTCTTGAGCTTTCCAAGAGTTCCTTCAAGATATCATCTTTTCTTGAATAAGAATCCAAACTTATAATGAGTTTCTTGAGGTTTGCTGAATTCTTTAGGAAGTATTTTATTAGCTTCATTTCTGCAGCAAGTCCCGATATTGGGACTTCGAAACAAACTAACTCGAGAGACGATAGCAGACAATGAGGCAAACTAATTTGTTTCATCTCCTGAACAGGAGGTAGCTGCAAGTCATCAAAGTCATAACTATAATCACTACGCTGTTCCTGAAAGAAAAAGAAAAAAGAGAGGAGAAAACACGATGAAGTGATAGGCAAGAAACTTCACATGGATGCAAAAAAAGCATTGAGTTTATAGCAGATTAATTCCTTACCAAGATGAGGGATTTTAGATTCGGGCAGCTCTCAAGAAATGTTTCCAACCATCTCAGATGGGTTAGAAAGAGAGTAACGTACAGGCCGGACATGCAACAAAACTGAGGCAGCGGTTCTAGTTCCGAGTATAGAGAGATGATCTATACAACCAATAAAAAGAAAATAATATTTTTGATCAGAGACTTGCATGATAGAACAAAAACATGCATTGAAATATATATATATATATATATATATATATATATATTATTTTATCCAAAAAAAAAATATATGTATATGTATACCTTGAAAGTTAATGAGGATATCTTGATCTCCCTAACCCTCGAAATCCCAACAAGAAAATCACCGATGCTACCTCTTCTCGATGGAACCCATCTTCTGAGACAATCTATCCCCAAACCAAAGCTCAGAGAAATATCTAACTTCGCATTAGACTCCATATTGCTTACTACAAAGTTCTGTGATGCAATATCATCGATGCTCAAAGAGCTTAGTAGAGGAGCATCGATAACAACTCCCGGAACATCATCATGATGATGATCATCATCATCATACCAAGGTAGAACAATACGACCTCTTTCTATGGTGAGCATCTTCAGTGACCGAGAGTGCACCCGAAAGACATTCTCATCAATATCAGATGCGACAATATCTAAACTTTCAAGGACAGGACATGATGAGATAAGTTTCTCCAAAGTGGCTTCATTGGGATACATGTTTTTCTCTAGACACATTGTCTTTAAACAAGGTAAGACATCAAACACTTCTTCATCCAGGATCACACCACAAAGTCTTAAGCAAACCAGTGTCTCACAGCTATACAACCTTAGTGGATTGTTAGTAAGATGAACCTCTTTAGCGCAACGAACATGTAGATGTTGGATCTTACGCTTTATCGCAGCTTCAATCCATGACGTGAAATAAGATTCATCATCTAGAGTGCTTGCGTTTCTACCAAGGACTAAGTCGAGTTTGCGTATGGATGGAACCCTAATGGGGTTGAAAAACCTGTCACCAAAACCCACAAAGGCATTGATATCTTGGAAATTTCTTGAATTCAGTTCCACATTAGGAATCCAAAGCCAGGGATTTCTCCATCTCGTTGACAAAACGCTTGTACTAACAGCTTCCTTTGTGGAGAGATGATCAAGTATGTGACATATCAAAGTTTCAGGTAATTCGCTTATCCTATCTAATTCCTTCAATCCATTGGAACGAGCTTGTTTCGATTTCCCTCTACTAGACATGCTTTGTTTTCTGTAAAAAAGAAGCGTGTCACGGAGAGAAACTAATCCACACTTGTGACTAGTTAGGGTTAGGGTTTCCAATGTTTTTCAACAACAAAAAAGGTCAAGTAGGAAGAACAAGAACCGAGAGTGTTTTGACCAACTGAATGCAATCACCTGCCGGATCTGTAGATCGTGATTTCACCGACAAAATGGAGGAATGTCTTTGCCGGAGATTTGTTAATGTCTATAACACTCGAGCAATTTCTGACTTTCTGTTGAAAGAAAAACAAAGGGACAGTGACTGATTTGTATTTAGCCAATAAGCCCAAATACGTAAATTGGGTTTGGGCTGTAATCGACTTGTCTCCACTCAAATTAGTTGAGCTTTTACACATTTTGTACGTCAAATGATTTATGGTTAAAATTTGTTTACAAACAACCTTCCTTTGATGTTTTGCTCTCACATATACACAGTAGAATCATTTGCTTGAAGCCCTAAAGGCTTAAACTGTGAGTACTAAACGTAACATTATCGATTTGGGGCATAATACGGATACTATTTCAAGTTAAAAGTTAAAACAAAGACATTTCAATTATAAGAACTAGAACCGAATGTTAATTTAGACTTCATACACCGAAAAAAATAAAATCAGAACTTAAATAAGAAAAGAGATTGCGACTTCTCTCCACCCAATCTCACTCATTAATCACTTTTTGACTTGCTAACGGAGAACAAGAGCTTTCTTTGTTTCCATGCTTCCCTATTGCTTCCCCATATAATCAGAGCTCTGTTGTGGCTTGCTCAAGATCTTGACACTGGAGATGCTTTCTCTTTGGACTGGTTTCTTCAACCCCTGAGATTGAGCCATAGGAGTCATAGCCACATACATGGAGTTTGGAGCTGCTGCTGCTGCCGCTGCTACTTTGGCTGCTGCGGCTGAAGCTGAAGCTGCTACCATTTTCTGTGCTCCTTCTCTAACTTGAATGTAGTCGTCCTCTATCACAAACAACTGCAGCCAAAAACCATTTCAACACTTTCAAAAGTTCTGAGAGAAAAAAAAAAGAAATTAAAGTTTGTTTGAGACAGACCTCGAGATGGCTAGCAACAAAATCGTCAAGCTTCCCATACTTCTTCTTGTAATCATGCCAGTGCAGAGGTGCTAGCATCTTCCCCAAACGGTTTGGAAGCTGTATTTGCAGACATTATACAAAAACTCATTTCCAAAATTCAATTGTAAACATATGAAGTTGTGGTTATGAATAGTTTTTGCGCTCACCGTTGAGCTGATTCTGATTTTACCACCAGCTGGTATAGTGCGAACAATGCAAGCCAAAAGCGACCTCTCATCGAGAAGGGCACTCTCTAAGTTCCTCTCAGCTTTCCCAGACGAGACTTGAGTTTCAGGCACGACGGGTTTAGCACCGTTTTGTTCACCAGGTGAAACTTTACCATTAGCTTTCTCCTGGGGAGAGACATCTCCTCCTACATGTTCATCATTCACAGAGGACGATGGTGTAGTAGTCGATCCATACTGTGCTCCTTGGCTAGTTTGCACATCCAGATAACCTTGACCAAGGAACTGTCCATTGGCAGGCGCTTGGTGTTCACTCTTCGCATCAGAGTTTACCACACGATGCACACCTTGAGAAAGATACGCATGATTCTGCGTAGGCATCTGTGAGCTAGCAGCTGGCACAGCCTGCAAACAAAAGCATGGAACACTATGGTCATTAACTGTCGCAAAAATGTAACAAAAGATGGATTCTTAATCTCGTACCTTTTGCTGCAGCAACACTGGTTGTGCAACTTGAGGTGAAGGTCCCCGAGGCTGAACCAGCTGAGGAATCTCTTGTTGTTGCATGATAAAAGATTGCAGAGGGTTTATTTGACCCGCTTGAGGATACCCATGCGTCCCAAGACCAGAAGAAGACACAGCATCAACACGGTTGTTCTACAATTTGTCACAATGGAAAGGCACTTATGGTTAGGGTAGGATCTATTTCAAGTGTTTCAGCACAGATTGTTTCAGTGCCAAGAACAAAAGCCATAAGACTGAATATGATGTGGAACTTAAAGAACCTAGAATTCTGAACAATTGACGAAACAAATACTCCCAAATACAATATCACAGTGCTTTGGTTTAACAGTTTTAACATCTAAAACCTAAACAAGTACCTCGATTTGGTTCACGCTGTTCTGGATAATCTGAGAGGCACCGTTGGAATTTGTTTTGGAGCCACCTCCTTCCTTAAAATTCGCAAGCTCAAGCTGAAGCTGTTGCACTGTATGCAAATGCAATCTCTCCATCTCCACAAACTGAGTTCAATGACAAGGAGCAACAAGAGTTAAGGAATTAAATCGTTTCTAGCAGGAAAATATTACGGAATTGGAAGAATATTCAAGTAACCAACCTGTCTCTGGCAACCATGCCAGAGCTGGTTGTACTGCTCAGTACGTTCTCGCAATTCAGCCTGCAGCGAATGATTGGTAGATGACTGTAAAGCATCCATCTCTTGGGCACGAGTAATCCAACCTTGCGCATCTCTCAGTTGATCATCCTTGAACAAGATAGCATCTTGAGCACTCCTATTCTACAAGCCATTAAGATAAGGACTCTGTTTTAGTGTATCAAAACTTCAATCACGACAATGAGATATATAACTGCAAGGTCCATAACCATGAGATGTTTAAACACATTAGATAAATCGTTTAACCCAAAATAAAGGGAGAAAACTAACTTGCTCCTGCAACTCAGAGTACTGTCTCTCTTTCTCTTGAATATGCTCCTGAAGTTCAGATATCTTATGCATATTTTGAGACCTCTCAGCTTCAGAGTGATCACGCTCTCTTCTGCATATACATGTAAAATGTAAGTAATGAGGTCTACGACATAAAGAAAAGATTCTAAAGAACTAAAGGCACCTGAGAGTGGCAAGTTCTTTGTTTTGTTCTCTTAGGAGACCCTCTTTTGCCCAGGCCTGGTAGGAGTAGAACGAACAGGTTAGAATCAAACCATTCAAATTTCTTATTTCTATCTGACGAAAAACTTGTCACAAAATATAAACCAACAGACCGCTTCATTATCCAGTTTAATCGCATGAAGCTCTCTGTCTTTCTCTTCAATCTTTCTCTCCATCTCCCTTATAGATCTCTCCTTCTCATGAAGTTGCTCCTACAATTTCAAAACCATTCCTTTATCATCTTCCATAAAACCTCAAAGAGCTCAATGAAATACAAAAAAAAAAAAAAAAGCGATATACAGAACAAAAATCAACCTGCATTCTAGCAGCAGCATTAGCATACTCTGCGGATTGAGACTCAAAGTTCCTCTGGATTTCCATTGCCATCATCTGAGCTCGAAGCTCAATCTCCAGCTGCTCAAGCTCTCCTTTCTGTTTAGAAACGGTGTGAATCCGCTGCTCCAGCAGCTCAGCATCTGAGCAACGACCATCCATCCTCATGGAGTAGTAATCCAAATCAACCTGCTCTCTTCCATTCTGCATTACAAACCACAAAAATCTAGATTTCCAAACTCCCAATATGCCTAAAACTAAATCAAAACTGCAGGATACAAGCAATTAACCTCGTAAATGGTTCTCTCATCCGTCTGGTTTAGCTTCAACTGTTCCAAATCCTGCAAATTTTTTTGACAAAATGTGAAAAACAACCAACACAAAACAAAATTTTGAAAACGAACATTGAAAATGTCATCACTAGAGAGCAGCAGCAGAGTTACAGTAATATAAAAAGGTGAGCTTTCTACAGAGAACACTATTCGAACTGGAAGAGCAAATTAAACAGTAACAGACGAGGAAATAAAAGGAAAAAAAATCAGAAGCAAAGAGATTACCGCATAGTCTGTGGAGTTGTTAACGTTATGTGAATCGGAAACGGCGCGCCACTCTTTCCTTGACTGATTCGGCGACGGATTCTGAAGCGAACCACCACGAGTCGCGGCTACGCTCGAAGCGGTCTCCATTAGGAAGAAACCCAACGAAGATCCACTGAGAAAACTAGGGTTTATCGGGGAAAGAATGAGTCTAAGAAAAAGCCCTAGAGAATTGAAGCTAAAGCGCAGACAGAGATAAACGATTGACGAAGAGAAGAGCTGAAGAAAGGTTCAAGGAACGAAAATGGTGGAAATGTTTGACGCAGGAGAGACGAGCAAAAGTGCGAGAGAGAGAGAGAGAGAGAGAGAGACGAGACGACGACTCGAAATTCCTGAAATTTACAGTGTCAATGATTTGGCTATTTTCTACTCCTGCTGAGAGTGAAGAAGATCGTGTTTCTGGTCCTCTTGGGTCAAAAATGTCATCTTGGGCCTATTGGGCATATTGGGCCTAGCCCATCAATCCGGTTATGGTTTAGTTGTTGTTTAATTTAACTGAACCAGAAAAACCGAACTGAGACCGACTTGAATTAAAAAAAAAAACAAAAAAAAGCCCCAAACTGAACCGAAAGTAAATATATTATCATTCTGTTTTACACATTTACATTTCTTGACGCATCCGTCAGTTGCTAAAACCAGTCAAACACAAGCTTGACACATATTCTATACAGTCTTCACCAATCCATTAAAGACGACTCGACACTCGTCAGAGCCTCTCTTGATCTCGCGGAGTCTCATAACAAAGTCATCTTGGATTGCATGGTAATGCAAATACAGAGTGAGTTTCTTCAAGATCCTCGAATTCTCTAGCAAATATCTCACCACCTTCATTTCCACAGCATATCCAAAGATTGTGCTTTTAACATCAACAAACTCTAGAGACGATAACAAACACTTGGGCACTGACGCAAAACTGATCCCACTCATCTTATTGATAGGCATCTTCTTAGCGTTACCATTCCAGTCCTGTGAGGTTTCATAAAACACAAATGTAAAGAAAAGTAGAGACAAGAAAATATTGTTAAAGCAGAGATTCATTTACCAAGATTAGGGCTTTCAGATTCGGACAGCTCTCGAGAAAAGTTGACAACCATTCTAAATTGGTCACACAGAGAGTCACGCACAAACGTGACACGCAATCAAACCGAGGCAACGGCTCTAATTTCGAGTACTCGTAGATGATCTGTAACAAAAAAGAAAAACAGAAGACAATTTGAGAATGAGAAACTTTACATGTCCAAGACCTAATCACCTAAACATACCTTGAAGGTGCGTGGACATATTATCATTTCCCTAACACTCGAAACCCCTAAGAGAAAGCTTCGGATGCTGTTTCTCCTCGATGAAACACTTTCTTCATCAAAACACCTCAATCCAAAATACATGGAAACATCTAACTTAGCATTGGACCTCAAACTGTTTACGCTAAAGCTTTCCGATACGTGATCGTTGATGCTCAAATCGCATAGCAGAGGAGCATCAACCACAACTCCCGAAACAAAATCAAACTTGAAAGGAGAAACTCGTACTAAACCGAGCCTCTTCAGCGACTTAGACTTCACCTTGAAGACCTTTGTATCATTCCAAGCTATGTCAACTTTTAACTCCTCCAATACAGGGCAAGACGAGACAAGTCTCTCGAAAGTGGACTCATTCGAATACCAACAGTCTTCTAAAGTCAAAGTCTTGAGACGAGGCAAAGAAACAAACTCTGCATTCACCATGTTCATCTTGTACAGCTCTAAGATCACCAATGTATCACAAATGTAAAGACTTGGAGGCAACTCGTAACAAAACTCTGGAGGACAACGAACATGCAAATGCTGAATCTTATGCTTAACACCAGAATCAATCCATGACTTGACATAAGAGACAACATCTAAACCGGCTTTTACACGTTCTTCAATGCTTAACTTGACTCTGTGTATGCAAGAAACTCTATTGTAATCGAACAAACTATCACTGAAACTCACAAAGTCGTTGAGATTTTGGAAATCCCAAGATGATAAATCCACACTGTGAACAGAGAGCCAGAGGTTTCTCCATCTGGTTGATAAGACGCTTGTTTTAACAGCTTCCTTTGTGGGGAGATGATAAAGTATCTGACATATCAGAGGATCTGGCAATTGGCTTATCATATCATCTTCCTCTTCCAATTTCTGTCTCAGCTTTTTGGAAAAAGCCTGATAATCTGCGTTACGTCTACCAACCACCATTGTTTCTGATGTGGGAAACTTAATCTGCATAACAACATTGATAATTCTGGAATTGAAGTTTCGAGTTAAACGAATCTGATTAAAATTACCAATCCAAATAAAAACTACATCAAAAATTCAAATCATTGAGCTGAAAAGACTTAAAACTAAGTCAGGCTATGGGTTTTCGACCTTTTCTGATGAACCGGTGGTCGGAAAGATCAAAACGGACGGTGAAAGAGGAAGAACACACCGTGATTTCGCCGACGGAGTGGAATCGGAGTAGCGATGGATGATTAAATGGTAATTTGGTAGTATTAGATTTAGAGCTAATGAAGGTAATTAATGGCGTATTTATAGACAACTGGGATTTTGTTGTAGAAAGAGGAAGAAACGAACGACACCGTTTTTGACTATAAGTTGTAGGGAGTAAAACGCGCTCGTTTTGGGTAAGCGGAATGGTCTACGAAGACATTCATTGGAACGAGGTCGTTTTGATCTCCGGCTGGTGCTCTCTCTTAAGCAAAATAGCATTTCGTGAGAATCGGAGAGATTTGAGAGAGGAGGAAGAAGATGGGGTACGTCTTGAGAGTAAGATTGGCTTCTTTCTTCGCCGGAGCTGCGACTGCGTCTTTTATCGGTCTCTCTGTTCTCTACAAGGATTACAAGGTCGCTCACGAATCGATTTCTCAGCAGGTTTGCAATCGATTCCAATTCGATCCATTTCTTTCGATTGTCTCTCTACGGGAAAAGTTTTTCACTATAAATTTTGTTTGCGAATAGCCTGAAAATCGGTACATTTCGTCAGCAGAGTTTATTAAGAATGGAATCTGTTGATCTGTATTGGACAAGGAGATGATAAATTTTGGGAGAAACCGATAGCATTTTAGGGTTCATGTGTTTACACTCTTTTTTTTTTTATGAAATTCACTTGTCATCTCTGCGATTCAGAATCATATGCAACCTGTTTTAACCATTTTTGGAGCTCAATTTTTATATTCATTTAGCAAATAGTGAGATTTGGTCCTGGACCATGGACATGCTTCAGTTTCATAGCCAAATTCGTTAATTCTGCATTCACATCATTAGAACATGCTTTAGAATCAGCTTTGTGTGACTCTTGAGATGCCAAATTGCTTACACGAGAAAACCTTCAAACATTTGGTAATGCTAAGTCCTGGTCGAGTTGGATCATCATCGTGAATATCCATTGCTGCATTTGCTCTGTAGCTTTAATGCCAATTCGTTATACTGCATTTCTGTCATGCTTTAAAATTTTGTTTTTTATGAATCTTGAGATATGCCAAAGTGCTAACATGAATTATACATTTGGTGGTAGAACTTTTATCAATGTTAATATCCATAGCAGCAACTTTTTCTGTAGCTGTAAAGTTATTAGAATTCTGACATGGCCATTGACTGAGAGATACGATATATGTTTTATACAGGCAAAGGCTTTTCATGACTCTCTGGATAGAAGGATCTCTACTCTTGAAAGCTTGAGACAAAGTGAAGCTCCCCAGCTTGTTGAGTCAACTGATTAGCATGTCTCCACATTTGATACTCTCTGTGTGGTATTGATGTTTTTGAGGTTCGCTCTTTTTTTTTTTCGCTTTTATGAATAACTTGGAAGTTCATGTATGACTACTATTGTAAAACGATGGAGTTATGGACTGAAACTTGCTGTAACACTTGCCATGAGAAAAATTTGTTTCATTCTATTGTTTTTGGATCTTTAGCCAGTAGAATCTTGTTCTTCAGACAGATCCATTTATTTTATGATCTAGACCACCTTCAAAGCTGGGTCTACATGTAGCTTAAGATCCAGCAGTTATGGTGAAGATTAGCAAAAACAGGAGCAATTTAGTATCTCGTGATTCAAGTTTGGGCCGAACTAAGGAGCTCAGTGACTTTAGACTATGTAGGCTCTTGATGGGCTTTAGACTAATTCACCAGAACAGAAGTTCCATAGTTCTCAGACTCGCACGATTTGAAAATGTGAAAAGATAAAAACACTTGACATTACGAAAATTTTTTGTTCCAACACACAATTTGTGGAAAACATTTGATAAATTGCTAAAAATGTTGGAGGTTATACACTTTATACGTATGGGTTTCTTTTAAGAAGAAGAAAAATATACGAGATAATAGTTAATGACAATAGTTAAAATATTGTAAATGACATGATGTTTTAAATTGATGTTTATAGTTAATGACAAATATTTAGCGGTGATTTCTGACTTCGATGTTTGATTTACATATTTTCTAAGTTGGGGTTAAATTTGCAAAACGAATTTAGTTTGCGGGTTGTTTTGAACAAAACTCATTTTAATTTAGTCACAAATATACACATGTCCTATATTATGGGTAACTTTTAACTTCATATGATTGACTTACACAGTTTTTAATTGAGGATTTGATTTGCAAAAAGAATTTAGTTTGAGAGTTGTTTTGTACAAAACCCAAATATAAACGTATATACAAACCCAATCGAACAATTTGCTCGCTAACGTTAATTATCAAGCTTTAGGCAAAGCTAACAACAAGAACATGTACTTTCTTTAATCCCATCTCTCCTCTACAAAGATCTTCTAGTTTCTTTATAAACCATTCCCGTACGTCATACAATCTCACTTTTAGAAACTAAATCTAGTTTTACTTTCACATAATTAAAGAAACACAATAAATAGGGAAAAGAAAATAAAAATAAAGGAATCATAATGGAAAGACATGTCGAGAGCACATGGTGTTTTGGCATGTGACAGATTCCAAAGTGAAAGAAAATAAAAACCAAAATTTAAATGTAGAGAGATAGAGAGAGATGCATTTGTCTCCTTGGCGGTGGTATGGTGGCTTCGTTATCACCCGACACCTCCCCAAATTCGAAGTCCACCTAATCTTTCATAATTATATTTATATATATACATATACACATTTCGTTATGTAGATTCGACACTTGATCATGGATGATATTGTTGTTCCATCATTTTCCCTCTTTCTTAAAATATTAACATTGCTGAAAACGTAACTCTTGGATGAGACTTTCGGATCGTATCCAACCACGTTGTCTTAGCATTGCTTATTATTTTTCTAGCCATATCTTTGTTATCTACTGATTACATATATGTACATAGATTAGTGTCACAAAAGTAGAAATTCGTTAAATGGATATTTATTTTCACAGTTTTGGTAATAGACTCCATGAACTATATCTAAATAACATTGAATGAAGTATTGTCCAAATGGTTTTCCTCTTGCGTAAGTTAAATCGTTACTATTAAGCTTTTATATTTTCATACACTAACTAAAAACTTTAAAATGCTTGTTTTGAAAAGAAAAAAAGAATGACTATAATCGGTATCAGTAAATTTTAAAATGGAAACCATTTACAGTTATAGAGTATTAAAGTTTAGTTGACTCTTGCGTTTTTACGTACATTTCTATTCACTCACATACAGAGAGACATAGTCTGCATTTGACAACAATAAAATATAAAACCCTTCATTTACAGAGGCAACACAACATATGCATTTAAAAAATTTCACTTTTAATTGGATGTGAAAGAAGAGAGCATCAATATTGAAAATGGGAAGCAGACTGAGAAGTCAGAAGAAATTAAAAACCAAAAAAGGACAATAAGTGGTGATATGGGTCCTGAACAAGAGAGTGTCCACATCAACTTTTGCCATTTTTATTTTGTCCTTTGGCTTCTGCTTCTTTGGATTCAAAGTCTGAGACAAATAGATAGACGTTCGTTACTTGGCTATCCAACAACTTCACTTTCTTCGCTCTTGTCACAATCTCAACCCATTTCTTCTTACATCTAACGTATCATTGATTCCTTTTGAGAATTTCTCCATGTTCACAACAAAGAGAAAAGACTAGAGAATGATCTATACAATTTGATTCAAATTGGTTTATTTAGCATATGAAAATGAGTTTCATTTTTCCATATTCTTTAGAAGTAACGTTCTCAATTGTAACCAACTATATTTACTATTTTTACATTGCCATATAAACTAGATCCAAGAGGAAACTTCTCCACCGTTAGATCGTTACATCCCCTAATCGATAATGGTCTCAAGATGGGTCTGTCTTTTAAGGATTGATCCAAATGTCGGAAGCATGGAGGCATTGTATAGGACAATCTTGGCGGCAACCCATCACTACTCCATATCAAATGCATCCACCCCAAATCTCTCTCTCTCTTTACTCTACTCTCTCTACTCTCTCTGTCTATATATGTTACATTAGTATGACATGAGGGTAAAGGCAAGCAAACATTTACTCATTATCTCACCAAATTTATATAGCCCACACAACCTGCAACCTTCAGTAAAAACGGATCTTTTTTACTTTCTTTGTTTTGAAAAAAGCCACATGTTTCTTTAGTCTCTTCTCATGAAGCTATAAAGGGCAACAAAAAAAATCTCATAATCTATACAAGCGTTTCAAAAAGTCTCACACCTCTCTTCATGGACTTTCTCAAAGTTTCAGACAAGACAGCAACTCCATGTAAAAGTGACTACTCTCTATTTGGTTTGAATCAACAACAATACAAAGACTCTTCTCTTGGTTTCAACAACAACAATCCTCATCCTCATGTCATTACTCCTTGTAAACAAAACTCTCTTCTCTCTTTTCTTCTTTTTGATATGCTTCTCAAAACAGAGCATAACGAATTTTTCTTTCTCATGTATTTGTAAACAGATTCAGGAAATGGAGTTTTGGGTTGTTATTACTATTACCCATTCACAAACGCGCAATTGAAGGAGCTCGAGAGACAAGCGATGATCTACAAGTACATGATCGCATCCATCCCCGTTCCTTTCGATCTCCTTGTCTCATCATCATCATCACCATCCTCTGCTTCTCCCTGTAACAACAAAAACATGGCCGGAGATTTAGAGCCGGGAAGATGCCGGAGAACAGACGGGAAGAAATGGAGGTGCTCCAGAGAAGTCGTCTCTAATCACAAGTACTGTGAGAGACACTTACACAGAGGCCGTCCTCGTTCAAGAAAGCATGTGGAACCTCCTTACTCTCGCCCTAACAACAATGGCGGTACTGAGAAAAACAGAGTTGTTCCTCAGAAACTATCCATCAGTTTTACAAAAGACAAAGTAACTGAGCCAAGAGAGTTTTCATCATCTCTCTCAAACTACAGAGAACCCAGGTCTTGTTCTTTTAATTGATCTCAGAATCATACTCTGTTATTTCTTCTTTTCAATCTGTGAATTTGTCGTGATCGTCTGGTTTTGAATTGGAAAACAGAGGAAGCAATATGTTTCCTGTATCGGCAACAAGTGAGCAAGAAAGAAAGTATCTGAATTTCATCGATGTTTGGTCCGATGGAGTTAGATCATGTGAAAAACAGAGTTCTACTTCGTCCCCTGTTTCTTCTTCAGCTAACGGCAATCTCTCTCTCTACTCGCTTGATCTTTCCATGGGAGGAAACAGCTTGATGGGCCATGACCAAATGGGCCTGATCCAAATGGGTTTAGGAGTAACCGGGTCGGGTCGTGAAGATCTTCACGGGTATGGTCCGTATGGCGTGTCTTCTTCACTGGAGGAGATGTCGAGCTGGCTTGCTCCGACTTCCGCCACGCCCGGCGGACCGTTAGCGGAGATACTTAGGCCAAACCCGAATCTTGCGTTCTCCGGCCATATTGAATCGCACAGTTTGACGGAGACTCCAACTCCAACTCCGACTCCGAGCTCTTCGCCGTCTAGAGCAATGAAGAAGATGACTGGATCAGTGTCTGATGAAAGCAGCCAGCTTTAAGGATTATGGAGTTTGGTGATGACTACTTTTTTCGTGTTTTCGCTTTCTTTTAATCGTGTGCCTGTAACCGTTAATTAATTACGAAGATTATATATTCGGTTAATTAATGTATACTAGTTTGATTGAAAAAATTAGCTAAATAGATTATTAGTACTACACATTTTTTAACTTTGACCTTTTAATGACTATAAATATCTTTAAAAAATTAAAAAAAAATCAAATTAATCCTTAAAAAATAAAAAATATGGTTATTTTATGTTATTTTAAATACCGTATAACTTACTTTTTTTAGTACTCGCATTAAGGCCCTCTTCGTTTGAACAGTCGGCTGATCAAGCTAGATGATCCAGTCAGATGGTTTAGTCAGATGATCCAGCCAGATGTTGTTCACTTTTTTTTACTCTCAGCCAAATGGATCAGCCAAATGAATCTTTTGTTCGTTTTCTCATTTAGATGAATCAGCCAAATGCTTGTAATGGATAATGACGAAAATACCCATATTTTTTTTATCCAATCAAAGTTTTATTAACTAAATTAATTTTCTAACCATATCAACTTAAATAATATCAAAACCATAAAAAGTAATTTCACAATTTTGCCGAAAATGTAAATTTGCGGTTTTGACAGAAAAACAAAATTTCGCAATTTTGGCTAAAATTACAACTTCACGCAATTATAGTAACAAAAAACACGATTTTGTGATGTCTGCAATAAAAACAGGATTTCTCAATTTAATCGGAAAATGCGATTTTGAGGTTTTGGCAGATAAAAATGTATTTGCGGTTTAAGTGGAAAACTGTGATTTTGCGGTTTTGAACGCAAAACATAATTTCATTGTTTCGGTGGAAGTTTCGTAACTTTGCATTTTAAGCAGAAACCCACGATTTTGTGTTTTCAATAGAAAAACATGATTTTTTCAGTTTAAACGGAAAAACTCGATTTCGCGGTTTCGGCAAAAATATATGATTTTACGGTTTAAGCGGAAAACTGCAATTTTACGGTTTTGGCAGAAAACGCATTTTGGTGAAAATTTCGCGGTTTTGCGGTTTCGCCAGACAAACGCAATTTCTAGGTTTTGGCGGAAAATATTATTTTGCGATTTCGGCGGAAAAACTTTATTTCACGGTTTTGGCGGGAAAACATGATTTTGCGATTTCGGCGGGAAAATGTGATTTTATGATTTCGGCGGAAAAAACATTGTTTTCCCGTTTTGGCGGGAAAACACAATTTTGTGATTTCGGCGGAAAAATGTTATTTGGCGGTTTTGGTGGTAAATTGCAATTTTGTGATTTCGGCTGAAAAACGTTTTTTTTTGCGGTTGTGGCGGAAAAACGTTATTTTTGTTTTTGTGAAAAAATGTAATTTTGCGGTTTATCTTGAAAATATAATTTTATGGATAATTTTGATTTTCAGTTTTGATAAAAAAAAATTGGAGATTGGATAATTTTTTTTTGTTTTAGAAATAGTAAATAAATCTATAATTTTATTCTTGTATAAATATATTTTGAAGGATAAAATTGTTATTTGTATTTTTGGAATGGGATGGCTTAGCCAAATGTTTCATTTTGGATCAGCTAGTATTTGAGATGATCCATCTAGATGGATCAGCTGAATGATGCTCATTTTTTGTATTAAACGAACATCATCCAACTGCCTCATCCAGATGGATCAGCTAGATAAGCAAACGAACAGGGCCTAAGGCTTACTTCATCTAGATGTCAAAATTAGTTTTTGTAGAAACATTGTATTCTAATTTATCCTATGTAGAAAGTTCTTCTATCTAATCCAAATTTCCAATGTGCATCATGTAATATTTGTATTCTGAGTTATGTAATTTAGAAGATAAATCTAGCTATTCTCGAAAACCGATTTAGTTTACCTAATATGTAGCACCTTATTGGCTTACTTAATCTATGATTCATATTCCGGTTTATTTCCATTATTTTAAAAGTCCTAGATCTACACATCTTTATTTCACGCTCTAACTTTTGAACTCTTAATCCTGACATTGAAAGAGGTGGTATGCTGCAAATTATATAATTTATGGTGTATGAAAATCATTTCGCAATAATTGGAAATTTGTTGTTGATAAAGAGAGATGTGGTAAGATGATTTTGTTTGAATCTGCTATTGGTATTGAAGAGTTTAAAGTTATAATTTCAGAAGACTATGGCTTAGAGCGGAGTATCATTGATATGAAAATTAGCTATTTGTCTCATGACTTGGTTGGATAGTTTGAATCTCCTCCAGTGATTGTATCAAACAATTGACAATTAAAAAATTTGATTTGTTATTTAAGTAAAGAGAAATGAGTTTGGTTGTATGTGATTGAAAGACTAGTTTCAGTGAGATTGGAAAGAGTAAAGTGAAAATTATTGGTTATTTCGATGTTAAGAAAAAAAAAACATTTTAGCCTTTTACAAACTACAATTGAATATCCCCTATTAGTTTCTTATTTTTGATTTTATATAATAGGTAAATGGATTTATATTAAAATAAAACCTAAATACTCAAACTAAATTGCAAAAGATGTAGTTCTACAACACCAAAAGAAATAGTGCAAGGTAATTTTTTTTTTTTAGAGAAAGTGCAAGGTAATTTTCCCATTAAAATTTTGTTAAGTTCTTGAATAAAGGGGTTTCCAAACGGAACCTTTTATTTGTTTTGACTTTGGAATAAATCGGAAGCTAAGTCCAATTAGGTATTGGATTAACTTGGTTTTTATGTACTTCCCAAATCCTAAATCCATTTAGGTTGACTTGGGGTCACTTTAAACAACCTTCCTAATCCTAATTCACATATGTTTTTTTGTTGAATCTCTTCTATATAATACACACAAACACACTCCCTAAGTTTATAAGCCTTTCTCTTGTTCCCTTCAACGAGTCTCCATTAATCTTTCAGTTTCTTTTCGCTTTTTGTGAGAGAGAGAATGTCAAACATCGACATTAAATACACGAAGATATTCGGGGGAGGTTTGGCTTGGAGAACAAGAGACGAAGGCTTGAGAAGTTTCTTTCAACAGTTTGGAGAAATCGCCTATGTTAACGTGGTCTACGACAGTAAAACAGGAAAATCTAAAGGCTATGGCTTTGTAAGTCAATCAATAAATTACAGAACCCAAAGTTTTGCTGTAGATAATTGTTTAAATATATATATATATATTTTTTTTCAGGTCACGTTTAAAGATGCTGAATCCGCAACGAGGGCTTGCATGAATCCGAAACCAACCATAGACGAGCGTGTAGTTAATTGCAATCTGGCTTCTGCTAATCAGTTCAAGAGCAAAACTGGTTTTCGTCAGGACGATCTTTGTCACCTATCCCCAACTTTTATGAGACATTGCCATCAACAACGTGCAAATCTTAATCAGCCATTAGCTACTTATGTTCATCCATACTACTGGTATGTATTTTTCTTCTACTAGACATGCTTATGTTAAATCAAAAACATGAAACTAATGTTACTTCTTGGTTTTGCAATGTTCAGGAACCAACAATATTATCCACATTGGCAATACTATGCGCCGTATGCTCCGTGGTATGCTCCACAGTGTGTGGTTAATATCAACACAACGTACTTGCCACATCAGCCTGTGAACAAGCCGATAGAGAATGGAGAGGCGTCTAAGGCTTCGGTTGCAAGCTCGTCATCTTCGACATCAAGGTCGACGACTGATCCTAAGTCTGATGGAAAGCAAACGGGTTTAGGAGTTACGAAATCTGTTGATTAAGACTTGTTTCTTTTGTTTGTCTATGGCTTCTTGAATCTTGTGTCTGTTAAAGAGTCGTTTGAAGTAACTACTATATGGAGTTATATTCGGTCAATGCTACTTTAAAATTATGGAGGAATTTGTAAAGTTCTTAGATCTCTTATAAATTCTTTGAATAAATTGAAAGCAAGTCTGATCAAACTTTGATCCCATTAATTAAGAGAATTATTTGTTTAGTTTTTTTCCTACGAAGCGTCAGTTGTTTAATTATATATACAAGTAACACGATCATAGAAAATGACCAGAGAGAGACATAGATCGTTTCCTCTTCTCAGATCATCTTCCTCCAATCTTCACTACTGTGAAGATATACCAAATTTATACAATCTGTCAGAAATCTACTGTGCCTCACTTCTCAATCATGGATCCAGGTTAATTGGTTCTGCCGTTCTGTTCTTGATCTTTCTGTTATTAGGGTTTGAAATGTTTTTTACGATCCTTTGACGATTCATATTTTAATTCTATTTGTCAGAATTGTGTAGTTCAAATATTGTTTTTATCAGCTTTGTCCCTCACTGATATGGTCTTCTAGATTTGTTATGAATATGCATATGCTACTTTTATTGGAATCTTTCGGTTATGGAGTCCCTAAACCTTAAGCGTGTGCTCGAAGATTTAGTACTTTTGTAATTCAGATGTTTAGTTTCTAGTCTTGGTAAGTGCTTGTTTTAATTTGGACTTAATGAATTTGTTGTCCATCAATTAATTTCTGCTTGAAAAAACTTATAATCTTGTGTTTCCACTCTCAGAGTTCGTTATATAGAACCTTCAGGCTTCATGCATTCGTGTTATCAAAATCCCCAAACCCTAATAAAAATAATAAATTACATTGGGGAAATTTTCTTCTCATCCTTGATGCTCGATCAACTTAACTAATGTAAGGGTTGGTTTCAAAGTTTACTTAACTACAACATCTCTGACACAAATTTTTCCTTTTTTTTTTAATTTCAGTGTTGGGATGCAAATCTAGTTTTTCCAATCTCGAGTCGATTCCAATGCTAAACGTATCGAACTTCTTAACGTGGAAAGAACATTTGTTACTTATGCTTGCCCTCATGGATCTTGATCTTTCCCTTGTGAAAGACCCTCCAAGTTCTCGCGAGGAATTCGAGCGTTGGGACCGATCTAACCGTGTGAGTATGATGATAATCAGATTTAAGATCCCGCAAGAATTCAGGGGCATCGTGCCGGAGGATGTTACAACCGCAAAAGAATTACTTGCCGGGCTTGATAAATTCTTTGCGAAAAATGAAGAGGCAGAGAGAAGTATGCTTCAAGCAGAATATTATTCGATACAATATAGAGAGAATGAGAGTGTAAGGGAGTTGATTATGAGGATGAAAACCGTCGAGGCTAAGTTAAAGAGAGCAGGGACTGATCATAGCCTCTTGTTGGATGACGAAACCATAGCGCATTTTGCACTCAAATTGCTGCCATTGCGGTATGTTCGGCTTCAGAACGTTTACAGGCGTCTCGAAGAAAAATTTGCTAATGAAAACGGTCGTTGGCCCTTGACTGAGATATGGTCTACTAGTGAGCTCATCAGTCGCTTCGACATGGAAGAGGAGAATTTGAGGCGGGAAATTGCGGATGAAGTCAAACGTGAAAAGAGAAGAAGGGAGCAATGAGAGTGTTACAAGTAATCATATGTTTAGGAAATTAGGAAATAATGAAGCGTTTTGGATAATATCTATGAGTATCAAATAAACCACATGAATTGGACCATTATCTTTTTATATTGCCTCCCCTAATAACCTTAGAAACGGATTTATTTGCAATTTTTTTTTTAAGTAATCCCCTCGATTAGATTTACTTTATAATAATCACCATGATTAATTCACTTCCTTCACATATTATTTTATTTTTGTGTAGAGGTATCCCAAATTTCGCAGTAATTAGGGTTACGCTTCAATCAGAAACTCACAATACCGCTAAGCTTCGCAATAATGAATCCAGGTTAATAGTCTATGTTTTCGATATCTCAGTAATTAGGGTTTTACAGCTTTTTGCTAAAACAAAACGATTCGTCGTTTACTCACACGAAAAATAAGAACACATTTGTTTCAAAACTATACAGGTTAATATTTCTTTCTGCTTCGTGCCTCTCTGATCTGTTAATCATGTTGTTCTGCTGGATTTGTGGTGATTTGAGGAAATCTCATCCAGTTTCTATGGTCCATTAATCAAATATTGTGAGAATCTTTCGGTTCTGTAAAGGAATCACCAATCCCTAAGTGTGTGAGCTCGAATTTTAGGGTACTTTTGTATTCTGACTTTAATGTTTTCCATTTTGTCTGGCCATTATTAACCTCTTGACTTTACAATGGTTAGACTGCACTTTTGGTCAAGTTCTTTTTTTTTTTTTTTTTTTTTTGGAGAAACCATGTTATGGTCCATTAGATTATATTTGCTTCACTCACTTAGAATTTCATGTAAACCTTGGAGAGTGCATTATCTAAATCCCAAACCCTTATCGTAGGTTGTAGACAATGGAATCTTTTGTAATGACCTTTTTCTGTATGAACGTTTCAAGCCCCATCCTATGGTAGAATATTAGGGTTTTATGTCAATTTCTTCTATCCAAATCTGCTTCATCATATGTTTCTTTATTCTCCAATTTTCAGTGATGGGATCTACATCTGCTTTCTCCAATGTTGAGTCGATCCCCATGCTAAACGGATCAAACTTTTCAGAATGGAAAGAACATCTGCTACTTGTTCTTGCCCTCATGGATCTTGACATCTCTCTAAGGGAAGAGCGTCCAGATGCATCAAAACACATCGATGAAGCCAAGCATTGGGACCGATCCAACCGCATGAGCATACTGATAATGAGATTCCGAATCCCTGAGAGATTCAGAGGCATCATCCCCGAGGACGTCACAACAGCCAAAGAATGTTTAGCCGCGGTTGAGAAATGTTACATGAAAGATGAGATGGCAGCGGCCGATACGGTCACAATCGAGTTTCTTTTGACGAAACGGGAGAACGAGAGTGTTAGAGAGTATATTATGAGGAAGATGAGCGTTGCAGCTAAGCTGAAGAAACTCGGTATGCATATTCCCGATCCTCTCGTGGCTGATACGTTACTCAACAGTCTTCCCTCGGAGTATGATCAGCTTAAGAAGACTTATAGGGTTCTAAACAAGAAGTGGTCGACTCATGAGCTCATCTCTCACTGTGTGCAAGAAGAGGAGAGATTGGAATGGGAAGCCCAAGGAACGCAATCTTGGTTCTGGTAATGTCGTTTGTGGTGAGAAAAGAAAGTACCATTACAATCAGGAATGATCTTGTTTGATTTTCCTCTGTTTTCCCCTGTTTTTGGCTCTGTTCTACTATTCTCTCACAAACTTATATATGCAGTAAAACAACATTAAAGTACAAAAAGATTTGTTCTGATACTTACATTATGAAACATCTAAACAACATTACAAATCAGGAGTTTCATGGATAGATTCAAGACGTGGCTTCCATTTATTGTCGTGAAAAGATTGGAGAAATGATTTCTGATTCACAATAACCAGCTGCTCCAATGAAACTTGCTTCGCAAGCAAACGATCCAGCTGTTTCCTTGTTATCAACAGTTTGATTCTCCTTCCTCCAATGATAGCCTTCTCCGCAGACATGATCCGTTTCTCGGGACATACAGATCCGTTCTTGATCTCTGTGTTTGAAACTTGAATCTTGTTGCCCTCAAGAGGTTTTATGCACAAACATGCATCGGAGAGAGTCAACAAGAATTGCTTCAAGCTTAGTCTCTTCATCATTTTCATGTAGAATTAATCTTTGACGAAGATCCTCTGATTTAGTGACAACCTGTGAGATCTTTTGAACTTGTTAAAGAAATAAGCTGTGAGATTTACCATCTTGTTATGTGCTTATATATATATACAAACACTAAGAAGCTTGTTTTTTGAATATTTATTTTAAGGCCTACAATTATTAAAAGCATGGGTTGTGTTTAATTTGGAGTGGATGGTGAAAAAGTTGGTGGGAATGTAACAGATTCGGATCAATGTTTGTTCTTAATGAACGAAAGAAAATTAGAGATCAAGTCTTGAAGATGTCAACACGTGTGCATCATTGGTCGGTCTTGCATTCTTGCACATAAAAACATTAATTTTGGACCGACTTTTTGATCCAAAGGACCAAAACATATGGTTTGTCTAATACTTCGTGGTATATCATGATGAAACCTACTTAATGTGTAAATGATTAATGGTGATCACTTAAACTAATTGCGATTGATCTATTTTTTGTTATTATCTTTTGAAGCTTGACCTAGTTAATCGGTTGGATAATTATTAGAAATATACTTAAGTTTTTATGTATTAAAATGTTAGTTAAACGGTTGAATGTAAACTCCTCTTATGATGATAGATTTGAGAGCTTCCTTTGATGAAACAAAGAAAGATAGGTTGAAAGGTTCCATCAGGAATATCACTAAATGGATTTGGTGATCTTGATAAAAAGTTTGTTTACCTCATATAATTTAGTCTTATTCTTTCACCAGATAACAAATAACTAGTTGGCTCAAATATCCGAATTCTTTAATAATCGATCTGTCGTAAACATGGTTCGCATAAGCTCGACCAAGACTTTCAAATCCAGTTAGAATTTGATGTCAACTGCAATTTCGAGAGACTTTAAGATCTTGAAATTTGAATGGTATCAGTGGTCACATTCCTTGCATTTTTTTTTATGGTGAAATATCCGACTAATACTTTGGTTTTTCTTAAAACTACAGTACTATTTAAATCATCTAATCAAATTTTGGAATGCAGTGGTGACTGGTGACATTCCTTGCATTTTTTTTTATGGTGCAGTGCAGCTTGGAATTTTGATCTATATGTTCTATACACTCTTAAGGAGATTCATGCAATGGTGTGAAACGGATTTAATTTTTTTTGACGTATTAATAAGGAGAAATTTCCAAAAAATCAACTAAAGAGATTTTGGATTCAAAAGGAGTCATCTAAACCGTTGGATTAAAAATGAGCCATCTAAACCATTAGATTAAGTTTTCCTTTTTTTTTTCCTTCTTCCCTTTAAAACTCTGCTTTAGTCTTCGTTATTGCGAATTCTTTAAAAAAATTAAAAACCCTAATTACATTTCTGATTTCTCTGTTCAGTCCCGACACTTTCTTCCTTGGGGGAGATCACAAGATCTCTCCACGAGAATTGGAATTGGGATATTCTCTCTAAGGTTCCGGCCATATCTCTAATCAAATTCCGATAGATTATGGTGTGCTTTATTCAAAAACCCTAGATTCATCAAGAAGAAGCAGCAAGTACCGAGCTTTGATCCGTCGTCCATCGAGTTTATAGGTAATTAAACTCAAAGTTAAAGACTCGGAACATGTGTGGTTTTCGATTTCTAGTAGATCGCGAATTCATTTTTTTTTTAGGATTCGATAGTTGTTTAGGGTTTTCGTTTATGATCGGTTCGTCTCTCTCTCCCTCTCAGATCGCTCGGTTGAATTAGTAAGTCGACAGACGGCTTTGACTTCTCCGTCACAAGTAACTGTTATTTCCGATCGATTCATCCAAACTCTCTGCACCAAGGTCAGAAATTATCCAAATCTCCGGTGATTATGCTACTGCTTCGATTGTTGATTGAATTCTTTCTATAGAATGCCTTGTTTTGTTCAAAGACTGTAGATTTCAGAATTGGGATCTTTTGAAAATCGAACCATTACACCACTGATGATAATTATTCTTGGAAATGTGAAATTTGTATTCCAATGCATAAGGTCGTTCATTAGTTGATCAATCGGTTTCATTAGCATTTTCTTCCTCTAGCGGATGAGGATTTCTTAGTGTTTTCTAATGATGGAATTGTGAAACTTTCGTTGTCAGGAACTTACTTGGTCTTCAATGCGGGTGATGCTAATGTTATTTGTGACCTGAAGTCACAAGACAAGGTAACTACGGCTTGTCATTGCTATGCTTTTAAAGGTTGAACTATAATGTTTCTGGTTTTTTTTTTTTTTTTTTTTTTTTTTTTTTTTTTTTTTTTGATGTAATGGTATAGGATACTTGTTTGATGTAATGGTCATTGTTATGCTTTTTTTTATTGTAGATGAAGTTTGCGTTGGCAACATTGCAGAGCGGCTTCGAAGGCTGGCCAATGCGATCTGCCAAATTAGTCTGCGATAATTGAACTGGTAAGCGCTTTCACTATTCTTGTCTTGTCGTATATCCTGGTTGATGTTTCTGTTTTCCCTCTAGCCCCAACAGATCATAGGCAAACACTAATCTAATAGTGATTTGTCAGATTCTTGTTGGGGAACATTGTCCCGTTTGCTCAATCTTATTGGTTGGTAGTGCATGATTAATCAAAGGAACTTAAAAGAATGGATCATATGCAGACACTTCCTTTGATGTTTCTGTTTTCCCTTTAGCCCCAACAGATCATATGACATACACTAATCTAATAGTGCTGTGTCAGATTCTTGTTGGGGACATTGTCTTGTCCCGTTGATTGGTAGTGCATGTCTAAGCAAAGGAAAATCAGGGGATGGCAAATGAAACACACGGCTTGAAAGTCTTTTAGAGAAAGACTGTGTGCTTGTTGTGTTGGATGGAAAACGATGGTCTTAAAAGTCTTTAGACTTGTTGGAAGGGAAACATGACCGATGGCTTAAAGTCTAAGGACTATAAAATGGTGAAACCGTTGCTTACCTACCCACGGCTTGAGAAAAGTAGTGAATCCGTTAGTACCCTCGGCTTATAAAAGTCTTTAGACAAAAGACTGAACGGATTCACTACTTTACTACTACCCACGGCTTATAAAAAGTCTTAAGACTATAAACAGTCAGATTCCAGTTTGGGGACAATGACCCGTTTGGTTGGTTGGTAGTGCATGCGCAAAGGATGATAAGGAATGGAAAATAAAACTATGAGTTGGTTGGTAGTGCATGCTTAAATGTCTTTAGCAAAAGACTATGAGTTGGTTTTTTTATACCCACGGCTTGAGAAAAGTAGTGAATCCGTTAGTACCCTCGGCTTATAAAAGTCTTTACACAAAGACTTAACGGATTCACTACTTTACTACTACCCACGGCTAATCAAAAGTCTTTAAGAATTGGATGGTGAAAGAGACTTACGGATTTAAAAAGTCTTTAAGAAAGAGTCTTAAGGCAAAGACTTTTACTTGAAAAGGGATTCTTTGCTTCACTTGTACCCACGGATAAGAAAAAAGTCTAAAGGCAAAGACCCTTTACTTCTACCCACGGCTTAAGAAAAGGCAAGACACACACGGCTTATCAAAGTTATAAGACAAAGACAAAGTCTATAACAGATTCCTTACCTACGAATGGGTTTTTCCATTTGTTGGATTGATAAGTCTAGAGACATAGACTATAAACCAAAAAAGTAAGTCTTAACAACAGAGACTATGACCCGTAAACACAGACTATAAACACAAGGCAAAAGCCATCAGACAAAGAACGATCGATGGCTGGAAAGTTTGTAAAGACAGAGACTATGGGCAGAGTCTCGATTTGTTGGATGGAAAAAATGACCCAATGCTCAAAGAAGTCTTAAGCTAGTACCCACGGCTTGAAAAAAGTCTTTAGAAAAAGACTGGATCGGATCGGTTTTTGGATTTGCTGGATCCATCAGTCTAGACATAGACTATGAACCAAAAAAGATTCCTTAAAGATCACCACAAGGCTGAAAAACAGAGACTATGACCCGTAAAAAAGAGTTAAACACAAGGGGAAAGCCATAAGACAACGAATGATCAAAGGCTGGAAATGTTTCGAAAAGACAGACAATGGGAAGAGAGATTCACGATGGAAAAAATGAACAAATGCTTAAAGAAGTCTTAAGCTAGTTCTCACGGCTTAGAGAAAGTGACGGATCTGTTACTTTCCTTGTACCCACGGCTTAGAAAGAGTCTTAAGGCAAAGAACTGAACATGATTCTTTGCTTTACTAGCACCCACGGCTTAGAAAGAGTCTTAAGGAAAAGACTGTGAACTGAAAAGGGATTTGTTACTTTACTACCACAACTAAGAAAAGGTCTTTAGGATAAAGACTTGGAGAATGTTTCTTAGTTTACCTACGGCTTAAAAGAGTAATAGTCTTAAGACAAAGACTTGGAAAAGATTACTCAGTTTACCCACGACTTACAAAAGAGTTAAGACAAAGACTTTGAGAATGAGTCTTAGTGTACCCACGGCTTACAAAAGAGTTAAGCCAAAGACTTGGAGAATGAGTCTTAGTGAACCCACGGCTTGAGAAAAGTAGTGAATCCGTTACTCTACCCACGGCTTAAAAGTCTTTTAGACAAAGACTTAACGGATTCACTACTTTACTATAATACCACCCACGGCTTAGAAAGAGACTGGGTCGGTTTTTGGATTTGTTGGATCCATCAGTCTAGAGACATAAGACTATGAACCAAAAAGTCTTTCTTAAATACCACCACAAGGCTTAAAGAAGTCTTAAAAGCAGAGACTATGACCCATAAACACAAGTCTAAAGCCCTTAGACAACTAACGATCAAAGGCTGGGAATTTCTCAAAGACAAAGACAGACTATGAGCAGATTCTCGGTTTGTTGGATGGAAGAAAGGACCAAATGCTTAAAGAAGTGTTAAGCTAGTGCCGAGAAACTGGAGAAAATGACCTGCGACTTAAAAATCTCTTGAGGCAGAGACCTGTTACTCATGCCCACGACTTAAAAGTCTTTAGAAAAAGACTATATATGTCCCATTTTTGATTCTTTGGATTGAAAATACAACTCACGTCTTCAAAGAA